CAATCAGATAACCGAGGCCCGCAATTCCGTCCTTGCTCGTGGCACGCCTCGCATCTACATTGCAGGCTGCAGAGTGAGCCCGGTGAAGGAATGGCTTCTAAAGAAGCAGGTAAAGTAGATCGTCTTGGGTTCTGCTTTGTTGTTTTTGTTGCCGTCCCATGTTCGGCAGTGATTGCGCTCCAGGGGGCATCCTTCATCATTGACTTCCATAACTTCGGCTACTCCTTGTTGGCATTAAAGACATGCTGGCAAGTTGCTGGCGCCATCCTAGTGGTGTTGGAGGTCCTTGGTGTTGCACTTGAGCCAGGCTGGGAGAGCAACATCCGCTGGTGCAGGTTCTCCTCTTGGCTCTTCTCTGTCAGAACGGTATGCAAAGATCGCGGTGATCGCGGTGATCTCTAACTCACAAGACTTGCAGGCCCATCAGATGTATGAGAAGCTGATTGGCCGGTTTGCGGACGATGCCTTCTGCGTAACCAGACAGCCGGAATTCAGCTTCTTCCAAGGATGCAGAGTGGCCAAGTAGTTGCTGGAGTAGTTGCTCAGGATGCAGGAGGTCCTGCAGGAGGAGTGGAAGGCCTGACGCCCAGCTTGACAATAGATGGCACGATTGGCGGACACCGCTGGCAGGTCACCGCTCGGCCGTTGCATGATCGACCTGCGCAAATCTTCAGGCGCTCGAAAAGTCAGACCAAAGTGGTCAAACATTCGGGTAAAGAGGAAAGACCCTGAGTGCCAAGGCCAACCGAAGTGACGGAGCAACATGATCTCTTTCAGCGTTTGCGGGCCGAGGGCATGTTGACAGCGCTTGAGGCTTAGATGTCATACATGATGGCTTGTCTCAGAGATCAAGAAGCAAAGCTGCTTCAGGTTGGACGACTGGTGGTCTGGGATTGACGACGGCAGCGGCCCAGGTGAAAGTCGACTGAAGTGAGGCAGGCGGCAGTGTTGCAGCCACAAGACGGAAAAGGTCAAACCTTGTTCACGAATATCTCGTGTTCTGGAGACTGCAGCCTTCGGCTTAGACGATCGGAACTGTGAACAACAGACCGCTGCTTCTCTAAAGGTGCATGCCCAGACCATTGAATGAGACTGGTCCCGGCACCAAGGCAAAGCCGCTGGTCGACCGCATCTTGTTGTCAGCTGAGGGCTGAAAGTCACGAATTCACATGCTTGGTCCGCTTGGTCTCGTGCCATTCTTCCCCATCCCTTAGTCCACGACATCGTCTGACGGTGTCACCGTTAGGCTCGACCTCCTGGACTCCAGATGAAGACTTTGGGCAGCTCCTCGATGCCTGTGCCTTTTTTGCCCAGGAAAATAAAATAGTACGACTGGTGAATACAGTAACTTAGCGTATGTTGTTTAGCTCTTCACGACCTTGTGATTCTTAGACGTTTTAGATGTGTCATGCCATTCGTGCCGCGGGCTGTAGCAGAAGTCTCAACCAAGGCCCTGCCGGCGTTCGACGGGCATTTGACCCAGGTAAACGGGGACGGGGTCGATGAGTAGCAAAACTGCATGAATGATGTTTCTCCGGCCAGGCAGGGATGCGAGCTGTTATCATGGTGACCGGCAAGGGCGACTTAAGGCAGCCATTTGAGGCTTCTTGGCAGAGAAGCAGCATGACACCATTATGGCCAATCAACAAAGTACCCTTGAATTCTCCGAGCCAAGACATGGGAAAAGACGCTGACCGACCAGTGTGTGTGTGTGTGTCCATTGCTGCGAAGCACTTTTGTTCTCTTCCCCGCTGAATGCTAAGTTCCGTAGACAATTGTGGATGGGGCTGTGGGTTTGCGCGCCCCCTAGGTCCTTCCTTGCTCACCCTCTGTGCCTGCCGCATCTCTACCGCTGGGGGAGGGAGGAGCCTAAATCAGACTCCAGAGTGCTGTTGTGCTGTTGGGTTGCAGAGCTGAGTTAATCTGAAAGAGTTCTTTTGGGACTCGACACGTATGTATACATGCAAATATAGATACATGTATAGATATACATATTTATATTTATGTATGTCTAAGGGGCTGTCCTCACGGCCCCGTGCCGAACAGGGCCAGAGAGGGGGGGGGTGCGGGGGGGGAGCACAACAGGAACAACAACAAGAGCAACGACGAGCACGATAACAGCACGAACAACAAAAACGAGAACAAGACCTAGACCTAGACCAGACCTAGAACTGGAGCAACAACAGAACCAACAGCAACACTAGCCACAGCAGCCACAGCAGCCACAACGGCAACAACGGCAGCAATGGCAACAACGGCAACAACGACCCTCGAGGTTCCAGCCGAGCAATTGAGCATGACAAACTAGCAGCTGCTTGCCAAATTAAACTCGGTGCTCCAACGTTTTTCCTCTGCGAATGGCAGCAAATGTGCTGTGGCTTGGAGTGGTCATAGTTGGCAATGTGGCATACAAACATGGGGGGGACTCTTGAAAAAGGCAATGCCAAAGTGTTCGCTAGCCCGAAATCTCACTTACATTCGGGCACCCGCATGCAACAACCCCAGTGTTTGCTACCCTTTACGCAAACGTCCGCGGAAAACGGCACACTGTTTGCTTAGGATCGTTTGCGAGAAATGGCGTCAGAATCCGAGATCTGTACTGTTCAACTGCTAATCAGATTGGCTTGTCTCCCAGATTGTCTCCCAGGCCACTATTACAGGCCGTCCGCGTGCTGACCGTATGGTGCCGCCGCACAATTAATATTAACGTTCAGCCACTGGAAGCTGGCACGGCGCAGCATCCCTTCGTGAGGCTCAGTTTTGCAGATTACGCTTTGCTGCTGGGAAGCGCAGACCTGGGTCTGAGCGGTGCACTTGGCCGTGCAGTGTTGGTTGCGAGGGTGCTGTACAGGCTCATGTTCTCACAAGAGATCTTGATTTGACAGAACATTGAAGTTTGAACTGCCGCCATGGCCTTTCAAGATGCGAGAGAGGGAGAGAGAGAGTGTGTGTGTGTGCACGCAGATATGGCTGATGGCAACTGGAGTGTTGCTGGCTGCTGACATCATGTGCATAGAGCATCATAGAGACTAGCTGTCTGACACAAGGTCTGCACAGCTCATCCTCTGGCATTGACCTTCCCATGAAGGCTCCAATCGCAGTGCGTGGTGCCGTTGGGTTTCTGACAAGACCTCTGACAAGTCTGTGACCTCTGCTATCCTCTCCTTTTGTCCGGCACTGCGTACCTTATAATTCTACCAGGGCTGCCAGATTACTCTTTCGCTGGATCTGATGTTAAGCTCCAGGTCGTAGACATGTTTGGGGCCGGCCTGCCTGTGTGCGCACGATCGTTCGCTGCGCTGCCTGAGTGTTGGGCTCGATCAGAATCGTTGAGCAGCGTTTTTTGCTGGAAGTGTGGAAGCGTGCTAAGGGCTGACCGTGCCAAGGCTCGTCCTGCATGGCGAGAATGGACTCGTGTTCAACAGCACGGAGGAAACACGGATTTGAATGTTCTGCGCAGCCGCGCTAGGTGCCCACGCGTCTTTATAGAGAAGAGCATGCGCCCAGGAGCTTGCAGTGAGTTTGGCACACGGACTCGGGGCAGCCTCACTCTGAGTCGGAAGCCAGCGAAGCTGCATGAACTGTTTTTGACCATCTGTCACTGTGATGCTACATGCCTCGAAGGCAGCCTCGTCGGCTTTACCCTTGTTGAAATCTCCGGCAGGGAAGCCCGCATCTCAGCCACCCAGCTGTGGATGGTTTAGAAGTGAGGGGGGAGGGGGGGGGGGCGGCTGCTTGAAGTCCAGATATAGTCCAGGTGTTTTGCAGTTGAATCAAGGGCGTGCTCTAAGGATGACACATGGACGTGCGAAATATTGCGAATGTTTTGACGAGTTCGTTGGGTAAACGCAATCAACCTCCTTGTACATGACGTGTGGCTAGGTTGTGCCTGTGGACCTTAGAAATCCGAGGATGGCTTTCAATGTCGATGTCATGTCTTCTGTTCGCTTGTTCATTAAGCTTTCATGCAGCTCTGTCGCACGCAGAACTGGACGGCGGCATCAGAATTCGCACATCAGTGGCTCATCATAGTGACCCAGTGGGTCCTTTCTGCCGCCATTGGCGTCCTCGTCGTTTACTTCTGGCTGACTCCGTCAAACGTCACCGCAAGCGTCCAAACTTAGCAACAGCCCGGCCAAGCTACACACTTGGCATTGGATCCAGGCTCCACAGGCAGCGCAACGAGGGTCGAGCGCCTTTTTGAGACGGCTGGCCTCGTGCACCCCACCTGTTCTCAACTTTTCATGCTAGGAAAAATTAACGGGCGGTGTGGGTGGGCTTTAAAAAGGAAGCACTCGAGGCACTACTTCCCGCAAGCACGAGACAGCTCGAGCTTGACTTGTGCTGGAAGGCCGAAGCTCAATGGCTGGGATGACAACTGGGCAGGGCTCTGAGAATGTCCTTAGATGTCCTTAGTTTATCTGCCTTAGCGGGTCCCCATTACCCTTATGACCGTTGGCGGTTGGTTGAATGTATCCTGCCCCCACGAGGATGCGATTGCCTGGCCTGTCTTCCAGACACATTTGCAGGCTTCTCAGCAGTAGCTTGGAGTACATCCAGGCCATTTTCTGTCCATACTCCTACCATCCTCAAATTCCAGCCTGCAGGAGAGGATGCACCGACAAGAAGGCCCGCTGAGACTCTGTGAGAGCAGCTCAGTGTAGTAGTAGCTTTTCACCCAACTGTGCTCCACGCACAGAGTTCAGATCTATCGGTTTGATTCAGGTTTGCAAAATGTCATTCTTGTGCAGCGATTTCTTCGGTCTGCTTTGACGTTGCATCATGTGCCTGTGATGTGTCTTCGGACAAGTCGGCATTCAGCATGAGAGAGGGTTGCTAGCCATGCTGCCGCAACACATACGGCTCCAAGTGCTTTGCGGTTCCGGGTTGCCCTTGACAGGACCTTGACCTTGCCCTTGCCATTGCTGGGCACCCACTCTTGCATGTAGCTGTCTAGCCTTCCTGCAGAGGACGACTCCGTTTGCTCCGGCGGACGCTGGATGGCACCACCATCAGCAGGGAAGCAAGGCGCTGCATCAGCAGTTGGATGTGCGTTAGCAGCAACCCCAGCAGTAGCAGTGACACGTGATCCAGGCTCAGATGCAGCACGGCAGGGTGACAAGCAGCACACTATCCTGGAGACAATAGAGTTGAGTGATGAATCTGTGCAGCATTTTTTTCAGAGAGTGGTGCATATCAGCTGTCAGTTTGATTCTTGCGATTTCTTGCTCACGATTCGAAAAGCTCAAGGAAAGCGATGATGAGTTTAACTACGAGGCGCTCTTCATATGCCCCCGCCTTTTGCTGCGCCTTTTGCTGCGTGCTTTCTCAGCAGCTCCCTAGTGACCCTGGTGTTCTCGGAGCAGCTATGAAGTGCTAAACCAGTCGGGGGGTCGTTCTAAGTCGCAAGCAAAAGCAGAAGAGGGCAGAATCACATGATACAACCTATGCACGCAGATCACCTTGATCACGTTGCAGGAACTCCCTGAAGATCCAGAATTGCTGGAGCAGGATGACGAGGAGACCTCCCTGCTTGTCAAGCTCAAGCTCCCTCAAGCCGACTGGTTTTGAGGAACAGCTTGATGACATCAATCGCTTGCTGGCAGAGACCAAACAGCCAGCTGATGGTCAGGAGCCTTTGAGTGGCACATAGTGGCACGCGGGGTGAGTAACATAGACTGTTTAGGCTTGAGTGCCCACTGACAGCTTGTCGTTTCGGAGGATGCGAGCGAAGAAGCCGGACTGGCCAAGGCAATTTCGCAATTCCACTGTTGCCTTTGACCATAATCCGAGCTCCTGTTTAATTGGGGGGGGCCCCCCCCCCGCCCCCCCCACAATAAGGAAGGCAGGGTTCCGCAATAGTTGGACCATGGCCCCGTATGGTTTCTCTATTAAAAAAATAAGAACGTATTGAAAACAACGTCCCTGCAGAAGAAAAAAGCTTTCCGAAAGGCAGAGTTTCAAAATTTGACAACCCCCCCAAAAAAATTTCTTTAAATGTGGGGGGTTTGGCCCATACGAAATCCATCGTAATGGAAAGTAGTCTTCCGGCGGGAATCCGGGCAAAAAAAATTCTTTAAATATGGGGGGTTTAATTCAACAGGAGCTCGGATTATGCTAGGACATGACCATAAGAGGACGCGTGTTTCCCAGCCATTCCTAGCCCAGGAAGAGCGAGCTTGCCAAGAGTTGTTCCTTCAATGCCTCAATAGTTGGAGTCGCAAGCGCGTAGCACGCAACTCCTGTAGACAGCATGGACTGCGCTTCTGCTGCCATTAGATGTACGCGAAACTAAACTATTCGCGCCACGTCGATCGGCACGCAACTTGGCCTTGTGAAGATGAGCAAGTCTTGCGTGCGAAGCTGTACTTACTTGACAGATCAGGTGCAACAACGCCCCCAAGTCATTGACGACTTCTTTCGAAACTTTCTGCTGAAGTCCGGACCCTGGCCTTACAGGCCTTACAATTTGCAAGGGCAACAGCGCATTTTCTTTGGGCGGCTGTTCAGGTACGATATGAAGCGCTCCCTGGATGTTTTCCAAGCAGAGTGGTATGAGATGCAGCAAACGGGCAAATTTAAGGACCGAAGCGCAAAGTGCAACGCTGCACATGGATTTGCATTGACGCACAAAGGCACACGTTCTGATCAGGACTCGGAGCTGACCATCGTACCAGACGTATATACTCGCAACCACGGCTTTCAACAGGAGGCACAGACATGTGATCACACCCGAGACCCGAACTTTCCATGTCCCGGTTTTGAACATTTGGCTGGCTGGCTTTATCCTTGCTGGAAGGTCTTGTTGCTGCGGGAGGAACTGGAGAAGGCCCGCATGGTGGCTGCGAAGGCAAGTCGGCTGCCAACATTCGCCAAGACCACCGCACATTGCATGCAGCGTTCTTTGCCATTTTCAGGCCAAGGAATCATGGGACAAGTTCCGCAAAGAGCGAGATTACCATCGCATGCACCACCGGCGAGTCAGATCCTGAGTGCTCGTGGAGGCAGAAGCACGGGGCACATGGCATGACAATCAAGCGATGTACGAGGTTGTGCAAGAGAAAAACAAGCTCATAGTTGCTGCCCGGCTCGGTTGTTGTCCAGATGCAAAATCTGCCACCTGAAGTGTTGAACTCATGCAGCTCACATTGCCCAGGATCTCAAACGACTGAAGAAGCACTACGAGCAGTACGAGCCCACTCTAACAGAGCTGCGGCACAAGTACGAAGTTGCAATGAAGGACCGCATGCAAAACAGAAAGCCTGCTTTGACTTGAGCAACCACGCTAGTCAAACGTGACTCCGCAACCGGAGCTTGCATGCAGGAAAAGATGCTCATGCGCCTGGAGCGGGATCGCTATGCCGCAAAGGCATGGGCTGCACTACGTCGAGTTTGTGGGCGTTTGGCGACGTGCTTGGCGTGTTCCCGGTACACGCAATACCATGCAACACCTTCAATAACATGTACATGTGAATCGTGCCAGCAGTGCGGGCGACATGGATTCAGGAACGGTCAAATCTAGTCAGAATAGAAGTAAGGTTTTTCTGAGCAGATCGGGGTGGTTGAGTGCGCCAGCATGGTCTAGCATGCTTGCCAGATCTTGCAAGGGATGTCCGTAATGCCAGATCTTGCAAGGGATGTCCGTAAGTTCAGAAAACAGCGGTTATGAGTTACGTGATGTATGTGAGGTGGGAAGAGGTGCGTAGATGATGGACTTTGGGGTCTGTCGCAGCTTTCAATCAAGAGGAGAGTGGCCGCTCGGAAACGACAACGAAATTCCTACTACGAAGATGCTTGTCGAGCTGGGGGCATTGGCTAGAGACGCGTGAAATCATGTTGGCAAAATGCTTGTGAAGACCCAGCAGAATTCGCCTGAATCCTGAACCCGCGACCTTAAATCCCAAACCCCCAAAGCAGTGCACTCCAAAACTGCTGCACCTTGATTGAGCCCGAAAGAAGCAGTCGGAGCAGTGCAACCCCAACAGGCGCCGTCACCTTGCTTAAGCCGCGCAAGGTTGCATCAAAGAATATGTGAATCTTTTTGAAACCCATTATGCGCGCATTGTGTTTTCGAACGATCCCCCCTGCCCCCCTCTCCCTCGGCTTTTTAAGCCGTGCAAGCTTGCTTCAGAGAGCATATCCCCGGCGGCGCCGTCCCCCCTGCTTCCCCGCGCACAGCACTTGGGGGGGGGGTTGCGCCCCCGGCTTTTTAAAGCCGTGCAACCCAGCCTCAAAGCAACGGAATTCTTTCGAAACCCGTCATGCGAGCACTGTGTTTGCCTTGCTTTTTAATTAAACTTAAACCCTGCAAGCTTGCTTCACATCAGCATATACGAATCTTTTGAAACTCATCGTGGCTCGTCCTCCCCGCCTTGCAAGCTTGCTTCAGAAGCATATATGAATCTTTTTGAAGCCCATCATGCGAACGGTTTGCAAAAGGGGCGGAGGGGGCTGCGCCCCCTGCCGTGCAAGCTTGCTTCGAAGCCTTCATTCATGAATTTTAAACACATCATGCGAGCGTTGCACATGGGCTGAGCCCACTCCCGCTGCCGTTCGTTCGTGCACTTTCAACACAGGAAAGCCGAACATTGATTAAGAAAACCGCGATGTGTCCTGTGTATTTTAGCAGTAAAACCGCTGTCTCTGAAATATTTTGCAAGGCAGACACCTCTATGTACTCTACATGTTCGTTGTACCTTAGTTTTCTCTTCAATAAGAAAGCCTTCTGTTTCCTCCGCCTGTTCTGGAAAGCCTTTATTCATGTTTGTCTGGTTTACATCAAGCCCGGCCTTAAAAACTTGTATTGGCTTTGTATTTGTATAGAGAACCTCTAGTTCCTTTGTATCTGAACACGACAACCGCTATTTCCTTTGCATGTGATAAGAAAATCACTATTTCATTTGTATTTTCATAAGGAAAGCCTCTTTTTCCTCTGGGTTTTTTCTTGGGAAATGCTGAAGAAAAAGGGTGATAACGTAAAAGAAAACAGGTGTACAATTCTTCCTCGCCCGTAGAGCATTGGAGTGTGTGCGGGTTTTTTCGAAGGTTTGGTGCGATGGCGTCCTCAGGTCAAGCGTCGGGGGCCGGGGGAAGTTCACAAAGTGTAATAGTACAGTAGCGACAGGTCTAAACTACCTGTTCGGATACTTAATGCTGCACTCGCGTTAGTAAGAGGCCCCGCGTATCCTCTTTCAACAGGGACGGGACCTGACGACTTCTGCCTCAGCCGAGACCAAAGACAAAAAACCTTCAGCTTCTTGTGAATGACAAAGCCCTCCCCAAATCAGGATCCCCAGGCTTCCTAGAACGTCGGATAGCACTTGGCAAAAGAGGTACCCTTTATAACTTTTCCGGAACTTCCTATACAAGCCGGTAACGATGCCAAAAGCGGGTGCAACATTACACGACAGGGCCCTACCATACCTTGCGTTGCGAGAAGAGGGGCGTGTTGTCCGTCACTAGCAGGCCGAGTCGTTGCAGAAACAACTCTCCCAGGCACGATTTCTGAGTTCTCTCGAGCCACACATTCTACTTTTGAATGTCTGGCACAGGCTGAAGCGAAAGACGAAGCTGCCAATAGCAAGGCGCGATGTAGTTGATCGCAATGCCATGTGCGATTGCGCTCCTCTGTCGCTGTTTCTGCTTGTTTGCTGCTGCTGCTTGCTGCCTGCTGCTGGCTTGCCACAAACATCCATGCCTTGCATTCCGGCTTCCCTATCCATCAATAGCCTGTCTTTCTAAGACGGGCGGGGTGAAATGCCCCAGAAAAGGGCGTGCCGCGGACTTCTGTTCCTGCGGCCCTGCTTGAACAGTGGTGCCCCCCCCCCCTCCCTTCCCATTTCCATGGTCTCTTGTTTCGGCGCGCCGTCAATGCCTTCTCAACTGGATAATTACTCCTTAGGATCTCCTCAGACTCCTACTCAGACTCTTTGAGACAGGTCCGGGACTGAGACCGGTTCCTGTGACCCTGCCCCTTCCCGGACCTCTTCGACGCATATGCTGTACCCCCTGGGATCCCCAAGCCTCCTACTCAGTCTCTAAGAAGAGACCACTGCATCTAATGGGTCTGCGCTGTGTCGCAGAGCTCCTTCGACTTGAACAGTGGCCCTTGCCCCACAGATGTCTGCATTTCTGGCAACAATCAGCCAGGAGTGCTGACACAGAGATTTTCCAACAATAGGTCCCTATTCTGTCTCCCCCCACGTCTCCCCCACCCCCTCAACAAGACATACCACGTAGCAGTCCCTCATGCGGCCAGGATCTCACTGAAGGTGATGATGCTCACAACAGGAAGAAGACGCTTCGAGAAGCACCATGGCCAAGTGAAGACAGGACATGATGGCAGAGCCCGTGTGCTTTCATGTGCTTTCGAACGCTGGGTACCCCCCATGGATCCCCGACAGGACCAACCCGTACACAAACTCGAATTTCGAGGCTGTGCGAGTGGCAGATTTTGCCAGGCTTGCTGTGCATGTGTTGCATAAGCCTAGCCGTACCATGCCGTACCACTGACCTGCAGCTGCTTGCTGGTTGAGGACGCAGGTCTTCAAGGGTCATTTGGGTGTCCGAGCCTTGGTCCCTCGTCCTGCTCTGCAAGTCCCTGCACTAAATTGTTTTCATCACGGCTCCCTCGAGGCAGTGTCACGTGTGGCTTTTCATCCCAAAATTCCGGTGGTTGCAACAGCTTGCGATGATCACACGTGGAAAATGTGGTCTGTTCCGGAAGGCGAAGCTGCACAAGAGTTATTCATACAGTACTCATACAGTTTCATAAATCAGCCGAGCCGGTGCCCGCGTTCTTCTGGACTTCATTGCAGGCCAGCTTGTTCTCAGCGGTGAGGGACACAGGCCAGCCCTGCATCCGAGTCATTAAGCTGTAAAATGGCACATGCAGCCATTCGCATTCGTGTGTGCGCACACATGTTTGTTGCATGACAGGGATTGGGTCAGTGGCATCTCTTTCCATCCACGCGGCTCCTTGGCGTGTGCCCAAGAAAGCGTGCTCGATTGCGTTTCTTTGAGTGCTGCATGGCTAGTGCATGTTAGTACTAAATCTCTGGGCAGCACAGCACACGCAGTGTGAAAACGTCGCCTTCGTCAGCACTTTGCGGCAACCACCCTACCCCTCTGCCTGCAAGAAGTGCTGCCAGTACCATTCTTGTCCCTATTATTGCCGCTTCAAGTGCACCCCAAATATCGGTGCTGCCGCGTTCAATTCCAGCAACTTACAGCAATGTACAGTCTTCAGATACATTGAAGCCTGCAACGTGCATCGCTTGGGCTTTCTGCAATTTAGCATGGCATTTCAAGCCAGCAGCAGTTCGAGCTGTCGAACGCCGTGTTGGAGACGCACATCAGGAACTGCGCGTTACAAGAAATGCCACTCCGTTTAAATGATCCTTTCCGCCATGTTGGGCTGCTTCAAGTGCGTTCCTGGAAAAAATTCTAGCTTGAAAAATGAAGAAGGGTTCGAGTCCCAAGCCGAGGTGTTGAGAAAGACACTTTGCCATTTAGGACTTGTTGAGTCCCGTGAAAGCTGGTGGTCAGGCTAGAACCAGGCTTTGAGGCATGACCAATCGCTTGCTCTCAGCTGGGTCAAATGCTACAATTTGCAGCTTCAGGTCGCCACATCGTCTGGGGACTCGACCGTTAAGATCTGGGATGTTGCCAAAGAGAAGTGCAAGCACACTCTGACAGATCACACCCAGCGCGCTACTTAAACCTCCAGCTGCAAGTGAGCTGAACGAATCAGCCGCTGTGAGCCTGCAGGCCTGTGTGGGCGTGCTCCTTCCACGACATGGGGGACTTTGTAGTCTCCTGTTCCATGGTCCCGGGCCCCAATCAGATTCAGAAGTCAAGATTGCGTGTGATGAGCCGAGCTAATTTGAGCAGATTTGAGCTATGTTTGCGGAATCTGGATCAATCAGGACCAGACAGTCAAGGCGTTTGACATGATGAGCATGCGATGCCGCCAGACATTCCGTGGTCATGTGGACTCGGTCAACTTTGTGACGTTTCAGCCGTTTTCCAATAACGTTCTTACCGCCGCCGGTGACAAAACGATCTCGCTGTGGGATCTGCGTAGCGGTCTTTGCGTGCAGACGTTCTACGGCCACGCGAACGCTTGCAACCATGCCATGTTCAACCTGAAGGGTGACACAGTGGCCTCATGCGATGCAGACGGAATTGTGAAGATGTGGGATGTCAGAGTGGTGTCCGAGTTCCTTCAAATCGACACGGGGCGCCACCCTGCCAATGCTGCGAATTTCGACCGAAGTGGAAAGATCTTGGCCATTGCGCCGCAGCCTTGGGCAGTGGCAGATTCGAGTAGAATTGCATGGCCCCCCCCCTCTTCCTCGGATCATGCGGATAATGCTCATGCGCTGTCATGTATGACAGCTTGCCAGCTCCGCGCGAGAAGCAGCTTGTGCAGGTCGGGTGATGCCTCCATCAAGACATTCAACATAGAGGACAAAGTCTTCGTTGCGAATCTGGAGGGGCATGAAGACTCCGTTCAGGCCAGGGCTGCCAGGGCAGCCAGGGTTGCTCCATGTCTACGCGTAGCAAAGGGAAAAAAAGCAGCTCGGCGTGGCATGTCTTGCTCCAGTCTTGCATAGTCTTGCTGTGAACTTGCACTTCGCAATACTTCCCACTAGGACGTGGTATTTGAGCCGCAAGCGAACAAGTTCCTCATCAGTGCATCCTCTGATGCTACATTCTCATTGTGGCAGTGACATGCATGCTGAAGTTGCTTCGTTAGTTGGGGATGCTATATCCATCACTGCGAAGCTGCTGGCTACTTGTTCGGAACCAAACAAGCGAAGCAACGGCTTAGTTTCACCGAATGCCGATGCACTGATCGTGGCTGTGGCAGTCGATGGTAAACGATGCCATCGATGCTTGTTCGGATTATGGAAAAGGCTTCAGCCCAAGTCAGTTGACATTTCAGGTTGACACATACACGTCGGCGCCGAGTTGCTCATACGGGTGCCGTTGCATGAACGTCGCACCGAGTTTGTGCCACTTTCAACCCTGTTAATGCACGATTGCGGGAGCTGCAGTGGTTTGTTCCGGCTCGCCTTGCACTTCTCAAGCACTTCGCCATACAAAACATGCTGCGGCCCAAGCCTGCACATCCTGCCCATGTGTCTCTCGGACTGTCCAGCCTGTCAGACTGAACCGAGGGCGATCTCTTTACGTGTGCTGGGGAGCGCAGCAGCTGTCCGATGCTGAGACATCAGATATGCAAGGCACTGTCGGAATCGCAGAGCATCAGAGAACCATGGCACGAAGCGTTAGGAATGCCTCAAGGTTTCGCAACGGAGCTTCCAGAATTGCTATAGTTTGCTCACGATAACCAAGATAGTTCAAGTACGTCAATATACGTCATTTAGGAGGCTGAGGCTTTTCTGTTTGTACTGCTGGACTTTCAAGAATCGCAGGCATGCCCCCGGACCTTATGCCTCAGGAGAGGCGGGGAGGTGGAAGGCTTGCAAAGGCACTTGGACCGCGCGGCCGCGCTTCATCACGAAAGCTAGCCCGTGGGAGCTAGCCGAGTCTCTTACCAACCGTGTACAACTGTTGTACAACAGGGGTGTGGCGAGGGGGTCCAGCCAGGGTGTGTGCAAATTGGGGCCAAGAGCAGCCTCGAAACCACGTTACTACATCTCCAAGCGCAGCGTCGAAACCACATACGGGTGGGCTGAATGCTATGCATCTCCGACAGCATCGTCGAAGCAGTGTACGGGTGAGTTTATCAGGGGATTTTTCTGGGGAACGCTGCGGTTGCCTGGAGTCTCTGCAAATTCTGCAAGGGGCACTCCAAGGATTGGTTCGGGATACTCTGGGCGGCACTCCAGGCGCTTCTCTGATAATACTCTTGTGCCTGGCAACCTCGGGATTTTCTGGGGATAGTCTGGGGTTGGGCTCTCTAGGGATTCTCCTGGGGCTTTGCACTCCAGGGATTCTCTGGTGATGCTCTGCACTGTGGGGTTGGGCACAGCAGGGTTTTGTGGGATGCTCTTGAGCCTCGGTAGATGGGGATACTCTAGGTTGGATACTCCAAAAACTCTGCAGGGACACTCTGGGGCATTCCAGAAATACCCTTTAAAATCACTCGGGGCTGGGGACCTCCAGAATTCTCGCAGGATTCTATTAGCACCTGCACTAGCTTTCGTTCCGGCCGTCCCCCACAAGTACGGCGCTTCATGCGTATCGAAGATGGGTTACATTCTGATTTACGAGGTTTCGAGGGTTACATGACGATGAAAACGTGTCATTTCTTTAGGGATGTCTTCTTTACAAACCCTCGAGCGGGAATGTGTTAGAAAGTTTGGGTTGGAACCCCTCATTGGTTGCGGGGGCCACCTTTGCCGGCTTGCTCAGTCAGGCTTTACCTCTGCGGACCAAAGCCACACGGATATCATGGATAATTACACGGATGTTCGACGCTCGAGGCGCGTTCCTGGAAAATAACGTGGTTGCGAATTACTACAATCATTTCCATCCCACAAAATGACGGCCATTCTGTCAAGGAGCCCCCATCAAAATGATTTCGAACGGGGGAGGTGTAAACATTCTGAGTGAAACATGTTTAGAGCATTTTAGAGCCATACACGAATACGGTTTGTGAACATGGGCAGTCTCCGGAATCAGCGCTGCAAAGCGAAACTGTTTTGCAGCAGGGCCTCGGTCACCCTCAACCCAAAGCCCTGACCTAACCACGACCTCCGAAATCATAAACCCTAATGAATAAACCCTAATGAAAAGCAACTGCAAGCATCTCTGTGTGTGTGTTATTGTTATACATATACATATATATATATATGTATATGTAGAGATACAGATTTAAACAGCGGGTGGCAACGAGAACTTATTAGCATTTACCATTTGCCTTGCCTGCCTTGTGCGAGTGTGAGCGTCGAAGCCCTGTGACGCTAAACAGGCGCGATGGGGGTCGGGGATTCTTGCGCTACTTGGTATTCTTTCGGCATGCGGTCCCAAGGTCCCGAGGCCAGCGGCTAAACGGCTAAACAGGGTGGGTAGAGTTGCCTGGGGCCAGCCCGACCCTCTCGCCCCACGAAGGAGAGGCATTTAATCTCCGGCGTCCGGGAGAACTCTGAAGGGGTAGCGTACTCCATTCTGTAGACTACCCACCCCGCTGATAGATTGTCGCCCAAAATTTTGGAGGGTATGGCTTGGGGTTTGAATGGTGGGATACAATAGGGTCGGGGGTTACCTGTGAGAGAGCCAATGACGACGATCCGAGATGCGTGTTGCCATGCCCATGTGCCGCGTGCTTCACACAGGTTATGGGTCAGAGAACCCCAAAAAACAAAGATGGGAGGACGCCTCAGCCGGTCACATGTGGGATCTACATATAGAGTACTATAGAGCATGGAAGACCTCTTTGGGGAATGTTGTTCTGAGGCAGAGAACGAACAACCACAATCCATTCTTGATGGAGCTTCCACATGGTGCGATGTCGCTTGGCCCCTGGAAATACATTCGCTACGTATTTCCAGCATCAGATGGTCGACATTGTTCGACACGACGCAGGTCAGGGTGTGGACAAACGTGAACAGTTTCCAGCACTGTTGTCGGTCTATATTGGTCTTACCAAGTTTGTTGCTGAACTTGAACCATCGCGGGCCGTTGACGCCTGATCAAAGCCTCAATACCCTCATGTGTTACGGCAGTGTTGTGCTCTCTAGGTTGCTGCGACATTTGCTCCGCGTGTGGAATGCAGGGAATGTGGCGAAACTCTTTTTGATGCACTGTTGATTTGTTGATCGCACTGCAAGGCCGAAGACGCCGAAGACGCCAAAGACACCGAAAACCCCGAAGACTCCTACGAGTCCAAAAACCAGGTTAGCTTTCAACCCAGAGGCTAGGGTGCGTGAATGGCTGATAGTGGCTGTCGAGACTTTGCAGCATCAGTGCAGTGTCTTCCCTGAAGGATCGCTTCGATTTCAGCTCATCTGTCACGCCCGTCTCCCAGCAGAGCCTTTGGCGATAGCCAGATTGAGTCCCGCAAGCTGCTTGGCTCTGTTCAGGCTCTCGCCGAAAGAGAAAGACATCGACAGACGTACTTTGGCAACTGAAAGGTGCACGGGCATGGGCATCATTCTTCGTGACCTGAGTTGCCAAAGATGTGTGGATGTGTGGGAGCAGGCCCACGCTTCTGGGGCGGGCTACTGCAACCGCTGCTCCGCATCCAGCTGTTGTGGCCCTGATATTGTTAATTCTGCAAATTCGAGAGGGCATGGTCAGCGAGTAAGTGCCACACGATGCTACACTAGTGCTGCGTTCGCATCTACGGTGGGTTCTGTCGGTCGGTTTGAAATTGTGAGAGTTGTGAGATGTGCCAGTCTTCTCCAGTCTCAAGCCCGCCTTCCAACGCGTGCGGTTCCAAGGGATCGCATCGAGAATGCTCACGTGTTGCGTCGTGTAGCCGTGATGAGAAAGTGTTGCAGATCGTTGCACTCTCTGAGGCGGAGAGTGTGCTTCGAGCAGGACAGCGAGATGCTTTCCGTCATGTCCCGCGAGGCATGCAGACTGGCATGACTAATGTGCTAAGTGCAATGACGTATGGGACATGTGAAGGAAATGAGAAGCGCAAAACATTTTGCATAGGACCTTCTGCCTGTTTCTGCCTGCCCTGCTTCAGGCACACCTCAGCAGGCAAAGGCGGATCAAAGATCGGCCTGACCCCTTGCATACGTTGCTGTGAGTGAATGATCTGATCAAGTGAAGCGAGTGAAGCTACGTTGCAGTGCATTGGTGCCAGTGTTGACCAAGGTTTGGCGTCTTTCGCGTGTAGCGTGTAGGACGGGTACAGCGCTTCCGTTTCACAGGAGCTCCGCATGGAAATTTGACGTGCTTCTCAGTTCAGAGCAGTGGGGCGAACTTCCCTTCCAGACATTTCCAGGAGCTTGCCTTGTTAAGGCGCTGCGCATGGCATGCTAGACTCCTAGACTCGGGCATAGCGTGATGACTGAGCGGGCATGGAACCGCTTCAACTGCACCCTTCTTCCATATTCCCTGTTGCTTTCAGCTCGAATACTTAACTCCTGAAACGGCGTCAACACAATGAAGCACACTTTGTGTGCTCTTGGTGGACACGGCCGATCTGTGCGACATGGTGGCTCCAAAACGTGCCCGAATTCAACAGCCCGAAAGCTCTTTGACCCCTCGCTGAAAGCGTGATGGCCAAGGCTTTCGTGTGCAGAACCTGCAGAATGCATGCTCTCGTTGGCAGTTTCGGCACGCACAGTTGCAACTCCAATGAATTGTTGGGATGTTTCTAACTGTTGCTGCTGCGGCACAAGGACCGCAACCAATATGGACTGATCACATTTGAAGCCTTGCAAGGTGCTTCAGAACAAGAAGCTGCGGTCAGTCAGTGGAGCATTGCTCGAACCACAGTTCTTCCGACCACGGCAAAACATGATACAGGCCGAGTGCACTTTTGAGCAGCAGGGTGCTGGACATTGTATGATATTGTATGTTGAAATAATATGTTGACAGGCAATCTGGAGCTGAGAGCTTAGTCATATGAGTTATATGCAGACCACTAGCGGCAATAGCGCCTGGCAGCTGCATCTACAATTTGCACCGGCCGTTCACATCTTTGCAGGCTGCTTTCGAGCAAACGGAGCTGCGAAAAATGGAATGTGGGATGGCACGGGAATGTGGCTTCTGTTGTTTCTGTTTTCTGTGAGCAGAAATGGGCGATCTATGCCCAAAGCTTTTGCTGCATTGCTCACTTTGCCCAGCTTAGCTTGGCTTATGCCCGATGACCTATTTGTCGAGCGCATGTGCAGTGCCAGGATGGTTGCATGTTGCGGCTTTTTGCGGCTCTGGCCCTTGGCCAAGGTGAGTCGCATGCCATGGTCTAACTGTTAACGAACAACATGGTCGCTGGATATATTGCGTGCACTGAATCCGGGCTCAGGAGATACTATCTGTGTGTTTATTTGCCAATGCAACTAGAGCTTCTGCACACCAAGCCACCCGTCAGACAACTAGACGTACTGATTGTTTCACTGTTTTTCTGGCTCCCTAGCTCCACTGGCAAACCACAAATGTGAGTAGATTCCACATGTGCTTGAACCATCTCACGTTTGTGAGACAATGGGCCGGAAAGGTCGAGCAAAGGGCACCGGCTGGTGGGGTTCTTCATGGAATGCCTGGGAGACGCTTGCATTGAATTGGCACAGCGTGCGTAGATTAGATGATCAGCTAGGCAGCGCGCAGTTTGTCAGTGCCGGTGACAGCGTCGGAGTGTCACAGTGCTTGTTTGTGTGCCGGCGAGACGGCGAGAGAGGTGAGTATGTCAGTTTGCGTGGCTGTGTGTGAATGTCTGTGCGGTGAGGTCCCCCGCCACCCATTTCGCACTTCGCATCCCCCATTCCCACATGCCATTTGGGGGGCTGCTCATGATCTTGATCTTGGAATCATTGCTTTGCTTTTGCGCGAGGTATCCCGGGTGGGAGTCGTGGAGTTGGCAAGATTGGCAAGATTCGCGACAAGATACGACTGAGAACAGCGGCAAAGGCTCGACCAGGAAGGGGAAGGTGGGAACAAGCCATGGCAATGGGAATGGACGTGGCAACATTGGAAACAAGTCCAAGGGAGATTCGTCTCAAGCAAGTGACATGGGCCAGGAGGATGCTGAAGCAACAGTTGCATTATCGAAAGAGGCTAAGACCGCAGGCACACACGCAGCAGACTGCCCATCAGACTTGGAAGGAAAGGCGCATGATGCGGCCAAAGAGAAGGTGCCAGACACGCACAAGTCTGGCCACGAGGTTGGTGGCGCTCCGGCTGACGTCCTCAACCAGAACGCGCAGGAGGACGAGGAGGAGTGGCTTCATGAGCGTCGCTCAGAAGGCGAACTTTGGAGCGATGGAGAAGAGGTGGAGGAAGCAGTAGATGCGGAGGAGGAGGGGGAGGAGGAGGGGGAGGAGGAGGGGGAGGAGGAGGCGGAGGAAGAGGCGGAGGAGGAGGAAGAGGAGGAGGATGAGGCGGCGGAGGAGGCGGAGGAAGAGGAGGAGGTGGACGAGGAGGAGGAGGAGGCGGAGGAGCAGGCGGAGGAGGAGGCGGAGGAGGGGGAGGAGCAGCTGGAGGCGGAGGAGGGGGAGGCGGAGGAGGAAGCGGAAGAGGAGGCGGAGGAGCAGGCGGCGGATGAAGAGGTGGCGGATGAGGAGGCGGAGGAGGTGGGCAAGCACATTCAAGACAATATGAAACCATCTTTTGTTTTTCTCAGCTAACAAGATCTAACAAGGGTTTGTTGCCAGTTCGCTCTGCGCCTGCAAGCTTCCCAACCGCGGTGCAACAGTGACTCATGACAGTGCGCTGAGGCATGTTGCAACCTGCTTCAGCCAAAACAACGATCTGGATGTTTTGAATACATTGAATACATGAAAGATAGGGGTGGCATTTGTGCGAACCAAACAGGGAAATCGGGGTCAAATCTGTTCGGCTGGCAGTAATTGCATTCCTGTGTCCTTCCCATGCTTGTCGTTGAAGGAAGAGCTGGGCGACGATGAGGAAGAGGAGCTACAACTAGAGGAGGCAGAGGAGGAAGCAGAAGAAGAAGACGAAGCAGCCGAGGAGGACGAGGAGGAGCAGCAGGAAGACGATCAGGAAGAGGAAGAGGAGGAGGAGGAAGAGGAAGAAGATGAAGACGAAGATGAAGATGCAAATGAATCAGAGGTTGAGGAAGCATGTTCTCCCAAAGGGAAGGGTAAAGGCAAGGGAAAGGGCAAAAAGGCACTCTCGGACGACGATGAATCTCCCGGTTCCAAAGGCGATCCTGGCAAAGGCAAAGGGAAGACAAAAAGCAGTAAAGGCAAGCTTGCAGCGAAAGGGGCAGGCAGCTTGTCAAGCAGCATGCGTCAGCTCCCGGTTTCTTGTGTGGTGTTATGTTGTGTTCAGATGTGGACTCGGCTCATACATGTGTAAGCCTTTTGCAAATTCACTGCAAACAAAGCGGTGTCTCCTAGCATGAACTTCAGTCCTCGATGAGGTAAAAGCAGAGCCGTCAGCGCCGACTACGTCGACGAGAGCAGCGAATCTAGTGATGATGATGAGCGGGATCCTGCCGAACCTGTCACGCTCTCAGTCATTCTCAGCTTGCTGGAATTGATTCGCGTGACAGTTGCTGAATCTAGAATCTGGGCTGGCCAGGGTCTAGGACATCTTCCGGACTGTGTCGAGTAACTCGTGCACACCATTGCACAGCGATTTGTTCATGTCAGCCCGGTTGCGTAGAGCAGGTGTGGTCCACGCATCATTCTGTGTGTGCAAGGACGTCAAGGGCAAAGGCAAGGGCAAGGGCAAGGCCTTTGGCAAGGGCAAGGGAAAAAGTGGCTCAGCAGCATCCAGCAGCACTCACTAGTGACTAGTGGCCATGCCTGTCCAGAAAGCGGGTTTTCATGAGGCTCTGTGTGCAGATTGTTTCGGATTTGTGCTGTTGGAGACTTGTTTTGCGTGGCTTTTTCCGTTGGTTTCATTTGCTGACCGTGCGCACCTGCTTGTTCGCACGCCTCTTTGCGACTGCTCTTCGAAGCTGCACTTCGAAGCTGAACCTCTACCTGACTAATTCTCGCTGATTCGACACCATCTCATGCTAGGTTGTAGGCAACAAGTGCCAGTATGCGCCTCTGCTTCATGAGCTGACAGCGAAGCCGAGGAAAAGGCAAAAACAAGATGCCGTAGCGAGGCCCCTGCTCGCATGGTCCTGCCAACCTGCGAGCAAAAAGGAATACATTCAAGCACATCGAGATTGACAGGTGTTTTCATGATTTTGCCGTGTTGCAGCTCATATTATTGCTTGCCGTGAGAGTTAGTGTGCTTGTAAAGCTTGCGCACGCCGCCTCGACAGCCGGGCCGGGCCAGCCCGACCCGAGGTGCAGCATGCGCATGGCAACGAGAAGTCCGAAGAGTAATGTCCAGGAGGTCCCAGGGGTCCCAGAGTAGGGCCACCGCGACCCTGACGCGACGCGTTTTTTGATGAGCTTCAAGCAGCGCCACACACGTCATGCGTTCAGGAGGTTTTAGGGTGGTCACAGGGGAGTCCAAGGGATGTCAGTTGGGGAGGGGGTAGGGCTGGGGTAAGTTGCTTGTTCCAGATGCTTCTCGACCAATATGGTATATTTCGACAACCTGCTTTCCGATCTTCCAGAGTTCCCGGCATGTCTTTGCTTGATTCTCTTTGGCTCACAGTGCACTATGTCAGCTTGTGCTGCCCGAAGGCCGGTCAGTGTGCATGGACACATGTGATGACACATGTGCTGGCGTCATAGACGCCATAGAGTACTCAAAATGTCATGCCGGGCCGGAATTGGCCGACCTAGCCTATAGCCACTAAAGGATTCAAAAGTCGAAGAAGCGCACTCGAGAGGCGATGCACACACAAATGGCATGCCAGACTGGCCAGACTCCATCCATGACGCCGAGGCAGGAGCTTGTCAGGCTTTGACTCTTTACATGAATTTGACAGTGTAGGCGCGTGGTGGCGCGGCCCATGCTTCAGAGCCAACAGCGAGACGCGCCAGTCTCTGGTCGAGGAGATTAGTACCCACTTGAATCGGCAGCCGGCAGAGCAGTGAGGACTGAATACCAAGGTGCTGAGAAAGAGGTCGAGAACAGCACGCTCGCCATGTTGCAGGCTCTGCGGACAGCAAAGAGTGTGCCTGGCAAGGACACGTGCATGCGATAGAACATGGTAGAACCATTCTCGGCTATGCTTGTTGTTAATGTTTGTAATTTTCAAGGCCGACGTCACAGCGATACAACACTTGGCTAGGGCCGGTCACCATGTCAAAGCACAACCAAGAGTATCCGGAAGCGGCACAATCCACGATTCTAGCGCAGCTAGAAGACGCTAGAAACCCCATGAAGCCACAAGGTGGCTGACTAGTTACCTCTAGTTACCTCTAGTCACTAGCCACTAGTTTGAAAGCATATGGCGGGCCCGAGGCTTTGGTCTGAATATGTCTCAATCCCACCCAGTCCAGGAGCTCTTGCGACTGATCGATGAACACTCGCAGTCCTGTGAGGACTGCGGTGCATTGCCTTCCTCGTGCGTCGTTCAGAGCCGAACTTGTGCTAGGAGTACGCCGAGATCCTCCCGCAAGCCTGGAGCAGGACTGCATCTGAATCTGTCTTCGTCAGTGATCCTGGCGACCTAGCTGTCCCAAAGCAGGGTCAACAAGCTGACGGAAGCTCTCCGTGTCGATCTTCGGGGCTCAGGCGCCTTCGTTACTCTGTTCCTGAAGCCAGAAAAGGTGCAAGACTGGGGGAACAACGGGAGAGCACGTGCTTGAGAAACATCGATGGGGTAAAGTTCATATATAAACAGACACGGACAAAAACAAGGACTCTGTGTTGTGTGTGTGTTACACACAAGCAGAATCAAACAGAGCAAGGCTGAAACAGCCAAACTTCGAGCCTTGTTTGCAACTTCCAAATCCAGAAAACCGTTGAAAGGGGGAATTGTGGAAGTAGGGGGCTAGGGCTGCGTGTGAGCAGGGAGTGGGTCTTCACTAACGCCGACCCCCGCTGCCACAGGCAATATTATCATGCAAACGCCTTCTCGGAATAGTTACAGTCCTGTATCGCTCCCCCTAATTCCAATGCAGCGACTTTTGAGTTAAGGGAAATGATCTAAACATTCTGCAAGCCTAATGGACTGCGCGGCTTGCCAATGACGGACTGGCGTACAAAAGCAGAAATAACTTACTTTTCCGAACGCACGAACGCACATAATGAAGAAATTGCGGATCGACGTTCAAGCTTAAGGAGGTGACAGAGGCATAGTCCCTCCATTGAACGATTTTTTTTTGTTCTGGTTCTTCTTTGTGTGGTCATCATGATAATGGTACGCATCGGCTGTTGGGAGCCGGCATGAGCCGGCAGTGCTGCTTTGTCCGCGTGATGCGGGTTTGCAAGCTGCACCGTTCCTGCAGTTGTTCCAAGCATGCATCTCTCACGTCTTGTTTGTTGCTGCATCTAGCAAGCACAGTGGACGAAGGCTTCAAAGAGTTGCCAGCAGACGCCGCCACCCAGTCCGATCGTTGGCTTCTTCAGCTCCACGGCAAGAAGCGCAATGAATTTGACACTCCGTCACTCAGGTCTGGCATTTTCAGGCCTGCTGGTAATTTGGCTCTGGGCTCTGATCCTGTCAGCTTGCTGTCACCCGACTATCGACTAGAAGTTGCAATAGCAGTTGCAACTGCGTGTTTGCAGCGAAACAGTATGAGAGCACAGGATTCATAAATGCATAGCAGTCTGACCCTGCAGTGAATTTCTCTCCTCGCTGGGGGTTGCGACGGACTTGGTGCAGACTTCACAAGCGCAGGCCCGGAAAATTCAGGATTAACACGGCAGAAAACTGCATGTCACTATATGACTCTATGACTCTTTGTCACTGACCCGCAAGTCTTGCCAGGCGGCGGCCTTGCCCTCCGCTACTCCGCTTGAACCTGCAGAGCAAGCTGTTGAACTGGGAGTTCTGCGCAAGCCTTACAGTAAGCCTTTCATGTTCACACTGATTAGCGTGACCCACTCGCCTACCCCACATTGCAGGCGTGTACCCTTGTATCCTCTGAGAGCTTATTGAGACCTGAGCAAGGATGCAGTCGTTCTTCCAACATTTTTTCATGTCAAGGCTTGACCACCTCGAGCAAGGACCGGCCAAAGCCTTGCAGGCCAGAAGGCTAGCAATTCATGGGGTTTGCAATTCATGAGGCTGTTGGTGCTGTTAGTTAGTGTTCAAGTGCCTTTTTCCCTGTAGTTTGCGTTGTATCGTACTGGTCATCAGAACATACGTTCAGGGCTTCTGGGCCTGATATGGCGTGTAGCAATTGCTGGCAAAATGAATTTGTTCAGAAAAGGCTGGGCGGCGGCTGGAGAGCGAGCTGAAGGACTTTTGCTGTAAGGTGGCTTGAACATGATAAAGTATAATTTCGATCCGGACGTTCGGGAACTGTAGGCTCTTCTACTTCCCAACATCATACTGCTGCCTTCCAATTTCTACAGACAGGGAGCCCGATGAAACATCCACAGCCCCAACAAATCTGGAAAAAAAAGGAACTCGGCAAATGACCGAATATGAAGCGAACAATCGCAGGGCAAACCAGGAAAGACGGAGCAATCCGGAACTTAGGCCCGAACAACACGACCACAAGGCAGAAACGTCACAAATACTCTGAAAATGCAAGAAGTGCCAGACAAAAAGATCAGCAAGGCTACGACGCAAGGACGTTTCGGGATAGGGACACCAAGTGCAAAAGCAACCGTGATGCTGCGAGGTGTCGCTTTGCCTTATGTGCATTAGCCCTATTACCCTGTTGTTTTTCTGTCCGTATTAGTGGTGAGCTTGTTCACAACAGCACACGGTTCCGGCTCAATTTTTCAAGAAGAAACCATGGAAAAAACTAAACTTGGGGACCTATAGCACCATAGCCCCCGCCCTCTACACAGATGTCAAGCCGGCTCGGGTTTTCGCGACCTGGTGCCTAAAGACTTGTCAAAGTTCTGAGCAGGTCGGACTTTCGGAAAAAATCACAAATTCAGAGGCACGCAATTTAGTTAAGTTGTCGCGCCCGCTCGAGTTTGTGACATGGTGCCGAGCCAGGCAGTGTTTTTTTTGTCCAACCGCATTCTTCGAGATGGCTTGGCGCATCGTCCCATTCGAGTTTGAACGTTTCAACTTTCCACAGGTTCAAATATAGTTTGAGAGAATCATCATTTGAAACCCGTTCGAGTTGGAGGGAGTTCGAGATGTTGAGGAAACTTTGAAAGCGTCATTCGCCCTTCGCTCGCAAACGCTTCTTTCGCCTGCAGCCTCTCCTTCGTGAAACGTTGTGTAGTTTTCAGAGTTCAAGGTTTGGGATTAGGGTACCCGAAGCTGCCCCTTCTAAACTGGAAGGCAGTCCTTGGAATCCTCAAAGCCCGAACAAACCCCCGAGCCCACTAGCCCCTTACAAAGGGCCTTAGGGTTTAGAGTCTTCCAGGCATCAAACTTTCACATCTCGTGCTGTTCGCACTTTCAAACTCCGAATCTCCGACGCGTTCAAAGTATCAAACTGTTCGTGCTCGGGTGTCAAACCTCAAAGTTTGAAGCTTGACACTTTCACAAACTCGCAGGGGTCTCAGCATTTAAGAAACTCATGGGACGTTCTCGAAGCTTAGAGACCCCCTCCCACCCTCTCAAACTTTTTTGCAGTTCTTAAACTCGATAAGTTCTCCAAAGCCGGGCCCGACGAGTTTTTCTCTCATGCGTGTGTGGTTTTAACATTTTTTAACTTTTGAAGGCCGAAATAGTTCAAACTGAAAACTTCGAGCTTTCGATCTCCATGCCATGGTTCCTGGGCCACTACACTTCAGTACATGTGCATGCCTTCTTCTCCTCTGGTCATACAACGGCATTTGGCAGAAGACATTGCGGACAGTTTGCTCTTGTTCTTGCATCAGTTGGCTACTCGAATGTGGAAGCAGCATCAGCGCATTTTGCTCTCTGATGTCTTGAACGTCTGCTCAGATGTCTTTCCTTGATTCGCGTGTGCTTCCTCATGGTGACATGGGTGAATAGAACAGTTTGCGTCAGATTGCCTGGTGTGACTTCTGAGAAGCTGCATGTTTGCCGGCAGCCTGCAAAGTCCGTTGCTCATTCTTCAAGTTCTCAAACTACAAAGTTGCAACTGACTTTTTAAACGTTTCAAATGTTCAACGGTTTAATCAGTACTCGTGACGCCTATCCCAATATTCGATCCCGACCCCGGCTCTCCTTCCCTGAAGGGGTTTAATTTTGTAGCATGCTTTCGGTGTACTTCTACTAACTTGACCATTGAAGTACTATTCCGGTTCACGTATTTTATTGGAAGTGGCTATTCAGTTTTGCTAACAACAGAATCAAGAATTCTACTTAATGTTCTTCGCCACCGCTTAAACAAGCTCGTTAATCAATTGAATCGAATCCCCTCAACTAGCGAGGGGACTTCAGACCCCGCTTGGCCGACCATGTCTGCTGTAGGTCTGAGGTGCTCCCTCTCGGGCAATCCTGTCCCTGGCTGGGGCAGTTCAGACCTTGCAGGAACGGTAGTGAAAACTCATGCAAATCAGTCTTCAGAAAGCGACCTTGTTTTTGCGGATGCTTGGGCGGCTCTCCCTGATGTGATCTTGTGCTTGCGTCTGAGTCTGGGCATGGGCAGTGCAACTGGTGGTCGCAGGGCCTGGCTTGTCGTGCTGAAGTCCAGCTTTGCCCAAGCTCTATACATGGGTAGTGCTTTGGCGCAGCGCCCGTTTCTTCATCTCGTCATCTCCGAACTCCAGCGGTGAACCATTGTGAATCAATCAGGTTCATTTCGAGCATGCGGGACGCGAGGTCTCTGGAACGGTCTTGGGCGGGACAGGCTGAACGCAGGCGTCCTCCTTGCTTTGGCCATTGGCTTTCTGCCCGGCTCCTGTAGGCTGGGCATTCCACTATCATTGCGCTATGGTCGCTCTGGTGGGCCTGGTCGTGTCATGTTGCGTCATGCAAAACCCGATGCGTAGCTTGGCGCGCACTCTGGCCACGTAGGTTGGGGCCCGGTTGGGCAAGGACTTGCAGTGGTTCACGGCTCCACACATGCTCTGAGTCCTCTTTGCCATCTTCTCTTCCCAGCCTCGATGCGTCTTCAATCAATTGAAGATTCTTCAAATTTCTTCAGTTGCTCCAATTTCTGCAGTTAAAATACCATTTTCACCCTCTCAGCCTTATTTATCACACGGGCATGGTTGCCCGTGACATTGCCTCCCTGTGGGATGTTCACGATATGTTCACAATATGATGGGCACAGCATCATCCGTCCTGCGCAGTGCTAGGAAATGGTCAAGCTTCTGCAACGGCTACGAGTAGCTGGCCCAACTTTTGAGATCGGAAAGACTTCGCCAAACCGACTTGTATGTTCTCAACGGTCCGAGAGACATCTCTTCAAGATGAGGCTTCATGGCCCGAGCTTCGGGCTTCTGTGGAAGGAGCCTTCGAATCTGGAACGCACATCAGGCCAGTTGCCAGAAGCAGTTGCGCAATCACGCCGTGTCAAGACGGCTGTGGACAAGACGCCATGCATCATCATGCAGCACACAGGACAAAAGATCTTGCGCAGGCCCTCAAGCAGGCAGTTTCCTCATGCTTGCCACTGGTCGGGAGACTGTGAACGTCAGTTTCTTCAGATCTAGGTTCTGCAGTTCCGGAGACAACTCAGCGCTGCTGTCCCGAGCATTGAAGCTTTGCTAGTGTCTCAGAGTATGGTGAAGTCCTGACCTGCTGCGTTGCGTCCTGGATACCTGACAATTTCACAGTGTTCTTGTCGGCAAATGATTTAATGCTGAGTGTGCCTGTTTTTGTTGGGGGGGCTGATGCTTGCTGCTGTTTGATCTGTGTTGCCGCTGAGGTGTGACTCCTTGGAAGACGCGACGGAGCAGGTCCGTCAACGAGAGGAGGACGACTCTTCCTGACCACTTCCAGCCATCATAGAGGTGCCATCGTGTCACATCCTACTTCGATCTGCCTGTAGCTGATCAATTCTTTGTGTGTCCGATGTCGCATCGCTGTAACAACACAGACCAGCTGCATGCGCAAACTGAGCTTTTTCTTCTGCAGTTATTAATGTTCGAACCGATGGCACGGCAGAGGAGAGAGAGAGAGAGAGAGAGAGAGAGCTAGTAGCCATTTTGGCTCAAGTCGGAACCCACCCCCGGCTTGAGCCAGTGGACAGCCGTACAGCATCAAGGGCCAGATAAGACAGGGGACCGAGACGAGCGGCGTTAGAGGGGGGGTGGTTGTGTCTCATGCGTGTTGCCATCGGGGCCTTGCTAGTGTGAGGTTTAGGCACCCCTCTCTGTCCGCGGAAACCTGCAGGTCCAGGGAACAGCGAGGTTTGTTTACGTTCTTGGGGGTGTGTTCAGGGGCGCATGTGGTCACCTTGCCAGGACTTCACCTTTCGGGGGAGTGTCAACTTGCTCAGGGATAAGAAGTCAGAATTCGCCCGCTCCGCCATGGAAAGAGTTGCCGTCTGGCAAGCCCAAGGGACTTTGAACTGCCCTGCTTGCCTCTTGGGGCATGCGTGGAGGGGAGACTGTGCCAGTGAGCTGCAGAGACAAGAGCGTGCAGCAGAGGGGGAGAGGCGAGCTGTTGTGCTGGAGTCCGTGAAGACGCGTGCAAAAGCTCCCTCGAATGGGGGACTAAGCAAGAGACCGCCCACACCCACTTCCTCGTCGACTGCGTCCACAAGTTCTGACTACAAGCAAGGGGAACAAACGCCATCCTCGTCTTCCCGAAACATGGCCCTTTGGGGGGAAAGGCAAAAGCGCGGAGGCAGCAGATCCCGGCCGTGGTTAAAGTGCAAAGGCGAGGAGATGGTGGGCTGAAAAGGCAACGCTTAAGCACGGGTACTGAGCGCTGCGCTACACAGCTTGGACTACAGCCTGAGCAGGGGGGGCCCAAGCCGAACCTGCCGAGCGGGATGGGAAGCCTTGAACACATTGTACATTCGTTCCGCCCGGGGGAGTTGGGAAGGTTTGGGGAGGTTCGTGGCCTGGATTCGTGTTGGGGGGGAGGTTTTCGTTGCGGTGTTGTCTTCTCGCTTTGAGTGCCTGCAGCGGAGGTCAACCTTTTCAGTGTAAATCACGCACTATATCGGAGAAACATTCAATACACGCTTCTGATTAGAAGCCCGGAGAATAGCTGACTGTTCACCAAGTAAAGGTGCCGAAAGCACCGTCAACGGGGTGAGGACGAAATTCGAGGGTGGGGCCAACTAACTTCTCGCTCCAATCAGATAGAGGTGCACGTTTTTACCTCACAGCCCGCCGCTTGCTTTTGTGCGCAAAGTCGCCTGGCTGAGGCACATTGGGGGGAAAGGGGGCCAGGTTGAGTAATGGGTTGGGGTTGACCTTCAAAAACCCCTAGAGTAAGGAAACAGCGCCCCCCAATGGTAGCGTCACACAGCCACACTGAGCCAAGAGAAGAGCATGAACAGAGCCAGGCGCGAGAGTCTTCTGGTGGGGTAAATAGGATAGAGGGGGGAAGGGGGGATAAAAGCGCCGTGCTCATACGACACGCTTTTCTCCGGGCAACTCGGAGGGTCCCGAATACCGGGGCTGGCGCGACGCCAGGGGGCTTGCCCCCATGCCCCCAAGAAAGAAAGAAAGAGAGCTAGGGAACTCGTAAGTGCAGAGAAGAAGAAGAAGCTAGGGAAAACCTATACATGTCTCACACCGATTCAGACACAGACTGGGCGCGCCTCGTGCGCGGAGAGTGCATGCGGCGTTCGTGCGCTCTTCAAGCCCTGGAGAAGAAGAAGAAGAAGAATAAGAAGAATAAGAAGAATAAGAAGAAGAAGAGCGAGAGAGAGAGACAGAGAGAGATACACAGTAAATACAAAAGGGAATTTGCATGCAGCGCAATCTGTCGAAGTTCGCTCGCAGCTGAGTCAATGCCAGGCCGAGCAATGGATTGACTGGCAGGATGCCTTGAATCACACACACACACACACAATCACACACAGAGACAGAGGCAGACGCAGACGCAGAGAGGCAGATGCAGAGGCACACGCAGAGGCTGACGAAGAGGCACATGCAGAGGCAGACGCAGAGGCGGGGGGCAGGGCAAAAGGGGGGGTCCTGCTATGTCCTCATAAGCATTGAAAAATGCTGCCAAAAGAGAAGAAAAACGGAAGCCCGAGCCACGCAAAAAAAAACAACTGACGCGCCCACGACAAGATCATCCCCCGGACGACATGGACACAGAGAAGACAAAATGCCCCCGCCCCAGCGCAAGGCCCAGCACCCACGAGCAATAATCGCCAATGATACACTTCAATACCCTTCATGCCCCTTTCGAAAGGAGATGAAAGGAGGTAGCGGCGCCGGGAAGTGCTCTCATGGCTAGTGGGAGAATGAGGGAGCACTGTATGAGGGCTTGGCCACTCCCAATACCTCTCCAGCATGAATCCTGCATATCAACACACAGTTGATACAGTTGATACACACTGTCATGTAATCCAGGAAGCCGGATTGACCTTGGAAAATTCGCGCGTGCAACAAGTGGAGCGGCTGATGAATTCGAAGAACGGCCAAGACAAAAACTCAGGAGCCACCTGAAATCCGGTTCGGATCGCGCCCGAACTGGCATATGGCAATCCAGAGTCACAATCTGCTATTGGGTTTGTTCATTGTTTGGCTTCTGTCTTCTGCAGTCAACCTGTCGCTAGGAGCGCTTGCGGTTCAAAGCTATGACACGAGATGTGCTTGACGGCCAGAACAAGGCGAAACCGCGTCATTAGCCGTCACGATCAATCAAGCTGGGTAGTATCCCAGCTGATTCCAGTCGCTGGTCCACCGTCAGAGCTGAGGCTCGACATTTGCCGTTTGGATATCAAGCGCATGACTCTTTAGTTTGACGCACACACTGGCACGCATGCAGCTGCACGTCCTGGCCTATGACACTCAGTGGATAGTACTAGGCAAGGCTTCAGAAGCAGAGACGATGTAGCAACTGCAAGGCATTCCACACGTGCAGACATTCAAGCATCAGCTTGGTATGCCTTTGTGCTCATTCCCAATAGCCTGCCGCGTTCCCAGCTCCTCGCGACATGCGTATCGCATCGTCTGTGCTCAGGCACTGGGGCTTCGACGCGAATTGTGAGCAAGCGTCTACGCAGACCTGCGTAGAGAATGAAGCTTTGCAGCAGCCAGCGTGGCCAGGATCATCATCGTCATCAGGGGTGAGGAAACAGAATGCCGCAGCATTTTTTCAGAACGACCGTGGCCCGCCAGGCACAGAGACGTCCGGCCGGCCATATAGATCGCGGCAAGGCAACGCGTCATTTCTAGGACTGGGACTGCCAGGCAGTTCCAAGAATGACCTGCGCAAAAGCCCACGGTTGAAGCATCATGTGCAGATTCGATTGCAACTCCAGACGCCAGAAATATACGCCACGGATATTGGAGATGAATTGCCATTCATGGGTCCACTGCATGGCTGCATGGTGCCTGATGCAGATGGGATGGGAGAGCCGGGGCTTATACACCCAGAGATAACATTCAATGCATTGCCTCCAATTTTTGGAGGAATTCGTGAAGTGCATGTGCACTTGGAGGACCTGACAACGAATCAGGTTTTTTGGGATGCCGACTTCAAGCTACCCTTCTTCGACCCAATCATGAATCTCGTGGGCAAAACGCGGCTAAAGAAATACACTGTACCGAAGAACATGGCAGACATGTTCCACAAGCCCTGCGTGGCACGAGACGACATGAGGCCACATTTTTTTGATTTGAGCATCCGTACTCTGGGCAAGTACTGGGACGATGTCTTGGAGGAGTGGCGACCGAACAAGGGTTTTAAGGGCAGAGGGCCCGAGGCCCACATCGGCTTCGTCGTCCAGAGAATGCCTGAGCTGTCCTTCGACGGGAAGACCGAGCAGCTTGGCTTGTGGAGGCGCCCAAATTCTCCATACTCAGCAGACGGCGGGGAGATCCAAGATCCTTTTGAACGAGTGCTTGCTGGGCATGAGGATCCTTTTTACGATCGCATGAAGGGAAAGACCCAACGTGGCTACTACGACTACATCATTACCAAGGGCGGTCGTACAAAAGACAGATTCGACTACCTTGCCAAATATGGACCACCTTTGCTCCTTGGAGTTCCGCCTGGATTAGACGACGAGCCAGGCAATGGTCTGCCGTTTGGCAGATGAGAAAAAGCAAAAAAAGAGAAAGAAAAAGGTCCTACTGCGTCGAGCTGGCACGGATGAGAGCAGCAGAGAAGCTGGGACATGCTGGGACAATGCAGGCCCTTGCGGCGCGAGTGTCCGCCGTGTTGTGGCTGAGACGCTGTCGATCCAGCCTGAGCCTCACACGGCCTGGAACGTGCGAGAGTTGATGACGTTGAACGCTTAGGTGCTGCAAAGCCTGATCAGTCTAGGCTCGGCGACCAATTTCAAACCCAAGCACCTCTTTATGCAGCTTTGTCAAGTCCGGGTTCTTGTTGGACATGTCTGTGGATTCCAGGTTCGATATCGAGCAGGCTTCGGAGGCAAGACCCAGACTTTGCACAACTGTGCGCAGCGCGTGCACAAATTTGCCGAAGAGTTTCGAAGAAGCTTCGCGCAGAATGCGGTTTTTTGAGCGCAGGCACTGGAGCGCAACTTGGAGGCGCACTGCCGAGAGCCTTAGGGCACCTTGCTCGACCGCACCGACAAGTACATCAATTACGTAGTTATCTGAATGTTACGGCACAGGTCATTTTTTTAGAAATTCGAGAACTGAGTTGCAAATTCTCGTTTGTTGCCGTATTGTTGTCCTATGTTGCCCTTCAAAGAACTAGTTTGCGAAAAGCGAAGCGATCTACTAGATCACGAGACCTTTGCATGACACAATTCTGACGTGAGGCGGCAAAGGATATGGAGAGCCGGCTTGTGAAGGGCGCAGGGACAGCAGGGGCCTCCGTCCGCTTGCACAAAAGCTTGTGTCTGCCAGTATGTGCCCTCTCAGGTCATGAAGAGAGAAGCATGCCACCAAGTGGTGCAGCGCACTGTGGCCAGGCAATTTTCGGAGTCCCAAATGATGAATTCGTCAGGTCCATGTCGGAAGTCAGAGATTCCAACTGTGTCCAGTCGTGTACCCAAGGGGGCGGGCAGGGGGGTGGTTGCACTGGTTGCGCTTTTGGGAGTATTCCGGGGAGCGAGTACGGTTAGTAAGTAGTAGTAGTAGTAGTAGTAGTAGTAGTAGTAGTAGTAGTAGTAGTAGTAGTAGTAGTAGTAGTAGTAGTAGTAGTAGTAGTAGGAGTAGTAGTAGTAGTAGTAGTAGTAGTAGTAGTAGTAGTAGTAGTAGTAGTAGTAGTAAGGATAAGGAGTAGGAGTAGGAGTAGGAGGAGGAGGAGTTAGTGGCTGGAATAGGAGGAGTAGTAAAAGGAGGAGAAGAAGGACCACGGGCTGGAGAAGGAGTTCAGAGTGGGAGTAGGAATGGAACAGTGGTAGTAGCCGGGGCGGCAGCAGAAGAAGAAGAAGAAGAAGAAGAAGAAGAAGAAGAAGTAGTAGTAGTGGTCGTCGTCGTCGTAGTGGTAGTGGTAGTGGTAGTGGTAGTGGTAGTGGTAGTGGTAGTGGTGGTAGTAGTAGTAGTAGTAGTAGCAGCAGTAGTAGTAGTAGTTGTAGTAGTAGTAGTAGCAGTAGTAGCAGTAGTAGTAGCAGGAGTTGAAGTAGTCGACTAGTTACTAGTACCAGTACTTGTACTGTAGTGCTACAGTACTGTAATACTAGTAGTACTAGTAGTATTACTGGTACTACTAGTACTTGCACGAGTACGAGTACTAGTACTAGGCTGCGTTACCCGCGTTTTTTCGGACCAACTCTTGCTTCTAGTCCGTTTTGTTTTGGTGGGGCGGGGGGGGGGGGGGCTGGCCGGGCTGGTTACGTGCTTGTTTTAACTGCACACCTTTGCGGAGAGCAGGCGACTGCTGCAGAGATGCCGAAAACACGGGAGAGCTCCTATGTCGACATCACCAATACAGCCAGCACACGTTCAACGTCTACGTGCTCAAACAAAGCATGTCTTCTACTCCACCCGATTTCATCGCGCCTGCCAGCGTCCTATACTTTTCATACAACGACTTTACACCAAAAAGAAGCATGCTACCCTAGCGCAGCCTGCAACGGCACAGCTAGGCCACAAATCTGCGGGCAAACGTGGGTAGCGCATCCTGGTACTAGTACTACTAGTACATTCGTCGCAGTTTCAACCCCCCGCCCCGCACTCCGCACCGCGTGACAACCAGAGGGATTGCCTGCAACCGAAAAATAGACTGCACTGTACGAAGTTGCACGCCGCACAATCCACAAATCCACAGTTTTACATTGGCAGGCAGTGATTTCTCGAATCCTCCTCTGGTCATGCAGCCACAGAAAGCCTCCTGAAACCTCAAGTCATACTGTCATACTCGTTACTCCAACGAAAGAGGCTGTCAAAGCTGTCCAGCTGACGTGTGCAGGTTGTCCGTCTTGCGTGGCAAAGTTCTAGCTGCAGCCGAAACGGTTTCAGCTGCAAGGCCCGTGACTGAGCTGCATGATCTCGCGTTCTGTTCCTCCGTAAATTTCCTTCACTTGCAGGCCCTTGTCGGATCAGAGGCGTCAGCGTGAGTGTCATTAAAGTGGGGGTTCTTGCAAAAGACAGACGAAAGGCGAGAAGAAGGTGTGAACGCCGCAGCCCTTGCCACATGGCTCTGTGGCGATGGAAAAGACTATGACCTTATATAGCTTCTTGGAAGGGCAGTTCCTGACAGCCAAGCTATACTGTAGTCACTATCACGATCGTTTGCCAGCGTGCAGAGACAAAGGAGCCCTGACAGGCCCTGACGGCCATGACCTCCCAAGTTAAAGCCGCAGAGCGAAATCGAACATGGTCAGAGACCCGGCCTAAGCGGCAGGAGGCAGAAGCGGAGCTACACCAAAGCAGAGGTCACAAAAAACCCAGAGCCTGCTGATATTCATGAGTGAAGCCCAAACCGGGCCACTGTTATGTGTCTGCACCATTTCGTCCCTCCCCGTCTCCCCCCATGCCTCCGCCTCTCCTCCATGCTGTTGTTCTGCTTGATGCTCGGAGCCTGGCGAAGCTTCTGGAGGGTGTGTTAGTACGTGACTCGATCGTAGATCACAGTTTCACCTCATTTTTCCAAGCCTCAGGGCTTTGGAATCCAGCCTCTCCTGGAACCGTTGTGCTCGTTTGGTAGCATTCAGCGGTTGCATTGAGCTCGACAGGGCAGACTTAGCCGGAGCGCGGCGAAGCAGCCAGCTGGCCCTGACGGAAGTGCGATACTCAGCAGCCCGTGGACATCTCAGCGGCAGGTTGATTTAAGATCATTGCTGTTTGGAGCTGAGGCAGCCGCAACCGCACTGGAGCAACTCATGACAGCCTTGGATGAGGCGGCTTCTTCAAGTTGAAGCATGTTGAAGCGCTACGGCTTTGTCAATGGCCAATACGCTTCACTGTTTCATGCAGGCAACCTCGCATGTGGATGCGGGTGGTGGCCAGCGAGCTCGCACAGGTGAAGTACAGGCCATGCTTCGCACAAGCTTTTAGAGAGAGAGGGTGGCCCCAGCACAGACAACGGAGAAGTTGCCTCATATCTCCTCACCACACTAGCAGTCCTAGGATACGACACAGATAACCAACCACCGTCGCTCCCGAGCAGCCCCCTCCCAGACACCAACGAGCCAGCGGAGGAGTCAACGACAGAGGCACGAGCCACAGCCAGCCGGCCCTCCCAGCAGCACACCAGCGAACAGCACCCGAACCCAATACGGGAACAGACCAACCACTCACCACACCCACGGAGGGGGAACCAGACGCATGGGAAGAAGCGAAGGAACGATGGAGGGACCCCAGCAAAAAAGCCCAGAGTGTGCACCGACAAGATCGGGAAGCAATCCGCAACATAATGGCAGAACCAGCAGCGGGGCAACGCCCTCCCGGAAGCGAGGAACTTGCGCAGGACTTGAGCACGCTCCTCCGCCTATTCCAACAGACCCACGGAGACCTGCAGCGAGCACGGCCGTTGGAAGGGGAAGGAGGCGAAGATATGCAGAGAGCCTTCCGGGCGTGCAGGGAAGCAATAGACCTCCTGCATGACATGCTCTCCTGGCGACACCAGGCCTTCCCGACAGGCCTATTCGAACAAGTGGCGGCACAGGGGGAGGCTCGCAACAGCGCAGTGGAAAGAACCAACGCAGGAGCACCAGGGAAAGGCCCAGAGTTCACATGGCGAATGTACTGGAATTGGCCGGGGGAACTGAAGAGCAGACGGTGCGAGAAGGGAGGGAAGAGAACGAAGGGGGTAGCAGGCAGCAACCGCTATGGCAAGTTCGCAGCCGCCCAGTTGTGGAGCTCGCCAACCTTGTCGCGGGGGCCATCCACAACCTTGAAGAGTGGGCCAGCAATCAGTTCGGGGAGCTTGTGATGGTGGAAGAAATCCAAAACCTTCCTCCAAACAGGGGGTAAAGATGTGAGCACGGGGGAACACCGCGAAGAAGACGTTACGCAGCCGACACAAGTGTGGCCACCGCCGAGACCGTCAACTGAAGGGAACAGCTGAGTGTAGACACACCACAGCAGTGAGGGGAAAGGTGCCATAACACGGGGAAACTAAGTGATTGGATCGGGGGACTTGAGGGAGGACTTCGGGAGGTTGCAACAGGATCGGGGGTTGGGGGAATTGAGGGATAGGGATAATCACTCAGAGGCACCCGTAGAAGAGCAACCACAAGCACCTTTTGGGCAGAAACTGAGCTCTTAATTGGATATAGATAGTTAGTGGGGCATATGCACACAGTCTGCCGAAACCAGTGCATACTTCCGCCGTGCCAATAAAGTTGGGTGTCTAGGTGGTGTGCATCAGGGGAAGCAGCTTGGGGAGGTAAGAAGCACGGAAGACGAAGTCGGGGGAAGCTGGTAAACAGCGCCGGGAAACAGTCATCGCACCAGCCGGTCCACCTGACACAGTCCGTCGTTGCAGTCTCACGTACGAACCTGACGCATCTCGGGCGCGCCTGTTGCGCGGGGGGGCTCTCCCTATGCCCTGCAGAAAAAGAAGAGGGAGAGCGAGAGCGCCAGGAGCCGAATCAGAGAGCTAGGCAAGGACCTAAGCAGCCTAAGCACCAACCACTGGAAGCAGCGGGCCGTTGTGGCCGGGTCCTTCCTCTTGGGGGGGCCTCGCTGCAAGAAGAGAGAGCGTTCGTGGGGGAGGGGAGGAAGGGGGTTGAAGTTGCAGGGGGCGTGGGAGGTTAACTTGCAGGAGTTCAGCAAAGGCAAAGGGGGGCTTGGTGCCGTGACAAAGTCTGTTAAATAGGAGCAAGAGAAGCGGTCTCAAAAGCAAAGGTGCTCAGCAACCGCAGGTGCGGCCGAAAACCGGCCGACAGGTGGGTGTTAGCGAAACAACCTGACATGGGCGCCCTTGGCGCGGGGCTCGCCTCAAGCCCCAAAAAAAGAAAGTCAAGAGAGAGAGAGAGAGTGGCACTTCATGTAACCACCTGGTGCGGTTGTCCTTGAAGCTCGTACCGTGCACACGCATGTTCACGCCAACCGACTCGTTTATGCGCCCTCCTTGGGGCGGTCCCTTCGGGGACTCTGCGCGCTAGAAGGAAGGAAGAAAGAGAGGGAGAGAGATTCAAAACGCAACATAGCACTGCATCTGGCAGGCAGCTGCCAGTACAATCGGCGGAGAGTCGCCGGCGTCGCCTACTTCAGCAATAGTGGATGTGTCTCGTGGGCCTCCAGCGGAAGTGCTGCAGGATGTCTACTCTTGACCTGTTCATCCGTTTGTTTGCCGGACACAACAGCACCATGAATGCCATGAAATGTCCAATGTGTACCGCAAATGTATTGGATCCTACCTCAGAATGCGTTACGGTTGCCGAACCTGTCTACGCATCAGTTGCCGTAGTGTTGCAGCAGTTGCAGTAGCGCTGCAGCTCCCCCTTGCGCAAATTGCGCACTGTGAGGACTTCCAGAGTTCCTTTGCCGGGGGGCTTGTTGCCATGACCAGCAAGTTGGCGAACTAACGGCTTGCGATGGCTAGTGCCAGCTGCCAGGGAGTAAGTGCGCACAAGTGCACATAGGTGCACAAGAGGCCAAAAGTTTCACAATGTTTCACAGAAAGCGTATAGACAGATGAGAGATTCTTCATTCGAAAGATGCGTGAGACGTTTCGATTTGAAGCTGCAACAGCTTATACCATGAAAGCATCCCATTACCAAAGACCGCAGTCATTTGGTCCTGCTTCATGGGGGACTTTGTGGCTGGCCTGCTTGAGGGTGAGATCCTTACACACCTCGGCTTATAAGAAGATCGGTGACATGAAGTGCAGCAATTTCGTTCACTGTGCCGGCTACTGTAAAGTGTTTTTTTCGGTGTTCAGCCGCTTCGCGCATTCAACTCCATCGCTCGCTCTGTTTGCCAAAAAGTAATCAATGGATGAAGTGAAAATCGCTGGAAGAGTAGTCTAGTAAGGTGAGGAACGAGGTTGGCATGACGGTGATGAGCTAAGAAACAATTGATGTGAGGCTGAGTCCGCATGCACGTACAAACCCTAGATGCCGCTGTTTCAGGGTGATGTGTTTGCAGCTTGTGTTTGCAGCTCGGCGGTAGTCGCTCTACCGTGGCTAGTGCGGACATGAGGAAACTTCGCCGGTGGGCACGCCCTTAAATGTCAACAGCGGAGAAAATGGCTGCCCCCATCGATCGCAAGCACACTCGGCTCCAGGGCCTGCGTTGTTAAGCTGTTGTAGTTGCAAAACTGCCAGCAACGAAGAAACGAGAGCGGGCAACTCATGAGCCTGTCTCGTCAAGGTACGCGCCCGTGAACATGGCATCACCGGCAGCTGAGCTTGCAAGCATTCAGGCCGCGAGCTGGGAGCGCCACAATGCGCGCGAAGATGTATGATTCATATATATATATATATTCATATGATGTCACGCGCACGCAGGCAGAGCTGCAGTCCGTGAAGAGGGCGCTGCAAAATGGCGCACGGCTCCGAGTAATCACTGCATTTGTTACTCATGTGCTGCTCTCATCAAGTGTGCTTATGCCCGAGGCTGCAGCCAGAGAGCAAATATGCAAAATTTCAAAGTCTGATCCCATTCTGATCTCATACATGAAGCAGGGAGTGAGTCTACATCCAACTTTTTGCAGATGGACCAGATATGAGCACGGAGTTTGCTTTATGCCTTCTTTGTGATGTGTGCGAGAGTTACAGCACAGCCAAACGACGTTAGTTTAAGCAACTCTTTCACCACGCCACCGGCTGACACGTGGCTGACATCACACCATGGACCCTCAAGCTTCACGTGCAGGGCGTGAGATTTCCAGTCCCACGACTGGACAAATCAACGAGCGGAGCAGGCTTCATTTACTCAAAGGGAACTTCTTGCTGAAGTTGTCTCAGGGTGTTTCGGAGCTGCTTTACCTTGCTTGCAATAAATTGTAGAAATTACTGCACGTCGCTGCAGACCGGCCGCAGCCTGGGCCGAGGAACTTTAGTTTCATGAACTCAAATGACTCTAGTTGCGTTCCAGTGTTCCAGAAACTGTTGCGTTCACCTGGAGCCTCACTGGCATAGACTCCACGGTGAGCGCTTCCGTGTACATGTTAGCAGCTCTCTATGTGCAATATACAAATATACCCCAGCAGCCCATACAAACCACACCGAGGCGGCACATCTCGGAATGCAAGGTGATGCATTGCAGAAGTATTTGCTTTTGCTGAATGAGAAGGCAAGACTTGCTGTAGAGAGTTCTTGCTCGGTCTTGAGATTCGTTCTAGCCCGTGGTCTTGGCCCTTCTAGCGAGTCCAACAGTTAAGATTGACATCGTTTGCAGGAAAACCTGATGCTGTCGAAGCAGCTGCGCAGCTTGGCAACTGGCCTGCACATGCCCCGAAATGCGAACACCGCCGAACACATCCTCAACAGTTGGAGCTGCAACGGGGACGAATCAGGCATGCAGTCCTGGCTTTTATGATTTCTACGCGTTCCAGGGAAAGCTTGCATGTGGCGGGTTCAGTCCCAGTGTAACTTTGCCGTCGGATACAGTCGAGTACTGCTCTCAGTTTGTTGTTGAACTTTGTCTATGATGCCGTGGGTTCTGCTTCTCACGGGCGTTCTACTGCTCACTGGACATTGTAGCGCCGGGAAGCACATGTACATGTCGAAATCCCTGTTGCGCAATTGTACCAAGCGAAGCCCAGGCAATTGCTGAGAATAGCGAGCCGCTGCTTGGCGCACGGGGCTTGAAGAGATGTCATCATCACCGGGGCTTCATGAATGAAGTGAGCAAGAAGATAATGCAAAGAAGAATGTGCCTCAAGCGTTCCTTTTGCCTCACTCCTTCTGTGGTATCGGCTCCCTTCTCTCACCAGCACAACAGGTTCGCGAACAGATGGAGTTCTGCAATACTTCTGCAATATCACATTACTTTCCTGCTTATGGGTGTTGAGGCATCATCAGGACCTGGACGGGGATACACAGGTGGTGGCCATGCGACGAATGGGTGCGGTATCTCAGAAGTTCATCCGACCCTGTGTGTTGTTGCTATTTGTTGCTGTAATATCATTGTGGTTCATTGTGGATTGGAGGAAGCTTGTCAATCGTCAGCTTTGAGATGAGCTGCACGTGAATCAGCAGTCAGATTTGCTTCCAGCTCTCCACAGACATTGCCGCAAAGGACTCCAGTTCTTACAGTTGCTCCCGGTAGATGTGTTTGCCAGGTGTAGCATGTTTGACACCATGTATTTCGCTCGAGAGGGTGGTGAATTTTACAATTTCCGTTTTATGATGCACGCCTTCGGTTCTTGCCTCGCGGAGAGTTCTACAAACTAAGGTCTGGTCACCCAGCGCGACCTGCGCCAGGCGGAGACATCAAGGTGCCTTGTCGCTACTTTTGCAGATTAGATGTTGAGTTTGGGCTGAAGAGTTTGTGCAACCTTCCAGCATTGAATGACGATGTTGCCGATCGTATCTGTGCACAGATGCGCACGAACAAGTCACAAGAGCACTTGTGGATGAAACGGGTGAAATACACCAAAGAAGTCCCAAGCTTGGAAAGGCCCAGCATAGAGAGTGCACAAAGCCCATAAATCCAACAAAATTTTTTTGTCGTTGGTTGGTGACACGGTGGGCTAGCATGCAGCATCGTGCAAGTGCCTGTGCTGTTCCAGGGATTGCATTCTCGGAACTGCATTTGTTCAGGCCTTCAGCCGAGAAAACCTGCAGGAGGTAGCTGTCCAAGCTGCTCTTGTCAGGCTTGTTTTGCTCGCTCTTTGATATTCTGAGTGTAGTTAACGACAACGAGGTTCTCTTGCACATGGCTGAGTACGAGGCATGTTGCTTTAAATGTGCTGGCACGTGAAGTCATGTGTCTTGTGCATCCTCAATGTCAGTGCCAGCGCAACTGTGGAAGCAGATGTGTATCGGTCAAACCGTTGCAATGATGTTGCAATTTTGTCAGCGCCAAATTGCGCCTTTGACCAGGCACTGCCTGCCGAGTGTGCAGGGCCCTTGGTTTGAAGTCGCCTTACGACCAAGCAAGAAGGCGTGCAGGTGCATGCAGCCAGGCAGAGAATCCTTGGAGGAACCCTCCGCACGACCCTCACGGACGTACTACAATGGATTTTGCAATCTACAGTACTCAAAATTAATCTTTTCAAAAACTGTTGCCGTACTTCTTCTACTATTGCTACTACTGTTTACAGCGACGATGACCACCACTACTGTGGTGACATTTTTGCTTTACTTGCGGTACTAGTACTAGTGACGACGACGACGACTACTACGACTCCGACTACGCCACGCAACGACAGCCGCAGGCGCCTATGCGCGGTGGCAATGGCATGCGTTACGTGTAGGTTTTGGAGCATCTTTGCGTTTTCCTGCATGTGAGATGAATCTGCAAGGCGCAGGTGTTTTGAAGGCTTCAGCTTTTGAGTTCCAATCTTGTACTGAAGAATATTGAAGAACACTATGTTTGCGAGTAGGGGGGGGGGGGGGGGGGGGCTTCGCCCTCAAACTACCCCGCCGCTGAACGAGCAAACTTGGTTTGCACAGGATCGTGCCATGAAATGAACTTGCATTAAACGCATCCAGGTCCTTCCGCGCCCGTCATGCGAGCATTGTGCTCGCAAATGATGGGGGGGGGCCTCTCCCCAATCCTCGCTTTTCGTTGATTAAGAAAAGCCGGGCAAGCTTGAGAAAACCTAGTTTTGTCAGAGGCTTCCGATTGAAAGATGGATTAAAAAGGCTTTCCAACTAAAACATGCAGTAAGTAGAGGTTTGGTTTCCTAGAAGTACTAAAATAATATGGAGAAGATAGAGGTCTTTCATATGGAGAAAACTCGAGGTTTTCCTACTGAACAATAGGGAGAAGAAAGGTTTCCCTACCACGAGGAAGACAAATGGGACCAACAACTGAACAGTTCTCAAACAAAATCTCCATTCCTTTATACAACCCAGCTAGAAAAAGCATAAAGTGTAAACCTAGAGGAAATGGGTTCAATTCGAAGTCGGGTATCGAGGACATGGAGATTCATCTAGAAAGTATACCGGAAGGTTTTTATTGCACCATGCAAGGCGAAAGCCCTCAAAGCGTTGTCCGCGCTTGCTTACGCAAATGCTGGTGCCGTGGGCCAGGCGGGCAGGCTGCAGTTGTTGCTGCGGTTCATGCACGATACCTTTTACTGTTTCAGGACGACAAGGTGTTGCCCACTTTGCCCACTCCTCACGAGTAAGAAGACCTGAGACGTATTCGCTGTTGAAGCTGTCGAGGGTACAGCATCAAGGCTTCGAGTAGTCAAGCTCCACCCGACGGAGGGTGCTGTCACCTCAGTACTCTTTAGCCACTGTGGCGCCTCAGGCGGAACAACTCATGGTTTTCCAGCCATTGTGTTGGGCACATGTTCGAGTTGTTAAGGCAGTCCAGCTCACTGCAATGAGAGCCATCTCCAACATGGCTTACGACCAGGACGGATGACAGAGCAGATCTCTTGTGCCAATACCTAGTTGACTATCAGGGGTTCTTACAGGAGATTAAAACTTCTACACCCCTCGAACCGAGTGCAGTTTTTGTGTTCGGGCCTTCCTGCTTGAGAGCCTGGACGATGGACGCATATTAGCCCCAGAGTGTCATGCACTGGCACAGTTCAGTTTTGTCCACTGCCTGGCCAGGGAAATCGATTAAGTAGAGAGACAGAATGCTCGATTCCATGGATTGCCTGTGTCATGTGTTTTTTCGCGAATCTATGCGGATCTTCATCGTGTGAGCTCGGTCATGACGGAGGCGATGACAAGTAACCATTCTCCTGGCTGCAGCCGTCAGGAAGTCGCGCTGACGAGATTAGCTCAAGCCGACGTCGTCTTCTCACAAGGGTGTTTGCATCCGATCTTGTCATTTGCCTGGCGTTGCGGCTTGACCGAGCTCCTTAGGTCATGGGCCAGCTCCTCGCAGCAATGGCATCCAAAGCTGAGCCTAAGGATCTTTTCTGCAGCAGCTCTGCCAGACTTGCAGCTGCCATTTGTGTCTTCATCATCACCATCATCATCATCAACCCTCGATGTGAGAATTGAATATTTGCCAGCAGCTTCGCTACTCAGATCAGACCTAGCGCGCTCCGTCCCCCCACATTTCAACACTTCTGCGCCTACAGCAGAATTCCAGTTCCAGTGTTCAAAAACGGGAGGTCCAAAAGCAAGGAGTTCTGATTGCAACCACTCCTATTGGTATTCGAGGGTCGACAATAGCCACCTAAAACATCGACCATTTCACCGCATAAATTCAGCCGCTTATACCCGAGCTTCTTCGCGTTAACCGAGGGATTGGTTCATGCAGCTGGGCCGGCACTTCGAAGTGGTTTCGTATGTGCGCAGGGGTCGGGCTTTTGCCCCGCAGATCTTGTCACGAAGGGCTCCGTAAAAGGCCATGAACAAAGACACCACCCTGTTCCTGTTAGATTCTGTTAGCTTGTGCCCGGCATTGAACGGCATGGCGCCTGAAACGCACATGTTGTCATCAGGTTCTAGAGACTTTTACACCTGCTGAACATGATAGACCGGGTTCGCTTGCTAATTTGTTCATGCCACTTCCGAGTGAGTGAGTGGGTGAGTGAGTGAAATGGCCCACAGATGTCACTGCGGCCGACACCAGTAGAGCAGCAACCGACTTTCAGCAAGATAGAGTGAGATTCCGCACTTAGCAGGAGATTGGTGCCAGGGCCAGCGAGGCCCTGGCGAGGATCATCGCAGCAGAGGTGGGCTGCATGTGTTCAGTTCCTTGCTTGGCTTTGACCGGCAAAAAGTTTGCCAGATAACATGGTGCAGGTGAAGCCCGACAGTGATGGCTCTTGCCTCAGAGTTGGAGGTGGAGATTGCTGATCAAGCTAAGTTAGTTGATTAATTAGTAATCAGTGTAGGCCACCCTGTTTTAAAGGTGGAAGTCCTACCCTCCATGAAGCTGGGGCCACCGCGGCCCCTGCCCCGAAGCCCGCCCAATCCCTGGAAGCCTTAAGGAGTTGATGGCTGAGTCTGCAGTGCGGGGGCAATCCACAAGGATCTCAAGCTCGCCTTAAGCGCTGGAGTTTGAAGCTTCTCCTGTTCTGGAGCTGCACCCTGATAACGCAGACATTCGTTGTTGAAGCCCAGGCTTCGCGACCCCTTCAAAAAGCGCGAAATATTAAATTGTGTAAGGAAGCCTTTTTTTTTGGGGGGGGGGGGGGTTACTTTACAGTTGATGGGGTGCAGAATTATACATGAGGGGGGGCATGGCAATCAGGGTTTGACATGACCGAGTTTTGAAGCAATCTCTCGTGCAGTGGTGAGTAGGTGCCGGACCAAGAACAGATAGCAAACCAAGAAGAAGCTGGCTCATGATGTGGATTACCAATGATGTGGTGGGAATCAAGCTGCGTGAGACTGCCTCCACAGAACGGTGTCGTGCCGATTCATCTGTTCTGACGTCTGTCACAGATCTGCCCCTCCCTTACCCCACCGACAATATTGTTGGACTCTCGAAAAACTTCTACCTCCCCTCCTGCTGTTCTTGTTTCTCCGTTTCGGAATGCAACACCACGCACTGCCCCTAGTTTGTGCCGTGAAGCTGCTTTCCACTAAGCCAGAAAGTGCTGATCCGTCCAAGTTGAAGGTTGCCTCTGCACAGCATGCCTTGACGTGAGAAAGCCCCAAGAGTTTACAGAGACCGAGACTCTGAGGTGGAGGCCCACCACCAGAGCAGCCCGTGCAGCTCCCGTCCGGCTCTACCGGTGCTTTGTGCGGGCTGTTTTTGGCAGCTTGCCGCGGAGAGGCCGAATCAAGCGTTGCCTTGTCGCCGTCAGGAAGTTGTTGGAGGGTTTCGCTGTTATTCGCTGTTGTTTTTCTTCTCGATGATCGATGTCATCGTCATCTCGTCGTCGACGTCGTCGTCTCCTCGTCGACGTCATCGTCGTCGTTGCTATTGTGATTATTATTTCTATTATTCTTGTTACTATTATTCGTATTATTATCATTATTGTTGTTATTATTGTTGCTGTTGCTGCCGCCGCCGCTGCTGTTCGTGTTCGTGTTCGTGTTTTGGTGGGTTTTGGTTGTTGGGTGTTGGTTGTCGGTTGTTTGTGGATATTTGTGGATGTTTGTGGTTGTTTGTTGGTTGTCTGTTGGTTGTTTGTTGGTTGCTTGTTGGCTGTTTGTTTGTTGTTTATGGTTGCTTGTGTTTGTTTGTGTTTGTGTTTGTTTGTGCTTATTTGTGGTTGTTTTTTGATTGTTTGTTGGCCGTTTGTTGGTCCTTTGTTGGTCGTTTGTGGCTGTTTGTGATTTTTGCGTTGTTTGTGGTTGTTTGTTGTTGGTTGTTGGTTTTTGTTGTTGTTGTTGTTTGTTAGTTAGTTGTGGTTGGTGGATGCTGGTGGTGCTGGTGGATGCTGGTGGTGCTGGTGGTGCTGGTGGTGCTGGTGATGGTGGTGGTGGTGGTGGTGGTGGTGTTGGTGGTTGTGTTGGTGTTGGTGTTGGGTGTTGGTGTTGGGTGTTGGGTGTTGGTGTTGGTGTCGTTGTTGGTTCCTTCTAATTAGTGTCGTTAATAAAGAGAGGGCTGGTCCTCCTTTTTGCCCGTAAGTACGGGACGGGGTCTTGTAAGCCTGACTTGGCCTTAGGTTTGAATGCCTGGCGTAAAGCCCGCGAATTACGGGACAGTTTCGGGATTAGCCTTCGTGGTCGTCGGGGTTGGTAGCAGGCGCGGGTCCCTACACAGGGTGTCCCGAGATTGACGGGCCATGCCCGTTGTGTCTTGGTTGCTGTTGCTTGTTGCTTGCTGGTCGTGTGCTGTGAGTTGTTTGTTGTCTTTTTTGTTTTGTTGTCGGTGGCGCGGCCGCTGCCGCTGCTGCCGGTTGTAACTTCTGATGTTCCTTCTTGCTCATGCTGTTGCTGTTGCTGTTGCTGTTGCTGTTGCTGTTGCTGTTGCTATTATTGGTGGTGGTGGTGGTGGTGGTGGTGCTAGTGGTGGTGCTGGTGGTGGTGGTGGTGGTGGGGTTGGTGCTGGTGCTGGTGCTGGTGCTGCTGTCGTTGTGTTCGTCGTTGTGGTCGTCGTTGTGGTTTTATACTGTAGGGCCGGCCGTTGTGGTGTCGTTGTGGTCATTGGCGGTCGTCGACGGAGTTGTGGTTGTGGCTCTTCCTCTTGTAGTCGTCCGTTATCGTCCCGCACCAGTGTGCACTGGAGGCCGCCAGCAAAGAAATCGTGCCACAATTGATGGCGCAACTGGCCTCGAACGAGGTGCCGCAAAGCTGTCAACACACCTGAATGCACAGCTTGTGTTCAGGTCTGCAGAGCTCCACCAAGTTTTGTCTGTGCTTGAGGTCATAGAGGCAAAGCAAGCTGCTGAGGCAATTCTTGCGCTGGTTGGAGCCATTCATCCATCTTCTATGCTGCAAATTGCTTGTGCTGGGGTCGCATTCCCAAGTGAAGCACATGCAAGTTGGGAGTAGTTCGGGAGCACGAGAAGTGAGCAAAGTCTTGGAGTGTCATCTCAGTGCGAGGTGTGTGGACAATATGTGCATACAACTGGCAGCTACTTGTAATTTCCATCCACACGCAAGGCATAAAAGGCAAACGAACAACATATAAGTGCACAAAGCCATGCCATCATCACTAGTTGTGCTTGGCAGGCCCACTTGGCTGTGCATGGTTCATGGAATGTCAGGATTTGTTTGCGCTGTTCGATCAAGTCAAACCACGTGGACCACGAGGGTAATCGAAATGCGAACGTCGCGAGTCGCGACGCTCAAGGTACCAAAGACAGAGGCGTGACAGGCAGCTAGAAGCATCCATGGGAGGGCACCGGTATCAACTCCAATGAGAAGCGCCGGAGTGGAGCGCTTGCATCGGGTTGGCTTAAAGTTTGCCTCAGTTGTCGTATAAAAGCTGTTGCTTGACATGCGCGCTCAGACCCTTTCTTATTTTGCTGATGAGTTCTTATTGATGTGTTTCTTGTCGTTTCCTATTTCATGTGCGAAATTGGAATTTTGTGCACCGGTGGGAACGGAGATTATGCTGGGAATGCTGTTTAAAACATCCCTTCACGCCCATGCCTGACTGATGATTGCGTCCATGCTAGTAGAGATTACTAGAGCATCCAGAGCATCCCTTGCTTGGTCAGGGCATCCATGCCCCAAATGGCGTTCACGTTAACAGAGCGCCCCTTGGCCAGCGACGCCCTTCAGCAGCCTAAATCCAATGATATGAGGTAAGTCCTGTTTTAGTGTGGTTGGTGCGTGTATAAATATAGCGCCGTAGCGTTCCTGAAGAAACCTTTGGCAAGTGTACAGCAATATTACATATTTGCAAAATGCTGACACCACCCCCACCCCCTCCTGTTTTTCCTGGGCCACCTAGAGGTGTGACGCCTGCAAACGAAAAGTCAAACCAAAACAACAAGTCTGCTTCACTAGTATCGAAACCCAGAAACCAAAAGAATAAAAAAACAAAAACTGAGCCTGAGCACATGATACCGGGTCCTGGAGACTAGTCTTGATTCGTGTTGGCAATTTGGTTTGGGAGGGGAGGAATCTACGAGTATACTATAATGTGATCCTTGCATGGAGCTTCTGGAGACCCTGGTGGCCCGAAGCTAGTACCAAAACAAAAATCTACCTGACATACGTGTCATGTACACGCCGAACAAAAGTACCGTGGTGCACGACACGAGATCCGAAGTGAAGTGCCTTATCCTTCTCCATACCTTTCTTCTCTTCTCTCGCTCTCTGCTCTTCTCTTCTCTTCTCTTCTCTTCTCTTCTCTTCTCTTCTCTTCTCTTCTCTTCTCTTCTCTTCTCTTCTCTTCTCTTCTCTTCTCTTCTCTTCTCTTCTTTCTCTCTCTATCCTCCTCTCTCTCTCTCTCTCCTTCTCTTCTTTCTCTCTCTCTCTCTCTCGCCTCCTCTCTCTCTCTCTCCTTCTCTCTCTCCCTCTCTGTCTCTTCTAACTCTCTCTCGCTCTCATCTCTCTCTGTCTCTCTCTCTCTCTCTTTCTCTTCTCTCGTCTCCTCGCTCTTGCTCTCTCTCTCTCTCTTTCTGTCTCTCCTTCTCTCTCTCTCTCTCTTTCTCTCTCTCCTTCTCTCTCTCTTTCTTTCTCTCTCTCTCTCTCGTTTTTCTCTGTCTCTCTCTCTGGCTCTCGGTCTTGTTTTGTTCTTCTCTCGCACCCTCTCTTTCTTACCTCCCTCTTACTTGGTTCTCGCTCTCATCACTCTTTTGTCTTTCTCTTCTCTCTTTTTGCTCTCTCTCTCTCTCTCTCTTTCTTGCTCCCTCTCGTGATCTTTCTTATCTCTCTCACTCATCTTTCTCCAACTTTATCTCTCTCACATCTTTGTCCTCTCCTCTCATCTCTGTCTTATCTCTCTCTCTCTCTCTGTTCCTCTCTGGCTCTCCTCTCTCTTTCTCTCTGTTTCTCCTTCTTTTTTATCTCTGATTCATTTCTGTTTCTATTTCCGTCGCTCTCGCTTTCTAATCTTTCTCTTGGCCCTTTTTAGCCCTCGACTCGCACCTCTCTCTCACGGATCTCTCCTTTCTCTTCTTGCCTCTCGCTCTCTCTCTCTCTCTCTGATCTCTCCTTCTCTCTTTCAACAAATCCCTGTATGTATGGTTAACAAACCCATTCCTGTGGATCCTTTCAGCCATGTGAGACAGAACTGTATGGTCAACGAATCCATTCCATGCCAAAAAAATGCATTTAGGGTATCAAGGGGGGTCTCCGCAACTACAGCTCGATTCGCGCCACCGCGGACGGCGCTTTGCACTTCCGAGCATCTCCGAATGCTTGGCGAACACAAAACACAACAAACAGGACAATGCTACCATATGTATATATATATACATATCTTTATAGAGATCTGTTGTGGGTTGTTTTTAACCCTACCTCATATGCCAAGCACACGGGCGGCAAGTTAGCCGCTTACCAGGTTTTTCTATCCGCTCACAGGCAACACTGCTCCTGTAAACTGCACTGTGCATGTACAAGCCATGGCTCTTCCTGCAACATAGTCGGAGAACATCGGAGAACCGACCCTCAACAGTCCTGTATGGCAGGGCTTCACAAGAAGCGAGCAGGAATGCAAGCTCGCAGTAGATGGAGTTGGCTGGTTGGCACTTGCCCCGTCCCTAGCAGCCCGAGCAGAGAAGCATGATGTAATCAGAGTGGTGCTTATCCCGCGGGTCATTGCCACAAGGCCAAGATATTGTCTCCAAATGATACAGTAAAAGACTTGCCAGCCGCACTTGTCGAAGCAGGCCTGAGAACTGCAGTTTTGAAGCAGACAGGAGATGTGTCAATAGTTTGTTGCCTGCGAAGGTTCATGCGTGCTGCATGTCTCAGCAAAGCGGAGTAGAAAAAGCCCACGTTGCATTCAAACTCACCCAGATAAGTCCATGCCGAAACAGGCGCAATACGGGCCGCCGCCAGTATCATGGCACGCTTCATCGGGGACAGCATGGTTCAACTGCCAAGTTCTTAGACGGTTTTCGCGACGGTGGGCACGTACTTGGCTCTGCACATGTTCACTACCGAGGACCGGGATTGAGGCCATGAGTTGACCTCAGTTCGCTCGAGACCGCTTGTGTTGTTAAAGAGGCGAGGTGTGAGAGTGTACAGGCATGCGGCATGTGCAGACCATTCGGCAAAAATTGATGAAAGTCCGCTTTGCGACGGCAGCTATCTGCGGGATCCAATGTTTTGACGAGGTCGAGTTTGGTCGGCAACAGATGGGTGTGGGGCCTGTTCATTCCACACCATCCCACCTCGAGTTCGATCGACAAGCATGTTGATCCATCAAGTAGAAAATGAGCCGCAGGCTGGATTGCGTGCATTTGCGGATGTTGGTGGCATGGAGCCCTTTGCCAGCATTTGCCAGCGCAACTCACATCGCAGAGTTTTTTTTCTCTCTATCTGCCTCTGCACGAACATAGGCTTTCATAGCTAGGCGCTATCGGCGGAAAGCTAATTTAGATCTGTGTCAGGCGATACAGATCGAGTGTGGTGGCTTTTCGGTTTGTTTCATTCCGGTGGCGTTCGGCCTTTCTGGCTTTAGAGTGCAGTGGCCTCAAAGCCTGACAGTCGGCAGAGTTCTCTGTTGGGATCTGTCCTACAATGGGGAACTGGCTGCCACTTCAGTTTGCCCGGGAGACGTCAGTTGGGAATGTCTCGGAAGTGCCAAGCGTACTGTATTGCAGGTGGCACACGTAATGGTGCGCAAAGTCACGTGTGTAGGCACAGAAAGGCTCAGCATCAGCATCATGATCTTGATTTTAAGTTTTTCATGTCGCCACACCTTGAGCTTCAACAGCAGCAATAAACTAGTGCAGCCGGTGCCGGGTTCTGCACCGGCCCTCAACATCTAGCACGAGCCCCCTCAGCTTTGCCAGAAAAGTCTTGAACATTGCTGCGTCCCAGTTGGGGGGGCCGGGTCGGGTGCCGCCTTCCCATAACTACTGGCATCCTACTGCATCCTACTGTCACACGCCGCGCATGGCCCGGGAGGCATGATCGCGTGCAGCAGGAAACGCATTCGAAGCATTTAGGCTTCCGCACAGGACCCCTTCAAAACCTGTGCGCCTTCGAAGTCTTAAAGCTTCTAGCAACCCGCCAGTGACGAGAAAGTATTGCTGAGATCTACTGAGGCGAGTAGAGGAAGCAATGCGACACCATGGGCAAGATGCGTTAATACAAACCAAGGCCAGCAAGCAAAAGCATGTTCAAATAGTGTCAGGCGAATTGCAAAGAGCACCTGTCAGGGCGTGCGGGCGCTCGGCAGCGGGGTTCAGTGGCCACAAGATGTACAAGAACGAGCCCGCTATTCCCATAGGCACCCGAATGCCTTTCGAAGAATTGGTTGAGGGACCCTTTCGTGCTCGCAGGCGCGCCATTGAGCTGACAAAGACTGTCCGAACCTCGATTCCATAGAGCTCGATTCCGTAGAGCAGTTTGCAGTCTTCTGTCCATGCCATGGGCAGATTTGTACAGGCAATGTCCCAGCACGGCATGGATGCAGAGCTGCAGATTGCCGCTCTTGAGGCAGCTGATCCTGATTCTCTCCACCCATAAATTGAGCACCTTTGCTGAGTGCATGCCCAGTCTGTATTCGCATGTGCTATCATGTGCTCGTAAGAGTCGCTTAGCAGCTGATAAGCTACTGAAAATGGGATCTGGGCCTGGCTGGTTTTGGATCCATTTGGATATATTTGGATCCTCCAAAGTTTTTTCTTGTGTACTTCTGAATCTCCCGTTCATCTGTGCTGCCAGTTGCTGCCATGCGGCCGCGCTTGGCTTTCGCATTGCAAAGTCCTTTTTTGAGCAAAAGCTTCGTCAGGACATGTCAGGACATCAGATTTATGCTGCTGCACTGCTGCTGCTATCGAAGGACCCAAAACAAGGTCACTCCAAGCAAAGTTGTGAGCGAATGTTAGAGACCTTTAGCCGCTTTAGCCGCCAACTGCCTGAACTCGCCGCGGACCTGAGCCCATCTCGACCGCCACACGCTAATCTCAGCTGTCGCCTCACATTGCGGCAAAATGCGGCGAACATGGCCGCACAACGACGGTGGCAGAACCCCGAAGTTGAGTCAGGTATCATAGTGTTTGTGCTTCGTGCTTTTCTTCGAAAGGCAAAAGTGTAATGCATGTGCGCAATATACGTGTGTGCAACGACGCGGTGGTGGATGCGCACACGTGGGGACATGCTGCCGTGAGACCGTGAGACCCGCAGAGTGGCGAGCAAGATAGACGTGTGAATCGTTCCAGGCGCTTGCCAAGTATTTGGACAAGACTAGATGTGCCAGCAGCTCGGTTCTGCACATGTTGGAGTTCTGTGGCGTTCTCCACCACTTCAGGTTTCTGAAATCAAAGACGGCGGAGGCGATCTGCAACGAGGCTTGATCCCAGATGCTCCCAACCTGCAAAAGTGTGGCAGGCGAAGGCCTTGTGAAAATGATGATGACTACTCACCATGCAAATGCAAAGGCCGGGAAATTCACGTTGCGACTTGCAAGTTGCCTATAAAGCTCTGTTTGCTGTGCTGAGCCGTTGAGGTTCAGCAGTGGGGTCGGCACGTGCTCTCTGGCGTCGGTGCGTGCGACTTAACTGACAGCGACAAAGCTTGACAAATCTTCGACCATGCTCGAACAGCATCTCAGCACCTTGAGATATTAACAAACGTGTTGAAAGGCGGATCCCAACTGGGCGCCAAAGACGAGCGCGGGGGCGAGCTGACATGTGCGCATGAGCGCGTTCAGTAGTGCTTGTGGCTGCTTAGCCTGCCACAGTGCAACATTTATTGGCTTCATTTGGAAATAGTTCTGGGAAGTTTTGTTTGTGGCCTTCTCGTGCTCTTTGTGAGCCAACATGGCGAAGCCACTTCGACTGCAATGCCACTGCGCTTCTCACACCGAAATGGAGCCACCCGCATCAAACACTTTCTTTTGTCCCGCCATGTCCCTCATGCGCCATTGGCTTCTAGAAAATGCAGCTTGCAATCACCCCTTCGAGTTGCCAGATACGTAGGCTCCTGTAGAATTCGTCGTGTATGTCGTGCAGATTTAGGCTCCAAAACAGTTGGAAGAAACCTGACACGGACATCATGGTCATAGTGAGTCATGCTGACGCTGGAGAAGCTTTTTTCCGAGAAAGATCCAACTGAATGGTTTCCTCAAAGCCTGGAGCAGAGAAACACTGTACTTCTACGAATTCCATGCTCTTTTCTCTATCGTCCACACGCACTAGACCCCTCCAATTTTGAGACTCCCCATGTCCAGCTCTGCAGATGCGTTGCAGCGCCCTGGCTGCCGTCAGTACCGTATTTGAGGAGTTGTGAACTTTTTACAATCGAGCTTCGTTCAATATAAATTCAACAAAGCTTTCTAGAATAAATATTGAACGAAGCTCGAGGTGTGGTCTCCTGACGCGGATTTCTCCGCCTCTCCCAGACCCCACGACGGTAGAACATGGCGGGGAAAGGGGGGGGGGGGGTGGGGGGTGGGAGGTGAGCCAACAAAAAACATCAAAAATGAATAATGTAGCTATAAAGCCACGGCAGAGAGAAAGAAAGAGAGAGAGAGAGAGAGAGATTGAGCTTGCTTGCGCTGTGTTGAAGTCGCAGGATGCCCAGCAAAGGGGGGACTTAATTCATGGGTGGGGAACATCTCCCGAGCCAATCCGAGTACCATGCATGTTTTTTTCCGCCCCTGCCTGCCTTTTCCTACAAAGTGGGGGTTTTACGATCACTGCCGGGGAAGGGGAGTTGGCAAGTAGTCCCGTTGGGGGGCCTAATTTGGGACAAAAACCCCCCTCCCACAGAGCCGTCTGAACGCACACGGCCTCCATTCACCGAGCAGCCCCAAAGACAGGGGCGGGCGATGACGCCCGGGGGTTCGCCCCCATGCCCCTAGAAAGAAAGAAAGAAAGAAAGAGAGAAAGCTAATACAAATACTATACCAAAGAAAACATACTACCCCCAAGGATCCGCAACTGCATCTGCTCATCCATCGCGCTATCCATCTTGTTTGTGTGGTTTATACAACATACCGCAAGGACCGTCAAAACCGATGCATTCTTGATGAACAATCTGAACACGGGCACTGGGCTCCAGGCTCATGTGCAGAGCACCCCTAGCCCAGAATTTCGAGAGTCCCTGACGTTCTGAACGTACACCTTAAACCCCAAACCCCGAGACTCTGCGCCGTCAACTCATGGGGGTTGGAAGGGGGGGCATGGATTAGGTCCTTGGACCTTTGAGTAGGACCAAGGTCCCTAACCGGGCAGTAAGTTAAGGTGATATCGGTTTGGGTACGGCCCTAGGGATCAGGATGTGTTGGAAAACGGTTCAAGGTTTAAGGTTTGCGGGTAGTGGGTTTTTTTCACGAGGAAGGGCGAGTGAGGGTGGGGTAGGGGGAGTCGGAATGACACGAACACAGCAACAAGGTTTTTGGATACCGATGTTCACTACTTGTTAAAGGCTTCATCGCAAGTCCGTTAAGCTGCTTAACTGACAAGTTCGAAATTTACAACACGGCCCTTTAGTTAGCTGAATAGGGAAGTAATTTCATGGTAGACTTAATAACTTTGGGCTAGTTATTTGTTGCATGTGTGGGCTCAGTGTGTGACCAACAAGCCGCTTCCATTTTTCATGATGCTTGTCTTACTTGATGCACGATAAAGTGAGTTGTACCCATGATTGATTGCGCTATTCACCGACCTGTGAATTGTTAATCATGGAGTAGGTTTACACATAATCGTGACAAACTATCATTCCTACACTGGTCCTACACGGCCTTTCATCCAAGTATATAATGGGTAAGAGCTGGAGCTCAGCCGCTGTGTTAGTTTTGAGGGTGTTAGTCTCGAACGCCGATGCTGATTTAGTAGCTATCCTTCATTCTCTTCCAAAAAATTCTCGGCCACATAGAGCATTATGCCAGCGTAGACCCCAAAGAGTGAGCACATGGGGACACGCAGGGCATCGGAGGGCAGCTTCATGGGTCACGAAGAACGACTTCATCCACTGGAGCACCAAACGTCCTCCGCGCAGCACTACGTTTGTACTACAAAAGTCGACCCTTTCGAGCCACCAGACTTGCGGATGTCCTCCGACGAGAACAGAATCGACGACAGTTTCGCGTTTGGCGAACCCGACATCTAAAATCGACGACTGTTTTGCATTTCGCGAACCCTGACGTCCAAAAGCTACGACAGTTCTGAGGATGGCGGGCCCAGACGTCCAAAAGCGTAAGCGGGAGCCCGATCTCCAACGTCTTGCAGAAAGTCGTCCAAAAGCGGTTTCGCACTTGGCGAACCCAGCCGTCCAAAAGCAGCAGTTACGAGGATGGTGATGTCGATGCGCACATCGCCAAGGCGTGAGTACGATTTCCAACATCACGACTTGCTGTTTCCCCCGTCTGGACGAACGCGGCGAGCCCATCCAACAGCACAAGAAGCAGGATTCCACAGGCCTGCTACGTTTTCGGCACGCTTCTCGATGTAAGCTACGAAAAACGCAGCTGACCTAGGCGGAGAGCACGATTTCCACCAGCGGCGCCACGAAATGCGCACGAAGCCCTTGCGAGAGCAATTCGACAACATCCACGAAGCCAAAAGCACGTACATATTTTCGATGTTTCGAGGCCCCAAGAAGTCGGGGCGTCACCCGCGCTGTAGTACGCGTACGATTTCCGTATATTTCCGTTCAAATGGAACAGCATCCAGGTATGAGCTCGCAACTCAATCTGTTACCCCACAGTGTTGGCACACTGTTTGGGAATAAGTGTATTGCAGCGGTTCTGGATGCAACGGCACAGAGAGAGAGAGAGAGGGTAGCCATTTTGGCTCAAGCCATTTTGGCTCAAGCCATTTTGGCTCAAGAACCGCGAGCGGTTCGAGCCCCAGCCCGTGTCCTGTGGGCAAACTTGACACAACACACAAGGGGGTAGGGCGAAAGCGTGAGGGGGCCAAACCTTCCCGCACCGGCGCCGCCATACGTCCTCACCTACAAGTCCGTGCTACCTACGCGACTAGATCGTGCGGGTTGACTTCTACCTCGAGGGTGGCCACGGAGCTCACCGGCAACCGCTGCTGCGCCTGGGCTGCTGGCGGGCGAGTGGAGGGAGCGCGACCCCGCCAACGGCATGAACGCCACTGGAGAAGGACGCGACCGTCCCGTTGCCAGTCCCTCCTCGGGGCACAAACGCAAAGGGGGGGGACGCCATCAACCTGGAAGATGACCTCCCGGGGGCCGTTTCGCAAACTGAGACGGAGGCGTTCCCCACCCCTGCGGATCTTCCGGTCAACAGCCTCAGCATTGCGGATGTCAAGACGGCCTTACGAGTGGAGGTCCAGGGCTTCCTGGGCGAACTTCGCGGAGTAATGGGGGGCATGGAGAAGCGCATCACGGAGAGCATGGAGACCAAGATGGCCGCGGTGCACACCCGACTGGACGATGTACATGAACAAGCCAAGAAGCAGGGGGACACCCTCGCAAGTTTGGAGGCTAGAGTGCTTCAACTGGAAACTGGGGGGGTCTCGTCGACGACGGCAACTGGCACGGCGAGTACCTCGGGGTTCAACACACGCAGACGAGCCATCGTGCTGGGAGGCTATGATCGGGACACCCCTCGTGAAGCCCTGCTGGCGGAGCTCTCCTCGCAGGTTGCCAAGTTGCAACTCGACTTCGACCCTTCGACAATGTTTGCCACGGGGATAAGGAGGGGCACGGCCATAGTGCCCATGCATCCGAAGGAGGGGGAGAACGAGAAGGACACCAACGAGCGTTTCGCAAAAGTATTGCGGCAGATTCAGGGAGGATGGAAACCATGTCTCTTTTGGGCAGCCTGGAGCAAAACTCAGGAGCAACGACAGCGTTCGGCCTATGCGGGAAAGGTGAAGCGGCTTTTGCTGACCCTGGACAAGGAGGCCCAGGTGGAGTGCGAATGGTCGTGTGGGACAGTGTGGTTAGGGGGGACGAGAGTTGCTTCGGCTACAACAGCGGGGCCTTTGGCGAAGGAGACGCACGCCGCGAAGTTCGGCTGGCTGGACATGCAGAAGATCGCGGAGAAGCTAGGCAAAGAGAGGAAGGAGATCGAGGGCCCTTGGGGGGACCTCGAGGCCCAGCTTCGCTGAAAAGTTCCGCTCGAGTTTCACCACCATCTCAGAACATGGAACGTGGGGGGCCTGGACGCTGAAGGCGACCCCGTTGACTGCCTCATGGCCACGTCTGAGGGGGACCAGCTGGAATTCATTCTCTTGCAAGAAATACCGCAACCAAAGGGGAGAAATCCCTCTGCTGCAAGTACGACAGCGAGCACAAAGGGGCCGCGACCTTTGGACAAGAGCGTCCCTGGCTTGGGGGAGGAGGACTGTCTAGCACAAACTTTACAAAACCATTTCCTCGTCCAAGCCTGGACGCTGGCTGATTGGAGAAGCACTGGTGTACTACCAGGAGTGGGCCGATATCCTCAATCGCCATCGACACCGTCCTACACCCCCACAAGGGGAGACAGAGGAAGCCATTGATGGTGGCGGAGTTAACGTGCAATGGGGGGCCAACCATGAGGCCCCACCCAGTGGACACGCTCTCAATGCTGGAGAACCAGATGGAGCTCCGGGGTCACAACCGCAGGAGCAATGCCATGAACCAGAGGGGCAAGCCGAGGACATCATCGACGCCCTCCTGGACAACCTGCACCTACACACGGGGGTGGCGCACGAAGAGGAAAAAGACGATTCGGCCCTCCTTCAGCGCGTGCGAGAGCCAACAGCGGAGGGGGAAAACAACGTCACCGATGCGGAGAGGGGCGAGACCGACCTCGTGCTCAACACTCGCGACCGCGCGATGGACCTCGTGCGCAGCGACCTCACGGACAACGAGAGGGACGCTGAGCGTGACGGCTTCCACAACGTCACCGACGCCCCGCAACAAGGCGATAAGGTGGCCTGGGTTCAAGGACGAAAAAGAAAGCGGAACGACAGGGACCCGGAGAACCACACGGACCACGGCGACAGCAAGGACGAGGTGGAGACAGAGGAAGCGCGTGAAGAATGCAGGGGGCCACCCACCAGTGCGGCCACGGATGCAGAAGTGGAGGGGGCCAATGACGTCGACCTGGAGGAGCAGAGAAGAATCGAAGACGAGAGGGACGAGGAGCGAGTACTACAAGAAGATTTCGAACAAGACCGAGCATTACACGAAGAATGGATCCAAAAAACAATCGACGACTACTTCGCAGATGTGGAGGAAGAGCAACCAGGACCGAGCCGACAGAGACCAGGAAGGCAACAAGAAGAGGGGGTCAAGCTCCATGCTGACGCCGTCACCGCGGCCTTTGACATTTGACAGATGGTCGCTAGGCACCGCGGCAGGGGGGAGCTTTGAGAGTGAGGAGGACAGCGTCGGGGAGGTCCTGACCCACATCCTCGCTGATGGCAGAGGATGGAGAGGCCGCGCCTCGCCCTCCTCTACCAGATCCTGAAGCTCGTCCAGCAGGACACTGAAACAGTGGTGCGCGTTTGGCAGGGGTACCTCGAGGGCCTTGAAACCGCAATGGGGTCGAGCCTGGCTGGAGAACGATGGACTGACCGGGGGGGTCGACTACGCACTGTCAACCTGACGGAGGAGAGGGATACGCCTCGACGAGGACCAGGGCGAGAACGAGGACCACACCACGGAGCCAGAAGAGAGGGGACCGCAGCAGTGGCCAACTGAGCACCTTGGGAGACACAGTATATGGACGGCGCCGCCAGGGGGACCGCCGCAGCCGACCAGACCCCGAAAGGGGGCCAGGCCGTGGCCGAACTGCCTCCTACGAACCGTTGACGTCGCGCTCCACGGCGGCTTCGCGAGCGGATGTCGCCGGTTCACCGACACGAGCACACGGGCCTGCAGAAGGAGGAGCGGCTCAAGCAAGGCGAGACCCTCAATTCCCTCAATCACGGCTGGTTCCTGAAGGAGGTCACGGAGTGGAGACGGCTGGCTGCGCTCCGAGTTGGGCAGACGACCGCTGCGGAGGACCAGAGCCTAGGAGAACCGCCAGGGGCAGGGAGGCCCCAACGGACTACGCCGACCTCGGTTTCGGCGAGTTCTGCGCCGTCGTCTCGCCACGCGAATCCTGGGAGCCCACGAGTGGGGGACCTTTCGCAGGGGGGTCAGGAAGAGCAGTGCGCAACGAGGAAGGGTGAGACCCAGCTGACTACACCGACCTCTGCCTCGACAAGCTCGACATCGCCAACGTGCCCGGGAACTTCGTGGAGCTCGCCAATGGGGGGCCCTTGTCAGGGGTCCTTGATACGCAACTGGATGAACCGCGTGAAGATGAAGATGACGACGGCGAAGATTCCCCGGGGAAGCCAAATAAGTGAGGGGGACCCGCTTAGTGCCTCGTTTTGTCCCTTGAAGAGTGGCAACCGAACACTCAGAACCACCACCTGGGGCCGTCAAGGCACGGTGCCTTAAACTTTCACCTCGGACAGAGCAGCGGGCCAGCGTGGCCGGGGTCCTCCGAGGGGGGCCTCTTCGCTGGGCAGAAGAAGAGAGAGAGGGTTCTGACCGGGGCGCGCGCTCGCGCGGGGGGTCATTCCCAAGCCCCCAAGAAAGAAAGAAAGAAAGAGGGTTCTGACTACTGTATGTGACCGGTAATCGAATACATTCAGCATCAACTACACTACTTAAAGGCTTGCCATCATAGCTTTTTCAGACTTTTCATGATGCCGGGTTATCTTGCAGCAACGCGCTTGCATTTGCCAGGGAGCCAGCCAAGTGTGTAAGTATTGAGAAGAAACGCTTGCTTTGTCCACACTTTTAAGGTTCCACCCTCTCACTTATATAACCCCTCTTCCCGGCTTCTAGATTTCCACCCTCTCAGTCTCCAGATCTCCAGAACTCCAGATTTCCAATCTGGAAACTTAGAGGGTAGAAATCTGGAAATTGGAAGTCTTCAAAATCAAAAAGGCTGTGGATTCGCAAATACAGGCACGCACACATCAAAGATCATCAAAGCATGCTTGCATCTAGTCTCTGCCGCAATTGAGGAATGCACGGGTGGCATTGAAAGAGGAACGCTTCTTCGATGGTGTCCAGCTGGTAAACGCCGCCCTCGAGGAGTGGGCGGGTATGTCTCGAGATTCCTTCCGCAAACGTCAGAACACGTGCCTGAATTTCTGAACACTATTTGAACACTCGCCACCCGAAGGCCAAGGGACAGGCTATCGGCAGCCAAGGAGGTTATGCAGCTGCTCCGGTCTGGGGCCCTGCTACTGGCTGCACAGCAAATCTGTGCGCCTTTACAGCCTTTGCTTTGCTCTCATTTTCTAAGGCAGCTGCAAATAGCCCAGACAGCACGGAGATTCTGCGCACTCCAGCTGCTCCCTGAGTGCACAGTCACAAGCAATAGAAGATAATAAAAGTTTGGGAAAGACTGCCTCAAGGAGACATTCTTGAGCCGAGCCCAGTCCTTACTTAGCCTTCGGCTTTGAGACTTTCTGTTGGACGAAGCGCGGGCGCTCCAAATGCAGCTTGGCTTATTTAGCCCATGGCCGCTTAGGCATTGGGTTCTGGCCTGAGCGACAGCAAGCGGCAAGAGTTGGCCGCGCTCTTCGCAGTCCGAACCGCCCGATGCCAAGAGTGAGAGCTCCGCTAATCCTTTCCCCCTAGCTGTCATGACAACCCCCGCATACTGTAGAAAATCACGACAGCCGACTGCCAGGTCCACGTATAGCTAGTAAGCTAGTACAATTGGCACCGGGGATTTTGACATGACGGCGGAGGGGGGGCGGGGACCCCTAAGTGATACTGTAAAGGGATCGCTGCTCCGCTTCTTCGCGCTGCCATTTCTGCGCACGCTGCCTGCGCACGCTGCCTGCACACGCTGCCTGCGCACGCTGCCTGCGCACTTCCCCAAACAATCTCCCAATTGAGTTGCACGTGCAGAAAATATGCCTCTGCTATCTTCTGCTCAGGACCTCCTTTTGGGCCTCGGTGCGCTGAAGCGAGCCGTGGTGGATATCAGTGCCGCTCTGTCTTTCGGCGAACGAGTGGCCCAACACTTCCCCCCGCTTCGGCACGTTCGAGCGATTTTTTCAATTCGGCTCATGAGACCTCGAAAGCCCCAGCAGCCCAAGGTTGTTGCTGCCAGACAACGAGGACCTGGCACAGAAGAAGAAGGAATTGGAGGGTGCGGTCTCCTTTCTGCCTTCACCACCTTTTTTGATGTCTTTTGCTATAATGTGCTAAGGACGCCTTGCTGGAGAGACTGGCCCTGGAAAGACCGCGAAGTCTAAACCCAAGTGGCGCAGATGTTCTTTTGCTGATGAGCGCATGAGCAAATGCTCGAATGTCTCCTGCCCCTGCAAGCGCGGCTGGTATGCTTTGCTTTGCGCTCTTCAGTTGCATTGCCGACACAAAGGCTTGCACAGTCGTGCCGAACCGAAGAAGAAAGAGACAGAAAGAGAGTGAGAGAGAGTGCGGGGGGTTCCCCAAGCCCCAAGAAAGAAAGAAGGGAAGAAGGGAAGAAGGGAAGAAGGGACGAAGGGAAGAAGGGAAGAAGGGAAGAAGGGAAGAAGGGAAGCAGGGAAGCGGGGAAGGCCGGAAGGCGGGAAGGCGGCAAGGAGGGGAAGGAGGGGAAGGAGGGAACAAGGAGGGAAGAAGGAGCGGCTTGGCCGTCGAGGCCAGGCTCCACCTGGGGGTGCCTCAAAGCGCAGAAGAAGAAGAAGAAGAAGAAGAAGAAGAAGAAGAAAAGAAGAAGCAGAAGAGGCGGAGGAGGAGGAGGAGGAGGAGGAGGAGGGAGTTGCCAGCATGGTTCAATGTGCTGATCCTCCAAGCTTATAGGAAACCAAGGGACAGGAGGAGATTCTTGCCCACAAGCCGGGTGACCTCTTTGCCTTCGGAGCAGGGTGGCGGCCATGGGCACTGGAAGGAAGGAAAGAGAGGGAGAGAGAGAAAAGCCCTGGAAGCCCTTCGGGAGGAAACTTTCAACTTGGTTCGACCCTTTCATGGTGGTTTGATGTTCCACGTTTCCTCCCATTTTCATCCCGTCCCCATACACAGGCGGGGGGGGGGGGGATTGTGTCACAGTCTGTGTCTTGCGGGCCCCTTGGCTTCCTTGGGGGGGGGGCGGGGGGGGTCATACGCCTAGCAAGCAAGCAAGAAAAGCTGAGTAGGCAAGGTTTGGGGCAGATTGGGACGGTTGCTAGCGGTATGGGGCCTCGATGGCGGGAATAGTCACAAGTCGATGTCCTCAGCCTCAGTCGCTACAGTGTCACGTGGACCGTGGACGCAACCTGGGCGCGCCTTGTGCGCGGAGGGGGCCCGCTCCCCTCAAGCCCCGTAGAAGAAGAAAAAGAAGAATAAGAAGAAAAAGAAAAAGATAAAAATGTAATACAAATAGCAAATTAGAGGACACTATATACTGCGAGATTACTGTGAGGTCAAGGCCGATAGTGTCATACATCGGGGCAATGAACGAGCCTTTAGACGAACCCACTGTGAGGGAAAGTGCAACGTGTTGGCGTTTAGGATAGTTGCTTGAGTGAGAGAAACGAGGGATCAGAATAAGTGTCAATGTTTGAGTGACGTCAGTGTCTATTAATAATCCTCAGAGAGGGTTTCTTAACATCGGTTCAGGTGTTCCAAACCAAAACGAGATGCTTGTGCAGTCTGTTTGGCCAAGAACTCCCGCAAGCATCATCACTGGCTTTCTCGGTGCGGGCAAGCCCAGTTCTCAGCAATGCTTACTTAGTTCGATGACTTTTGGACTGCCTGGTGGCAGTGTAGCGATGCTTTGTCAGTCAAGGACTACTCTTCTCAATCACATCCTGAAGAACAACCATGGGAAGAAAATCGCCATCATTGAAAACGAGTTCGGCGAGGTGCATTGAGTGCATGCCATATGAAAGTATTTAACCCACCTTGCACTACCGCGCATCAAGGTGGGAATAGATGATGCCCTGCTGAACACAAAAAGCTCAGTGACAGAGGAGCCTCATTTCTCTGCAGGTTTGCCTGAGTTGTGCCTGTCCATCCAGTGTGATTCAGCTGTTGGTTGCTGTGGCTGTTGGCATGCTTCAAGCTATTCAAGCTTGAGGAGAACGTCATAGAGATGAACAACGGCAGCGGGCTCACTGCCTCGGCCTATCTCGGCCTTACGGATATCACACCTGAGATCCCCACGTGCATTTGTGACATTCTGTGATCATTTCAGCATTTGTGGATTTCCATGCCGCGCGCTGAGGCTGTATATGCTGCACGGTGCGGGGTGATTTGATTGCAGGGCTCAAGAAGCTCCACAAACAAACCACTGGTAAGGCGCGTAAAGTTGGCAGGGTGGGCTGGTTTCGACGCGACTCTTCAGCCAGGACGTGCCAGGATTAGCGCGTGTGCACAAAAATTGCATGCATGACTCCGAAACAGGCGTAATGCTTCCGAGTGCACCCGACTGCACTGTGCCAAGCATAGAAAAACCATAGAATGAATACAATGAAGGTAGGTGGTCTGAACAGCTTCTCGAGCGGAGGGGCTCGTTCATCACTTACAGCCTCGCCATCTATTTGTTGGTGGACCTCACGTCATGGCCATGAGATGCGCTGGCCTTTGTGCGTGTCAGACCCTGCAGATCTTGGATGGTTCTGGGGGGACGCTCAGTAAGACGCCAGCATGCCGAAGAATGCTCCCCCTGACACATTAGCAAGTCATTGGCAAAATCGGGAAAAAATGGCTTGAGATTTTGTTGTGTGAATTGTCGGTGTGGTCGGCCGAACCGGCCATGTGACCGGTTTTTGGTAGCATATATGCTCGGCCCGGCCCAATCCGTTGAGGGGGTCCCTGTGAGGACCTAGGAATCGTCTATCTAACGCTCACGGCCGGGGATGAGGCGAAATATATATAGGTACACACACACACGCATATATATATATATATATATGTCATTTTATTTATATCAATACATGTATTGATCTTTTTATCCCAGAGGACACGAGATTGAAAAAAATCGATCGCGAAGCATTTTTTCGATATTTTTCGAACATGTTCGAAAAATCAAGCGCCGAGATGCAAAATCGATAGCAACCAGGATCCTCAAAATCGATAGCAAAAGGTCATCAAAATCAATAGCAACGTGTCGTTCAAAATCAATAGAAAATTCATGCAAAATCGATAGAAATTTTTGTCAAAATCGATAGAAATTTTTCTCAAAATCGATAGCAAAATTTAGTCAAAATCGATAGATGTTTTAAAAGGATTTTGCACTTATAAGTGATCATATATGATGAGGCTACCCCTCTATAATATATATATACATATACGAAGACACTGTCTTTGCAACATGTATTCTACATACCCTGCACATGGTCGCCGTTCATGCAACCCTGCCTATATGACTTTAAACTTTGGGACTGTCCAGCCAAAGAGGGTCTAAAGGTGGCTTATGTTTAGGGTTCCTTAAGGGCTTTCCAGCCCCCTACTGTGTATATGCCTTAAGAGCGGGCTTTTTGCTTTGCACACAGCTTGGGGTCACCTAGTCGTCCAGCACCAGGAGTCGCTTGAAAAGCAACTGCCAAAACGTCCTGTACTTGAACATAACTGTCCATGGGATTTTGTGGGCAGACATGCCAGCAAGACATGCATTGGCCAGGTGAGACATGAAACCCATGAAGCTCTCCGAGCCATAAGTCCAGTAATGCCTGGGGGCCAAGTGCTTGGCCATGCTTGGCATGTGTGCAGTCATGTGGTGCTTGGACACAATGCTCCATCTGCACAGCTTGGCCACAAAAGCCCGCTTGGCCAGAAAGCTGTAGTGCTTGAGGAAGGTCTGCACGGAGGCGGCGAAGTTCTTGCTCACTTCCTTACTGAAGCAGGCTTTAAAGTGACAGTTCAACCTGAGTGCCACTGAGACATTGCATACATGGTTGTAAAAACTTAAATACAAGTATCTTCTGGTTGCCTGAGAACAAGTATCTTCTGACCACCTGAAGCCTGGCTGGTCCAGTGTGTCGTAGACCTCCTTGAGAGACTCCACAACACGAAGCCTGTGCAAACTTGCCCGATCATCTCGAGAACCTGAGGACATGATGGGTTTTTTGAAGCTTTGAAGGCCGTTGGATGTTTATGAAAGCAGGTTTGAAACTATACAAAGCCAGGCTGAGACACTGTATCGCCTGGCCAGTTCCAAGCACACAGGCATGAAGTGCCTGATTCGTCGCCCTTTCTGGTGCTTGAGACAAGGGTACTCGTTAGCACTGCCAGCTATGTCAGACTTCCACTTGAGGTTCGGGAGCCTGGAGCTTGCAGGTGTGCCGAATTCCTGGTAAAGCTCCTGGATTTCGGCATTGAGGGCACTCATGTTCGTGTCCCTGGAGCCTGCCCTGGCTTCCAACAGCTCCCAGAGCACCTTAGTTGTCCAGTACCTATGGGTTTTAAAGGTTAACCTTTGGGATTACAAGGGGAATATATTAACCCAAAAAGGTTAAAAGGTTATCTACTCGACTACTAAGGCACATTACCCACCACATGGCAGGAAACACCAAGGTCCAGCACATGCAGGCAGTCGAGCGACAAGGCCATGGCATTGCAGCCACTGACCTTGAACAACGGGTGGTCTAACCTGGCACTGAGTTGGCCTGGAGTCAGTGTGGTGGCCTTCCATGCTGCGTCATCCCGGAAATCATTCCACGAAGCTGGGCCTTCCTGTGTGCAGGCACACCAGCAGCAAGGATTCGGGGTGTTTGGCCTGGGCAAGCCAAACTCCTGGTAGAAGAACTCCAGGTCGCCTGTGACGGCATAAACGACTCCTGGTCTGAATCGTCTGCCTGTGGTAGGGCACTTGCCTGTCGCAAGTGCCTGGAGCGAACTGGTGAGTCGTTTCCAAAGATCCTTCATGAGCTGCTCGGTGATGCAGGACTTCGGGATGCATGCCAGGAGCAGCTGAGAGCTGGCCTTGGTTGTTCCAGAGTTAATTCAAGGACTAAACCAACTTTTCATTCAATCAATGGGGGCTTAGATAGGGCTATAGCCAGCCCAGTCACTACTGACAGCCTGGAAGTCATTGCTCGGAGGGAGATGACAAGCAAGCTGTCGACATTGGAGTGGGGAGCTGCATCCCCATGCAAAGCAAAGGGCACCAAGCCTGGCGTCTTCTGCAAGGCCTGCTTGAAGTACTTGGCACTCTGAGCAACCCTTGGGTTACTGGCAGGCTGGCTGTCCCAGAAAGTGGAGATGTCATTGACACCCAGCACATCCTCCTCAATTGCACTAGAGTCCAAACTGAGCATCCACTCGTGGGGAAGTAGAAGCGGCGGCTTGGTGTCGACGAACACTCTCTGGCCAGTTTTATCTTTGCCCCAAGCTTTCGTCTCTACCACTGCTGGCTCTGGGGCAACCATGTCGGTGAAGACCCTGGACATCAGCTGCTTCTGCACATGGTTTGGGTTCACACCAAAACCTCCCAAGCTGGCTAAGCCCACCAGGTCGGCCTGGTCACAGCCCGACTTGGTAGCAGCATGGGCCAGCACTTGGAGGCAGCTGGCACTGATGTCCCCCAAACACCAGAGCCTGAGCAAGGCAACAGCCAGTGGCGATTCTGGACGAATTTCACGAGAAGGTGCGTGATCTGGCTCCAGTTTCCTCTTGGGCATGGCTTGGAAAACCAAACACTGAAAGCTTGGAAAACCAAACACTGAAAGCCTGTGTGCTGCGACGGGCTGGCAATCACAAAAACGGCTGTCTAGCCAGCGACCCCACATGACTGTCCTGAAACTGCATACAATGCATGGCTGTCCAGCCAAGTTTTTTTTGCTGTTTTTGGGGTGCTTGACTGGCTTCTATGGCCCTGAAGATTGCCTTGGCTGCTCGGCCCTACCTGAGGCTGTTTCGGGCTGCAGGTGTTTCTGTAACAAAACTGTGGGGCCTCACAGCCTGGAAAGCTTGGCAATCTTGAAGCCTGGACAGGCAAGCTACATCAAAGTGACTTCGCCACGTCAGCCGTGACCTGAAATGCGGAGCACTAGAGCTTTGTTTCTAGCATTGAAGACTGCCTTGGCTGCTCAGGACCGGCCTATATAGGTTGGGAGTTCGGGTTCCAGGTGAAAGAAGCAAAACCCTGGATCCTCACAGCCTGGGGAAAACTTGGCAGTCTTCACAGCCTGGAAAGCCTAGCTACTTCGAATTGCCTTCGTCACCTCAGCCTTCATCTTCTTGGCATCTTGGAGCACCCGCACAGCCTCGAGGAGCAGGGGTTTCAGCTTCTCAGCAGATCCTCCCTTGGCCTTGGAGAGGCTGCTCCGGCACTTCTCCATGATCTGGGCATGCTTGGCCAGGCTCTTCACATGGCTGGAGTTGCTGGTCTGCTTCTTCAGGCCCTCCAGCACACCGTACTCCTTGGCCAGCTCGGTGAGGAAAAGCTTCACCTGAAGGCAACAGGCTGGCACTTCTTAGCTATGTAGCTTGTAAAGATGGCATCTGCTGCAATATTTCTTCTATTTGGATTCAGGGCTTAGGTTTGAGGCCTTAGGGTTTCAGGTTTTAGGGGGTATTAAGGGATTTGAAGGATTTAGGGCAAAACGGGGGTTGGTATCGACAAGTGCCCGCCTTGTCCTCCACCTGCTGCCTCGTTGTCTGAGCAGTCACTTGGCTGGCGGTCTCCCACTTGGTGGGCTTGGGCTGCTTGGTGGACTTGGGCTGCTTCTTCTGGGTCTCTCCACTGCTACCTTGGGCCTTGCCCCGGCCATCCTGCTTGTCCAAGCCCACAGAGGCCAAGAGGTCGTCGTGCTCATTGTCGTTGTCGTCGTCCTCTGCCTCGTGGAGGGCGAAGTCCTCCAGCATGGGGACGTCCTGCCTGGAGTCCAGAGCCAAGAAGTCATTGAGGTCGGCTGAGTTCTCGGCCTTCACCACGGAGGAGGTCCTGCGGGAGGTGGTTGTCTGGTCCTTTTCCTCCGTGAGCTTGAACTGAAAGAACCGGGAGTCCTCTGGGTTCCGGCGGTGCTGGATGGTCTGGCTCTGGACCCTGAGTTTCAACTCCCGTTCTCCTATCTTGTCAACCGTTTCTTTGTGGCTGAGCCAGCGGTTTTCCAAGCTCTTGTCTTGCCTGGACTCGAATCCCACCGTCGCTTGGCGATAGAACTTGGACGGCTTTCCACCGTCTTTGATCCATCCTTTCAACAAGGATCGCTTTCTGGTCAGCTGGCCCGACCCTTGGGTGGCCTGAAGGAAGCTGTCCTGGACCTTGTGCTCCTTCCTGGATTGCTCGAATCTTTTCCACAAAGCTTGCTTGGCTGAGTCCGACAGCTTCTTGAAGTTCTCGTCGAACTCCTTATCTCCGAGCTCCCGGGCTTCCTGGACGAAGCGGTTGTGGTCCTGGAGGGCAGCTTCGCTGAGGACGACCTTGGGCTTCTTGTCCACATCCTCCTCTTCCACATGGGGCTCTTCCTGGTGGTCCTCCACCAACTGCTGGTCCTCCACCGGCTGGGCGTCCTCCTCCTGGAAAGGCACCATGGCCAAGCAAGCTGCTGGCTTCAAGCAAGCTGCTGGCTTCTTGAAAGAAGGTTTCTTCAGCACTGCCTTGGCCATGCCAGCGAGCTTGGTCGTATTCGTCGTCTTGCTCTGGCTGGGTGCCATAGCTGTCGCGTTGTTCGAAGCAGGGGAGGCCCTAAGTCTTTCTGTTTTGCAAGGCCAAAAGCTTCGTGCATCAGTTTGCTTGGGACACATATTTTGTGGCAGGGTTTGAGGTTTCTAGTGTTTAGGATCATGGTGCTTTGGGGTTTTTGTTCTTTTGCTCAGCGGGGGCTGGCCAGCCCGGGCGAACCCACCCCAAACCCCAATAGCCCAAAGCCCAGAAACAGCAGAAACCTTACAACCCTAGCCTGGATTTTATACTTAAAAGCGAGCAACCCTGAACCCCCAACCCCAAAAACAAAAAGGACTTTAGGGTCTTAGGGTTTAGTGTTTTTGGGGATTGTAAGCAAAAACGTGAAACCCTGAAAGCACAAAAACTGTAAAGCGTGCAACCCCCAAACAGCATTGGAGAGCCCCGAAACTTTTTGTAAACCCCTAAGCACATATTTGGGCTGGATAGCCCCGGCGTTGTTGATTTTTAATTGTGCCAAGAGCCCGAAACCCCTAAACTCCATAAGCCCTAAACCCTAAACCCTAAACCCCAAACCCCAAACCCAAAACCCTAAACCCCAAACCCCAAACCCAAAACCCTAAGCCCTAGACCCTAAACCCTAAGCCCTAAACCCCAAACCCCAAACCCTAAACCCCAAACCCCAAACCCAAAACCCTAAGCCCTAGACCCTAAACCCTAAGCCCTAAACCCTATGCCCTAGACCCTAAACCCTACCCCCCCAAAACCCTGAACCCTAACCCTGAACCCAAAACCCCAAGCCCAAACCCCTAAATCCTAACCCCTAGACCCGAACCCTAAACACTAAACCCTAACCCAAAAAAAAACGGCAAATCCTAACAGTGTTATGGTTTTGAGCTGTTCGTCATGTGTTGTCATGGGTTGTCATGTGTTGTCATGGGTTGTCATGTGTTGTCATGGGTTGTCATGTGTTGTCTTGGGTTGTCATGTGTTGTCATGGGCTGTCATGTGTTGTCATGGGCTGTCATGTGTTGTCATGGGCTGTCATGTGTTGTCATGGGCTGTCATGTGTTTTTTTTTTTGGTTTTTGGTTTTTTTAATATGGGCTTGCCAGCCCATAAAATTTGCTTCAGGTTTTGGGTTACGATGTCGACTGTAGGATTTACGGTTTAGGGCACCAGGATTAGGATTTGGGATTTATGGTTTTAGGTTCAGGGTTCGGGTCTCTTTACTTCTGGGGTTTGGAGTGGTTTAGGTTTGTGGTTTGGGGCGTTAAAAAAGCTTTGAGGTTTGAGGTTTCAGGTTTGAGGTTTCAGGTTTAAGGTTTGAGGTTTAGGGTTGAAGGTTTAGGGTTTAGGGTTTAGGGCTTAGGGTTTAGGGTTGAGGGATAAGGGTTTAGGGTTGAGAGTTTAGGGTTGAGGGTTTAGGTTTAGCGTTTAGGGTTTAGGGTTGAGGGTTAAGGGTTTAGGGTTGAGGGTTTAGGGTTGAGGGTTTAGGTTTAGGGTTTAGGGTTGAGGGTTGAGGGTTAAGGGTTTAGGGTTGAGGGTTTAGGGTTGAGGGTTTAGGTTTAGGGTTTAGGGTTTAGGGTTTAGGGTTTAGGGTTTAGGGTTGAGGGTTAAGGGTTTAGGGTTGAGGGTTTAGGGTTGAGTAAACCCTAAACCCTAAACCCTAAACCCCAAACCCCAAACCCCAAACCCCAAACCCCAAACCCTAAGCCCTAAACCCTAAACCCTAAACCCTAAACCCTAAACCCTAAACCCTAAACCCTCCACTGGGCTATCCAGCCCACGGGGCTATCCAGCCCATAAGGTGCGAGCTTGCCCTCGGTGACTTTTTTCCGACCACGGCGATCTGATCTAGCGTGGTGCTTGGCCCTGGACTCCACTTGCCCTACCTGGAGCTCATACAATTGCGACACATATAAACCTGGTTAGGAACCTGGAGACCTGGAGTCTGGGCCGAAGAAACTTGAAGTTCTAGCGTGGTGCCTGGCCTGGACTCCAGTGAAGTTGCTTGCTGAGTCTATAGGCTTTAACAGCTAAGTATGTGAAGCCTGAACCTGGAGTCCGGGCCTGAATTGTTTGAGCACCGAGCAGCTGACCTGGAGGTCAGAAAAAAGGTGCTCGCCTGGAGCTGGCCTGGCCTACTGGTGCTCCCAAGGCCTGGTCGGGAAAAGCCGCCTGAACAAATCCTTCACTGCCTCAGCTCCACGGTAGTCCGGGCAGTCCTTGAAGATGCAGCCACGGCAACTTGGGCACCTCAGCTTGGACCTCGTGCTGACGTAGGAGTACAAATGGCCTGAGAAGTTGTTAAGGTTTAGGGTTTAGGGTTTAGGGTTTAGGGTTTAGGGTTTAGGGTTTAGGGTTTAGGGTTTAGGGTTTAGGGTTTAGGGTTTAGGGTTTATGGTTTAAGGTTTAGGGTTTAGGGTTTAGGGTTTAGGTTTTAGGGTTTAGGGTTTAGGGTTTAGGGTTTAGGGTTTAGGGTTTAGGGTTTAGGGTTTAGGGTTTAGGGTTTAGGGTTTAGGGTTTAGGGGCAAAACTTCAAAGCGGGCTTCCAGCCCCTGTTTGACTTGAAACGACCACAAAAAGACTGTTCGAATCCGGCGTCAGCTGCGACACTCGCTGAAGCAGTCCCAGCCGAAGTTGTTCACGAACTGGTCGTCGGCGTCTCCCACATAGTCGCCACCTGGAAGCAGGGCTTTGAGTGGACATTCGGGCTCTCCAGCCCCGGTCTTAGATTTGGATGAAGGCCTGTGCTGCGAATCCACGGTGGAAGCCATGCCGGGATCTTGCTCATCTTGGTGGCCTTGGAGGCTGGGCCATCTCCAGTCTGCTGGCCACCTGGGCTCTGTGCAGCCTGCTGGGAGCTGGGAGGCTTGGCCGGACGAGGCCTGGCCAGCTGCCTTGGCTGGGGAAGCTGCCTTGGTGGCTTGGCCAGCTGCCTTGGAGACTGCACCACCTGGCTTGCCTGGAGCAGCTGCAGACTTGGAGGCTGTGCCTGGGGCCACATCGGGCGGTGTTGGCGGTGGAGGCGGCTTGGGCTTGGGTGCGTCGCCCTGCTCTGTCGCAGGCTTGGTCTGGGGATCCGGCACAGGAGCCTGGAGAGCTTGGACACTGGCCTGGCTGTGTGGTTTAGGGGGATTAGGGTTGAAGGTTTAGGGTTTAGGGACCAGGGTTTTAGGGTTATTTGACAAATGCGTTGGTCGGCCTGCCTGCATCCTGTCCTCGTGCTCCCTATCCAGGTAAGTGTTGTTCTCCTCCAGCCTGGCCTTGGCCTCGTTCTCCTTGGCCTTGACCTGATTGTCGTAATCCTCCTCCAGCTCCTGCACGTAGTCGTTCATCGTCTTCTCCACGTAACTGGCAAGCTCCTTCTTCCTGGCCTCGATCTTGGCCAGATTCTGCTGCAGCACCTGGTCTTTGAACTGGGCGACCTCCCCATCCAGCATGGCCTTGGTCTCAGCCTTTTTCTTCTTGACCAGCTCCTGGTTTTGAAAGTTTGGGAAGCAAAAACTCTTAAGGGTTTAGGGTTTACTTTTTTTTGTGGCTTAAGGGTGTAGGGTTTAGGGTTGTTGTTTAGGGTATCGCAGGGGCTGTCCAGCCCTTATTGCATGACCCGAATTGGTGCCTCCTGGGCCACACGGTACTCCTCGTGAGCCTTGAGCTTGAGTTGCTGGGCCTGGAGCTTGAGGTCCTGGGCCTTGAGCTCCTGGGCCTTGCTGTCCTCAGGAGGCTTGGCAGTCTCGTCCTCGGCCTTGTCCTCCACTGAGGCCTGGTCTGCCGTCGGCTCCAGCGACACTTCGTCCACTACGGCGTCCAGCCACTCCTCGAACGATGCCGGGTTCGGGTCGGTGGCTTCGGCCTGGGCCTGGCGGAAACAGTCCTGGATATAGGAGCGGATGGACTGCGTCGCCGACTTGGGCTTGTTGTAAGACCTGGAAAGGTAGGCCACAACACGGCCTTGCCAGTGGTCGAACGACTCGTCCTTGGATGAGCAATATTCGAAAGAAAAACATAGGGGCTGTCCAGCCCTTAAGATTAAGAATTCCTGCACTACATTTTTCTTACACTAAATAAGTGTAGGGTCCTCCTGCTTGGTGTGGTGCCACAAGGATCGCCAGTTCTCCCTCCAGACATTGGCACCTGAGATGACTCAGTGACTGGACATGAAAATAACCAGCTTCGAGGGTGAGGGTTGCTGACGGTTGAAAGTTTAGAGATGATTTTCTGAAGACAAGATGCCCATGCCACCTGGGTCGGAGCCGTGGCGGCCGCCTTGTCCCTTGCCTCCTGCTGGAAACCCGGCCATGGCGGCTTGGGTCTTGGCAAAGCTGGAGGTTGCTGCACTTGGCTCTTGAGCGAGTGCTTGCTGCGAGCGGACAGAATTTTTTTTGCGAGGGCATGTGCTCATGTTGCTCGGGGCTGTCCAACCCACAAACGGGGCATGTCCAGCCCTTCTCGGGCTGTCCAGCCCCGCTTCTCTGTTCAGGTTTGTCCAGAGCTTGATGTTACTGCCGGGGGGGCTGTCCAACCCAGAAACGGGGCATTCCAGCCCAAGCCCGCTGTTTTGGTACTGCTTGGGGCTGTCCAACTTAGAAACAGGGCATGTCCAGCCCACTTCTTTGTCATGGTGCTCGGGGCTGTCCAACCCTGTGAGGGGAACAGACTTTGTATGAATGACAATGTATGTCTCTATATATATATATATATATACATACAGGCATATATATATATATAGGTATGTATATATATATATATATATGTATATGCCTGTGTGTGTTTGATTCTGGCTCAAGTGCGGGCAATGCATCTTTTCAAAGCAACTCGATGCTTGAGGGTCCTGAGACCGGGTCGGTCAAAACTTGGACTGCAGCACAGGCGAGCCCTGCAGAAACTTCACCTAGCAGCTTAGCAGCTTGGAGGCAGCACACAGGCTAGCCCTGCAGAAACTTCGCCTTCTCATGAAGTGCTTCCAGGAGACTGCCGCCTTTGGCGAGCTTGGCCTTCAGCTCCAGCACCTTGGCCCTCGTCTTCTGCCGGCCAAACTTGGTCGTGACGATCTGGAGCAACTGCCTGGAATCTTGGACCCGAAGGGCAACTGCAGAGCTGTAGTTCATCGTGACGAGCTTGGACCTCTCCTCGGCAGTGAGCTCCTTGTGCTCCTTCTTCTTCTTCTTCTTCTTCTCTTCACTGGCCTGGACCGGCCGATGAGCTTAATTGGCATTTTAGGGATGGGCGGTTCTCGGGCATGATCCGATATTACAGACACTATTATGAAGCGTGTCCACATTAAAGAGTGTCCTCGCCTTCTGCTTCTTCATGCTGGCTGCTGGCTTCCTTAGACAGGCAGCTGGCTTCTTGAAGCTGCTGTCCTCTGTGGCTTGCCCCCATGCCCTCTTGATGCCAGCTTTGCTTGCCGGAACTGGGCTGGCTGCATCGGCCTCCTGGCCCAACACCTGAGTTGTAGCTTGGGAATCCGGGGTCGCAGGCACCTCCAGGTCGGCTGTCCTGGTGCGGCGAGGCGGGGTGCCTGGGGCTCCTGGCACAGACTTTGTGAGCTGGGAAGCCTTGGCAGAGCTTGGCAGAGACTCTTCAAGCTTGGCAGCATTGCCAGAACTTTCACCCGGCAGCGACTGTGTGGGCTTAAGCTTGCCGGCCTTGCCAGAACTTTTCGAGGACTTTTGCGAAGAGTCGGGCTGGCCTCGCTCATCTTCGCCGACCTGCAAATCCCGAAGTGCTTCCAGATCTGCAATCTGGAACTGGGTGGCTTTGCTGCAGGCCTGAAGGAACCGTACCGGATCTTTCAGACGACGACAGTGGCAAAACACCACCACGAGCATCTCGGCTGTGACCTGGGCGAAGCTGGGCTGCTTGGACAGTGGAAGGCTTTCCGAAAGACCCGGAAAGTCTTGGTGTGCCTTTATGAGACACTCCTTCAGGTCTCGGTACTTGAAGGCGAATGCTGGTTCCACTGCGTGGAGTCTCTCCAACAAAGGCCTGGCTTTGCTCATCCCCACTGCTGAAACAGCCGAGGAGCGAGACAACTTGCCGTATGGCTCCAAGTCAAAGCTGGCCTTCACCCCGGCATGCCGAATGTGCTCCTTCAATGCATCCTGGAGGTGCTCCTGGTCCACATCCGGCTTGGTGTAGTTCAACTTGCCACCCCTGGACATGGCGTCGGCTACGACCTGACCCCCTAGCTATATAGCTGCTGACTTGAGGCAGCTCGATCTGAGAATGCATGCCACACTTGACTCGGGGCTGTCCAACCCAACACTTGCACTTGGAAACGGGGCATGTCCAGCCCACATAAGTGTATCATATATATATATATAGATATATACATATATACATATGTGGAAGACTTTTCCGAAAATCAAAAATCGATAGAACTCTGCCTCAAAATCGATAGAAATTTGTACTCAAAATCGATAGAAATTTTCCTCAAAATCGATAGAAATTTTCCTCAAAATCGATAGAAATTTTCCTCAAAATCGATAGCAACGGTCTATTCAAAATCGATAGCAGCTCCTATTCATTTTCGATAGCAGACTCGAAGACGAAGTTGTCGTTACGATCGAAAATCTTCGAGAAACCATCAAAATCGATAGAAATTAACATCCATTCCAAAATCGATAGCACGATCGAAAAAAATCAATATCGCGTCCTCTGGGATACACACACACGTTTCAGCATAAAGTGATTCTTGCCCCGTGTCTGCCACAAGCTCTCCAACAAGCCATTGGCTCCGCATCTCATACAGGATAGTTGGTTAATTTGGTTAATGAATTGTTCTTAGTAAGTAGCGCTTACGCTGTTGCAATGCGTTGCTGTTTTGGCTTGACCGTGATTTGGCCAGGGCAAGCCCCTGGATGGCATCATCATCGAGACCACCGGCCTCGCCGACCCAGCGCCCGTTGCGCAGACCTTCTTCGCCGACGACTTCGTTCTTTGGCCGAACAGAGAAGGAATGAGACAGACACAGGAAGACTTGAAGAGTGAGAGAGAGGGGGGAGGAACCCCTTCAATTAGCGCGACCCCAAACCCCAGCTTGAGCCAAGCCGCGCTGCTCACTCAAGCCGATCCCGGTTGTCGCCCTCCCTACGACCTAAGTTCCGGCAGAAGGTTGCGTATGCAGTCGTGTCTGCCAGGGGGCCTGGACCACGCACTCGTTCAAGAGCAGAATGTAATCGGCGTCTGTAGTCGTCTTCTTGTCGGGGTCTGTCTAGAGTCTACAGGCTTCTTGCCCGGTGCCCGGTGTTGCCAGTGGCCTCCTTCGGACAAGTCTCCCCTAGAAGGAGGAGCAGAGCACAGGAAGAAGGTCGCCACAGTGAGAAAGGGGGGACCAGACCCGTGCCCTGGTGAAATCCCTCCTTCCCCTCCCCCCCTCACCCCCTCACCCCCATAACAACCACAGCAGTAGCAATAGCAAGAAAATCACAAGGATTCAGAATACTAGTAGAAGTAGTAAGTATAGTAACGTACTAGCAAACAGAGTTACATGAAGAACAACGGTGTTAATAAGAATCGTAGGAGTGGGAATGGTCATGGTTCTGGCAAGAGTAAGAGTAAGAATAAGAGCAGTAGTATATATATGTAGAACCAGCTAGAGATGCCCAACCCCTTTGTTTTAATATTTGCTTGGCTTGGTAGTACATCAGCCCATGAAGAGGACTTGCATTTAAGAACAGGTTTTTGGCTCGTGGAAACTTGCTTCGTACGTACGGACCTGCCTTAGCAGGGCACCCGGAATAAAGTCAAGCTTGCCGGGCTAGTAGGACACTATGACTGTAGGGTGCCGTAAGAAAATTTCGCGCGGCGCGCCTTTAAACGTCAATGGCCGGGCTTCTCTGTCCCTTTCAGCTTCATATCAACTCATCCCCTCTACAAGCATATAAAATTCGGGGACCGTCTAAACAGGGACAAATTCAGTTTCGACTGTTCAGGAGGAAGACACTAAAGCAGGCGCAACAACAAAGAAGATCATGCAACGAAGATAGGTTGCTTAGAAACATACGAACCCTTTCCAACCGCATGATGTTTGCAAATGGTGGGGGGGGGGGGGGGGGGGGCTCCCCCCCCCCCCCGCGCAAACTGGGACGCAAGAACGGGGTGTAACATAAAGGGGCAAACAAATCAACCTCCAAGATCCGTCCAGGGCCGCGGTGGTCGCCCACCCACCCCGCAGGCAAAGCCGGGGAAGACGCGAAGCCGGTTCGGGGTGGGGGTGGGGCTCAGAGGCTCACAGTTTAACTCCTACGGTCTGGGGCCTTGGCGGATGATGGATCGAGCCCGATACCGCCAAGCCTTTGTCAAAGTTTCACATAAACTGCAGACCCAATCCGGGAGCGCACAGCAAAGGGAGGAGGAACGTGACCTTCTTGTGTCACACCGGCCGATCTGCAACCGACTGCTTTGGGGGGTTTGCCTCGCCAGACAGGATCCACCTCAGCTCTATCCCCCTTCTCATTTCTCGTTTCCGATTCCGCACCGAAACCACATAGGCGCAGGAGCGCGAGGCGACAGGGTTTGCCTTTGATCCTTGCAAACCTAAAAACTGGGGCCGCGTTCCACAATGTTCCGTTCCTCGTTTCTTCTGAGGAGAGGACCCCAAACTTGCTGTTGGGGACCGAACAACCCAGGACCCTCCCCCATCCTCCCCCTTGCCCTGGACCTAGGGTTGGCGGTTTGGACAGTCATTAGAGTCGTGTTCCCCGTTGTGCACACAGGTGAGTGCCAACATGGTACTTGATGGCATCTTGACCGTCGTTGACAGCAAGCATATTATCGGGCAGCTGCAGGAGGAGCAGGGCGAAGAGCGTGTCGGGGAGGAATGTTCGGACCGTCGTACAATCGTACAGATGCGCAGGACAAGCCAGAAGGTGCAGTCAATGAGGCAGTAGAACAGGCTTGGCCCCGGCTTCAGACGAACAAAAAAGCATCCCCGCCGTGAAGCTGAGATCGCATTTGCAGATCGGATTCTGCTGAACAAGTGCTGGCCTGAGGAAGCGACACGCAAGCCCAGAGAATAGCGTGCAGAGAATCGCGTGGGGCGCTTTGGGTATGATGCCGGTTAAGGACAGATCTGATTAGCGAAGCGGAGCTCGAAGATGTTCAACGAGAGGTACGGCGAATCAACAAGACAGCTGCGATCAAACGGACCAAGCTGTCTTGTCATGCAACGAGCTTAGCGATTAGCAACGTTTATCCACCTTATATCGCCTTGCCGTAGTGATTGGCATTGATCTGTTATCTGTTCTTACACAATCTTGCACACATGGCCTTGGAGATTGTTCATGTCCAAAGCCGCCACGCTTCATGAAACAGATACGAACAGACTGCTGCACCGACGGACTCAAGCACGAATCGAACTGATGCAGGACACAAAATTCGCAAGTGGACATGGACTTTCTTCTTGGCATCAAGGCTTGGACCCCTTAGACTCTTAGAAGCTTTGAGCCAACTTTCTGAATCAATTGAATCATCAGAATCTTGCCCACTACGCCTGTGAGGCTTTCTCCCTGGAGCGGGTACTTTTGCAGGCTAGCCGGGGGCAGCCGGGGTTCGTTCAGCTTTTGGGCCCTTTCAGGAGCGCGGCAACAAGGATAGAATAGGACTAGGATTCCGTGTTTTTCGTGTTTCGGCCGAGCTTGTGGTGAGACTCACATCTCGCGACAAGGGAACGGACATGGTCTGAAGGCAATACCATATGCAACTTCAGAAGGCTGAAACCTCAAAAACTGATACCCTAAAAAGCCTGGAAGCTGCTGTGACGCCAGCTGGCACAAGGCTGTTCAGAACAAGTTGGGATTCCACCTGCTCATGCTTTGATGTTTTCCATGTTGGGCCTCTCTGTGCGTAGTCTGAAATTCCGATTTTAAATTGTATGACACTGGATTGGATTGCGGTTGCGCCTCGTCCCAATGGATGGGGCAGGTCCTTTTCTTGTTTTCGGATAATTGCACATTGCAATGATAAACCGAACTAGCAAGAGCAACCCCTAAGGACGAGACTTTAGAGGTTACTGCAGCGCCCAAGTCTTAGCACCATACAAGAGGCTGCCAGTGGGCATCCTTCCAGTACACCGGTCGCGTTTGCTACAGGACCCCACAGACCATCGGAAAACTTGAAAAAGGTTTTTGAGTTTGCTCAGGAAATTACCATATGCACCCGCTAAGGCCGGCGGCCAGAGTAGCTGCAGGAGATTATGCCCTTAGATAGAATCTAAAGATACGCTTACAAGGGGCTATCGTTTGCCATAGCCTCGTCAATGTGAGACGCAAGCTGCCACGCAGCATCGGCAGACGGGGAATGCTCCCGAATAGGGCAGTGGCTGAGAATTTTCGCAAACCACCGGTAGACAATGGAGAATCGTGACAGGCGTACCGTCTTGCCCTCTCAGCGACAGTTTAGGGTCTTGGCTGTGGCTTTTCCTAGAGTTTTTATTAAGGGTTTTAAGCAAGGGTTTGTAAGTGTAGGCTTGCAGGTTTTAGGAGACAGGGTTTTTAGGGTTTAGGGTTCAGGGCTAAGGTCTACGTTATCGGGTTTGCGTGAGGGTTATGTTTTTCGGATGGATGGGGAGGGGGGAGGGGGGGAAACAGAACCATTTCTTTGTTTTATCTCTGTCCTGTGTCGGTGCCGGCCCCTTCCCCCCGTCAAAGCCTAGCATCGACTCAAATTAAACCCTAAACAACTGCAACGTGTATGAAGTGTTGCGCTAGAACAAGGCAACCCAAGGGGGCGGGGGGGGGGGGGGGGGGCAAAATCGTGAAAATCCAAACCCTCGATCAGTCCCTGCATGGAGGTGTGTGAGGACTTCGCCGGGCGGGTGCAAAAGCTCTCCGAACCCAAAGCCTGTTGAGCCCTAATCCCCTACTAACAAACAACCCATAATCATAACCCTGCACCCTAAACAACCCACAGGGGACCGGCGAACAGTAAACCCACCCACAAGGGGACTTTGAGGGTGCGCTGCGACGCTGCGATGCCACCACTTTGGCATTGTTGCAGCAAGCAGCTCTTTTTTTTTGTGTGCGTGTGTGTGAGTGTGTGTCGGTCTGTCTGTCTCCGTGAAGTTTGTGACGAGATGGAAGCGCGCAAAAGAAGCCAATTCTGTGAAACAAACATTGAATCGCCACCGCCCAGCCCATCTGTCTACAGCACTTCGCTGTAGTTGGCTGGTGCAGGTCAGCCAAGGATTTCTGGAGGAGGAGCCACGGCATTTACTTTGGGTTGAGTGTTTCTCTGTTCCAGATTGCTAGACGTCAGTCATGAGTGCCCATGCTTTACTGCCAAGCTTTCGGGCCAAGCTGCGTTGCATTGAGCTGTCGCGCCGGTGCTTTAGGAGGAACATGGGCACAGTCATGGCCACAGCGGTGCTCATGAGAAAGGCGCTGAGATATGCGTCTCACGTGATTTGCGGTTCGTTTCGAAGGATATGCCATGCTGAGATTGCGTCCTGATGAAGGACATGGTCATGACGGTCATGATTGTCACGAGGAGCATGGTGGAGGCGAGTTTTGCCAGCTAGTTAAGCTCCTGCAGTGTCTCTCAGACAGGTTGTCCAGGATTCGTTCCACATAAGTGGAATTGCTTTATCACCACCTCAAACGCTGTTGGACGCATCTCAGATCATGGTGGTGGTCATGCACATGAAGGGCATGATGGCCATTGACTTGGTACTGCAATGTACACCTGCGGACCAAACAGCCAATACACGTTTGCCACTGATGTCAAGCCACTAACAGGTCATTGCGAGCATGGACATGATTGTCATGATCACGATGGTCATGATCACGATGGTCAGGTGCGTCATCACTACTTCCCCTAAACTTCCTCCAGTTTGCAAGAAAGCGGCAGTTGGGACAGCAGGCCTGTGACCATCCCTCACATCGCAAGCGGCACGACTACAGAGCTTGTGCCCTGAATTACGGTCTGTCTGCACCATTTGCCACTCCATCTCCCGTCGAGGCATGTGCAGCTCCCTGCTGCTTAGGTTAGCTCCGTCGGCATTCAGAGGGACAGCGAAGTTATGAAAGAGAAGCTGCTTGACATAACTTGAGCAAACCAGTGCCCAAATGTGCCCAACCATGCCCTGCTGCCCTGATTGTACCTTGTCTGTACCACTTCTGTACCTCTGGTCCTTGAGGCTTGACAGTTTCATCAGTTGGCTGATCCAGCAGAAAGGGCCCGACCTGTACCGCTCCAAGGGTGCCATGTCCTTAGAGAGCCAATGCCAAATCCAGTGCCTCTCGTTTCCGCATGTTTGCAAAAGTTTGCGCCAGAGGTCCTCGCTGTGCATGGCCTACCACAGAAGTACGTGTTTCATGCCGTGCACATGCAGTGCCTTGCCCTGCAAGTTCTACAAGTGCACCATTAGTTCTGAACGAAGCGGCTGGGTTGCAAATTGAGAGGTTCAGCGGCAAGCCCCAGGATGAGTGGGAACCCAGCGAGAAGAGGCGCACTGCTGCCAGACAGCCAGACACGAGTGGTGCACTAGCCACTAATCCCTTCCCCTATATGAAGACACCCCCAATGTAGCACACGCCCTGGATCCCGTAGCCCCCTTTTACAATCTCTACAGAATTCCGGGGGGAGGGGGGGCGGCGCCTCAAACCTAGCAGCCTAAAGCTTGAAGCTAGCTCTATGACTGAGCCAGCACGCTGAAAAACCCCACTTTCTTGGTACACTTCTCTGATCTTCTCTGCGTGGGGAGGGAGGGGGGGTGGGTAGGGGGACGGGGGGTGGGAACGGAGGGGGGGGGGTCTTTCATATTGGGGGGAGGGGACGTGATGAGTGATGTGCAAACTTGGATTGTAGTCCTGGGCTCTTGGGGCGAGAGGGTGTCACAGGTGCTGCAAGATGGTCTTCATCGGAAAGAACTTGGATCGCGAAGAGTTGAACAGGAAATTCGATGAGTGCCTTCTGAAGTAGTGCTTCTGGTGGGTTTCCATCGATTCAAAGCACACAGCGACCAGCTGTGTGAGGGAAATCGTGCAAAAGTCACCGCACATTCCGTTTTGAATTGAATGGCTCATGCCGCAGCATGCCTCGGGCCGATATCGCCACGCATTGCTGTCAGACCCACTTCAACAGACCGGCACTGAGGGGTGCGAAAAGCGGCACGCGCTGTCTCGGCTCATGAGTGATGGCCGTCCGGACTTCGCTATCATTTCCAGACCGTGCTTGGTTCAGGCTCAAATTGCTAAAGCTGCTTCGGTCTGAAACCCATAGCTTCAAAGCGGCTGATGCTCAGAGCAGCAGCCCGCTGCTTAGTGACTCTGCGCGGCACCCGTGGCGACCGTTTTGTGCCAGAATCTTTCGATTGCCCTGAGTCCCAAAGCCCTGGGCGCCGTGAGAGCCTGGCGGATCGCATTGCCTCGCGCAGCTTGCGCAGCAGCTCCGTTCCAGGTAAAGGCCCAGCATGGCATGCGATGATGCGGGAGGGGGGGGGAGGGGGGTCCTTCATTTGCCTGTTGTCTGAAGTTAACAAGTATGTGTCGGACACTTTCTTTGGTTGTGCACAACGATGCGTAGCCGTTGAAGACCGTTGAAGACTGGACTGCGACTTCTCTTGCTCTGTCCTTTTGCTGTCCTGGACAGGCAAGGAGCTGAGCCATGAGGGTTGGCTTTCAAAACGCAGCTCGGGTAAAGTTTCTGGGAGGCCGGATGGTCGAGGACTCTCATGGTCTGCTTTGTAAAAGTACAGTCAAGAGGTGGCAGCACCGCTACTTCCGCCTGGAGGGCTGGAGCCCTAGAAACTATAAGAAAACTACCCCTTTCAACCCTTGGATATGTTCGAAAATGCTGGAGGTTGTTTCCTCCGCTACATGCAGACACCAACAAGCGCCGTCAAGAAGTCTTTCGATTTGCGGAAGCTGCAAAGCCTCTCAGAAGCTTGGCCGGCAACAAGGCACGTAGCAGAAGACCACAGAGGTGGCAGCTTGACCTGTCAACTCTTGAGGCTTTCAGGGCTTTCAGCCATATCCATCGAGTGGAATGTTTGTTATGTCTGCTTTAAGCCGTTTTTCAAGTTTCAGGTGCACTCAGGAGTCCTGTGGAGGTAGCAAGGTTATGCTGGTTTCGCAGCATCTAGAAAAGGCTTTCGCCAGCCTGTGCGAATCGAACAGAGATGGTGAAGTTGGACTTCGGATATCTTCGAACGCTACGCTGCCCAGGCAAGTGGTCCACAAGAGCTGGAGCTGAACTTCGGCTTCCGCTGTTGGCGCTTGCGCGCCTTGTTTTATGTGAGATTCAGTCCATGATCAGTCCATTGCCCTGTGAGAAACGAGTTCGCGGCTTCTGGCTTCGGACTCTGCGGAATGACCCTTTGGTGGGGGCAGTCTCCACAATTGGAGTTTAATTACGTCATGCAATCCATGGAATCGGCGCCTCCCCACCCCATGGACTGGTTTGGCGCTGACCGTCGCTGACATTCAACGCCTCATCATGTTTTTGAGATTGGGTTGGAGGTCATGGTGACACAGGGTGTTTGCGACCCGAGATGCCATATAGGGCACATTGCTCCGTGCGATCGTGCACCAACTGAACACACGCTGAACACTGAACACACGCAGGGGTGCAGAGCAGGAGCAGGTGCAAAGCATTCCGTCAGCATGAATCCAGACTGCATAGTATGCCACAAGCTTATGCGTATGCTTGTCTGCTTGTGTCCAAGACACATCAAGAGCTGTGGCAAAATGTGAAACCAAATGATTCAGCAAGCAGAGACAGCGCAAGCAGAGAGGCATCAAAGAACGTTGCAAACGGGTTCAGGAAAACCACGACAACAGAGTTTCATGGTTTTTCGCGAGCGGTGAGACAGTTAGGTTCTGCAGAAGGACCTGAGAAATTGAAATCAGATTTCAACGTGCTTCAAGTATCCTTGTTACTCATTGCGCCGAAGTTCGGTCAGATCTGGAGGCGGTGCAGATGCAGCCATAGCACGGCGCTGGATGGTGCTGCTCGATGCTGCGCGCCTCACAGGACTTTCATGTAGCCATAGACTGTGCAATCCACCATGCGGGTATGGTGGTGTGTACCTTACTTGCACTAGCAGTCATGCTGCCGGGCAAGTCCAATGATCGCAATATGATGTACTTGTGAGGTTTGAAAACGGTTGCATGCTCAACATTCCAGAGCATCGTTGAATGTGGAGCTTGTTTGTTTGACTTGTTTCTTTATTTTGTGTGCGCGCGTGCCGAGAGGAATCCCCGGTCAGAGAAAGCCTGCAGGTGCCTGGCAACGAAAGGCTACAGTAGCAGTACTACTGTAGCGATGCTTATGGAAAAGGAACTGTGGTCACCAGCTTCTGCCCTCTGCTCCGCCCACCGTACCTTCAGATTGAGCAGCGGTTGCTCCAAAGGATTGTATGTGACGCCATGTCACAAACAGAGAAACTGGTGCTCGTGCCCAAAGGCAGCGAACAGTTTTCATGATCGGAAAAACGGAGTATTGCCATGCAAACACACATCTGCACACGTCAAGGCCAAGCACGTGACAAATTCTTAGCATGGGCTCATGACACAGTATTCGCCGGAAGGGGTAACGAGGAGCACGACTCCTCGCCTGGCGGCTGATGCCTAAGTAAGGGCAGCAGTCGAGATCCTTGTGAAAAAGAAGTAAATGTGAAAGTTTGTGTGTGTGTCTGAACGTAGGTACTTGTCAAAATGTGTGGGAAAGGAAGTGTGCAAGCTGCAAGAGTGTGTGGACAAAGTGTTTGTGTGTGTGCCAGCGCATGCGCATGCACGAGTCACCAGAGTCAGGTCCAGATTCTTTCAAGCTATCTTGTGCGAGACGGGGGTGGATTTAGGATGACTGTCTGACAGTCTGTGGGACAGCGCTGATGGGGTCCATCCGATCTTGACCGTCTTGGGGTTTGACCAAACCGGTGTGTGTGTAGTATGTGACTATGTGCATTTCAACTTCGGGACCTCAAAGTCCAAGAGCCCGAGCTCCTTCACCCTGGAGGTGGAGGTGGCGAGGACATCAGCGAAGATGAGGACAGCGACGAGGACAGCACGTCCTGCATCTTGGCAACGAAGTGTCCAGTGACTCCATCCAGTGTGTGGGACCCCACCTTGACATTGGAGCAGTGGAAGATTGTGGAAGCCGATTGGGGTGGGGCCCTCCGATTAAAGAGTCAATTTCGCAGACTTGTGCAACGACGCCCCTTGCACACGTGCTTCACACCGTGTCAGCTTTTTGAAGCACCGTTTCTTTTGTGAGGTGCTGTAAGCAGCCTGCCGTCGGTCACGACTGCGGCGTCCGCAACCTCATCGCAGCTGTCGGAGGTGGAGGTGGACACACCCAAGTTTGGCTCGAAGGCCCGGCTCCTTCGGGATTGCGACTCGAATTGTGGGCGCCAACTTGTCGAAGCTGTCATTCGAAGCAGGAGAAAGCAACCCTTAGGTACGGACGGCAGTGCCTTGAGACCATCTAGCCGTTGCTTCTGTGACCGGTTGACCGAGTCGGTTGCCATGACAATCACACATCCACGACTCCTCTTGCATGACTTGTTCGTTCTTTTGCGTTTTTCCGGGAGCTGGCAGTAAGGCCAAGCAACAGCTGGCCATCACCGACATTTTGGAGGCAAGGGTTTGAAATGTGCTTTGTGGAAGCTAATATTCCGACGTGTTTCTCATTCCTGGAGCCGGCCCAGTTAAGTTGCTGGCATGGCCATGCATTCTGGACCAAGCCTCTTTGTGTTCGGCTGTTGCTGGCTTTGAATGTCCAAATTGTCTCGGTTAGGCGGACCCCTCGCAGCTCGACGCATGCTTTCTTTCCTGGCTTCCATTCCTCCAGGATGCGGCTTTCAGCAAAGGGATGCAACAAGTCATTGGAGCTTGTCATTGTATCAAGAAGAGAGAAGAAGGGCATAGCGCACTGCACGGAAGGAAGCTTCGCAGCACAGAGAAGTTGAGCTAGAAATTCTCTCGAACACAACATGAGAAGATGATTGCCTGAACTCGTCGCAGGGACCCAGGGAAGTACTTAACTCCCTCCGGCCACACCTTCACGAAAGCATAGTGCCGAAAAGATATCAGAAGAACGTACCCAGCGTGCTCAGGGTGATTAAACGTCCTGCGCGCAAGTTTTGCGAAAAAGGTTGAGACTTGCGTTGCAGCATGTGCGGTACCAGTGCACCGGCCCAAAGCCGCATGTGGGGAAGCTGAAGCATGAGTCCGAAAAGAGAGGTCACGGCAAATCCCTCGCCGAACACGGGCACCTCCCTGTGAGGAAGAGATGGTCTTCGGTGACCGGAGCGCCGCGGCTGTAGCTTGACTGCGGCCGATTTGACTTTGAACCCGTGCTTGGCCAGGAGTCTCAAGGGAAGGACAGCACGAAGGTACGCGCTAGCACACACACAGCCTCACTCACTCACGCACCAATTCAAGCACTCACCCAGTCACTCACTCACTCACGCACTCACAGTCTCCACCTCCTGCACTCTCACACTCACTCGCGCTCTCACACACACTCACGCTCTCACACCCTCACACCCTCGCACCCTCACTCCCTCACACTCCCTCACACTCCCAATCCTCTCTCTCTCTCTCACCTGTGCGCGCGCAGACACAGACACACAGACACAAACAGACGCGCAGACATACACACAAGCACAAGCACCAGCAAAAGCACAAGCACACAAGCACACAAGCACACAAGCACACAAGCACACAAGCACACAAGCGCACAAGCGCACAAGCGCACAACACAGAGACACAGAGACACAGAGACACAGAGACACAGAGACACAGAGACACAGAGACACAGAGGCACAGAGACACAGAGGCACAGAGGCACAGAGGCACAGAGGCACAGAGACACAGAGACACAGAGACACCAACACCCCAACATGCCAACACCACGCCAACACCACGCCAACACCACGCCAACACCACGCCAACACCACGCCAACACCACGCCAACACCACGCCAACACTACGCCAACACCACGCCAACACCACGCCAACACCACGCCAACACCACGCCAACACCACGCCAACACCACGCCAACACCACGCCAACACCACGCCAACGCCACGCCAACGCCACGCCAACACCACGCCAACACCACGCCAACCCCACGCCAACACCACGCCAACACCACGCCAACACCACGCCAACACCACGCCAACACCACGCCAACACCACGCCAACACCACGCCAACACCACCCCAACACCACGCCAACACCACGCCAACACCACGCCAACACCACGCCAACACCACGCCAACACCACGCCAACACCACGCCAACACCACGCCAACACCACGCCAACACCACGCCAACACCACGCCAACACCACCCCAACACCACGCCAACACCACGCCAACACCACGCCAACACCACGCCAACACCACGCCAACACCACGCCAACACCAAGCCAACACCACGCCAACACCACGCCAACACCACGCCAACACCACGCCAACACGACGCCAACACGACGCCAACACACCACCACACCACCGCACCACCGCGCCACCGCACCACCGCACCAGCGCACCAGCGCACCAACACACCAACACTCATCCCAAAGTAAATGCCGTGGCTCCTCCTCCAGAAATCCCTGGCTGACCTGCACCAGCCAACTATCGCGAAGTGCTGTAGACAGATGGGCTGGGCGGTGGCGATTCAATGTTTGTTTCACAGAATTGGCTTCTTTTGCACATGTCTGTTGCGGTTCCATCTCGTCACAAACTTCACGGAGACAGACAGACCGACACACACACACACACACACACACACACACACACACACACACACACACACACACACACACACACACACACACCCACACCCACCCACACCCACCCACACCCACCCACACCCACCCACACCCACCCACACCCACCCACACCCACCCACACCCACCCACACCCACCCACACCCACCCACACCCACCCACCCACGCACGCACCCACCCACCCACCCACCCACCCACCCACGCACCCACGCACACACATGCACACACACATGCACACACATGCACACACGCACAGACGCACAGACGCACACAGAGACTCACACGGACTCACACGCACACACGCACACAGGCGCACAGGCGCAGACGCAGACGCAGATGCAGACGAAAGACAGACGCACCCGCGCGCGCGGGGCATCCGTCTCTGACCAATCTGACCAAGTCTTCATGCTGCCCGACCGCCTTGGCCTGGGGCAGCGTGTAGAGGATTTTAGAGGGGGGAAAGGGTCTGTAGACCACGGAGTGCCCATAGCCAGTCCATCACGATCCATAGTCTATAGAAGGTTCACGAGGGATCACAAGGGGCAAGGCATTGCGGCCCAAGGGGCGCTTGTCGGACCTGCACAAGCAGCTTTCACAGGGACTCTGTATTAGCATGCTATCGTCCTCCCTCACGGTGCCTTGACCTTTCTGGAATGTTTGGCCTCCCATGCCCAAGTGCGCCAGGAAAGGCAGGCAGAAAGGTAAGATACTTGGTGAAGGAATGTTAGTCAGGGGTTCCTAGTCACATTGCACGTTGTTGAGGTTGCTGATGGCTTGTCGTCAGCCTTCCGTCACCTGTGGGCATCCCTTTGCCGTGTCGCGGACATTGAGGTCCCGCAGGCTTTCTCCTCCACTCTGTTGTTTCTTGCTTGCCGGCTTTGTCTGCAAGCATGAAGAGAGCTCGCACCATCACAGCTGCTTGAGACAAGTGCAAGGCACAGGCAAGGATACTTTAATGTTGGACCTGAGTGGCTTTGGCGGCATGACATGCTGCCCAGGAAGATTGTTAGGTTGTTTGGAAGACTCTGCTCTGCAAAGTTGTGCACTTCAGTGGGGGTTCCATGAGGCCCCGCTGGAGGCATCGCAGGCAGCCGAGCAAGCCATCTTGACCCTGACTGAAGGCACTTGGAAGGTTCTTAAGATTCTTAAGCTTGGAAGTTCAACCTTGCATGGTATCTGTGATATCTGTGTGCAGGACGGTGCAAGCCATCAGTGCGGCAAAGCCTGGATCGCTTTGTCGAAGGCTTTCTCTTGCGCTCGCAGCGGGCGGTGGAGAACTGGTTACACCTGCAGCTGGGATCAGCTGGGCTGAAGTGCAAGTTCGCGGGATGATTTGGAGGGGTTCTGAGCCGCCTTCGCCTTTGGAGTTCGGAAAACACCTCATTTGCAAGACTGTGAAGCATGGACAAAAAAGTCGTGAATCAAGTCGTCGCATGTCACCACATCGTTTAGTGGGAAACATCTCTGTAGATTCTGGAATTTTTTTCTCAGGCTCTAGCTGAGGTTTGCTCTGTGCTTGGTGGGGGGGGCCTCTATGCGGGAACCTGGGATTGCTCACCATCTCCCGAGCCTCGCAGCGAATCGGACTCCAGGCTCTTTGAGTCTTTGAGTTCAGAGCTGGCGCAATGTGTGCCATGAAAGAACTCTCTGGAACTTGTGGGAATGCCGAGCTCGGCCAAACTCGGGAGGAGAGTTCTCAAACGCAGTGTCCATACTGGGCGGCTGATAATCAGCCCTCAATCGAGACCTCCCCAACCATCCCGCCATTCCCCCTCACGCCCGCTACCCCACCCCCCCCTGTCATGTGTTGCGAAAATAGATACAGTAACAATGAGCAGATCGCAATGTCAACACTCAAGTCGTGCGCTTCCTTGAAGCACTGGCCGGCAGCCCCGAGAGCTAGCGAAAGGTAGCAAGAGCTGAGAAGAGCTGAGACGAGCTGAGGGCAGATCCAGGGGCCGACGACCTGAGCTACTTGGCACAGAGACTGATCTTCGAGGCGAGCATTTTTGACAAAAGCTGTGTTCCAGCCACACCATCGTTTGATGACGTAGAAGCTGTTGTAGGTGCGGCCAGCGATTCTGCACTTCTGTGTGGGTGCAGGATACTTTGCAGGACCAGATGCTTGTTGTGTTGCACCCTCTTGATGAAGCAGAGAAGCTCAGAACCGGACGCAAAAAAAATCTTCAAGTCAGCTGACTTGACCTGCAAGGAGGGCTCTTGGATCACAGCCAGACAGCCTACGATTCCTTGGAGAAGCTCTTGCTCCGCGAATGGGAGTCTAGGAGTTGCACCGTGACATGGAATATGGTCACGAACGCGCGCTGGGTGGACAGCTAGGACCTTCTAGAACTAGGATAACTAGGAGCAGGAGCTTCTTCACGCTGTTGGTTTTTGTTTAAACACTCCGAGCACCAACAGATGTGTCACACACGTGACACATCGTGACACCGAGGCGAGGAGTCTTCGGCCCTTTTCGCGCATATCTTTGAAAGCTACCATGAGGCCGAGGGTTCCGGGACCTTAAGCGGCGTAGTCCGTGATAGGCCGCTCCACCAAAGTCGAAAAGGATCACGACAGGCTCACGACACATCGAAGCTCATCGAAGCTGCATCTTTGCCATCGATTCTTGGTTTAGAGAGCGGGTGGTGTTCCTCCGGGGGCACAAAGGGGGCTGCCAGGTCAGGAAGTTTCGATCTTCCCAGGCAGCAATTCCCGCTGTTTTGCAACAGCTTACCCCAGGGGGTGGGTTAGCCAAAGTCAGGGCCGGGGACCAAGGACCAGAGGACAGCAGCCACTGGAGCACGGACACCGAACCACAGGACTAGAGCCTAGATGGTATTCGAGGACTACAATACCCGAAGGGCCGGCTCGAAGCCACATCCAAAAAACAAATGCGCCAGAAAAGCATAGTTCGTTCCCGCCACGAGGAGGAACCTCCAGCCTCCAACTCCTTGCTTAACGGTGCAATCGGACATCGAAAAGGATTCGTAATTCTTTTCAGTGTAGTCGTCGCCGTTGTCGCCATAATCGTAGGAATCGACACTGACTGACCGCAGCAGTCAGCAGGCCGTCGGCGTCGTCCTCGTCGTCGTGGTGTCGTCGGCCTCCGCTCAGACATCCAACATGTCACCCATACTTCATCTTCTGACAATTTGCCGTAGGCCACACCTTTGCTGGGCCCCGGACTGCGACGCTTGGGCGCGTGCGCCGCGGCTTGGAGAACATGGCGCAGCCATGTGGCAGCCTTGGACCGCGTCGGGGCCCCAGAGGTTCGAAGTTCAGGTGGAGGCTCTACGCCCCACACCGTCTCCTTTCCCGAAGACCACCTCAAGGGCAGGAATATCGCGTCACATCGCGAGCCTGGACGTCCAAAAGCGACGACAGTTCCGCATTTCGCGAGGACGGAAGTCCAAAAGCGGTCGAGGACGGCGAGTGCGGCCGCACCCGCACCTAGGCGATTCGTCCGAAATACACGCCACTTTTACCTTGCTCGCTAGGACCCCTTAATGTTGACACAAGTAAACATAAAATAGAGATCCAGACCAACCGAACGGTTGACACATCTTGGAGTCTCCAAGGCTGCATCGGTATTGGTCGCCAGCCTGAATGCAGCTCTTCGATCACAGCGTGCAGCGACTCAGCCCCTTTTACAGGAGCCGGGAAAGGAAAGCAAGCACGAGATTCTAAATGCAGTGGCACACCCTAAACTTACGTAGGCCCTAGTTGGATTTTGACATGCGTTGTGTGATTGCAATGCTTTCTCCCAGAAGAAACAGGCAATTGAGGTTGTTCGAGGCGTTGAGGCGTGTAAATAGTTTTGCGACTTGTGTGAGGGCAAAGGGCTAAGGAAATATTGTGTAATTGTCATAAATTCTAGCATCGCTGCCAGCATGCTCGTCAGATTTTCCTGTCTATCCAGCCAACGCATTGGCGCGGGGTGCTAAAAATTGAAGATGTCGATCCAACACCGAGAAACGCCGATAGTCAAAGCAAGGGCGCCTGTACTTCCCCCCCCACACCCATGGCTCGAGTATTCCCAGCGGGATCTGACGCATGATGTTTTATTTCGTTTTAATTGTGAATGCTGCTTGTCGATCGCCTCGGCCTGGCCTGAGGTGCAGGCAGAGGGGTGGGGACTTAGAGCTCTGTCAACCATCCGTTGAATGTACTTTGTGGCTTTTCAGGAGGCGCAGCTCTTTGTGCACCCTCCAAAAAAGCGGCGGTCCTTGCGACGCACATTGCAAGACATGCAGATGCTCGCAAGCAGATCGGGGAAAGGTGCTGGACTGTGCGGGGTCGGTGTTGCGAACATGCAACTGCCTAAAGCTGCTTGTATGAAGCTACTGCACTGTGCTCCAGGACTCTATGTTGTAAGTTGCAAGATGTTACGCATCGAGTGTTTTGTTGCAACCTCTTCAAGCTTTCCGGTGTTTGGGGCTCCGAGCCCCTAAGCCCTAAACCCTTTAGGGTGTTTGAGGGGGAGAGGTTAATTAGGGGTTAGATTTTGTGGGGACATGTGTTGTCGATGGGGTTGGGGAATCAGTGGGGGTATAGGGTCCTTATGGAGGGGGGTTCATGGGGGTTTAGGGTTTGATGCTTAGGGCTTTGGGTTTAAGGCCTAGGGAACCCTTAAAAGAAGCTTAAGGAGCCTCAGTGAACGTAGGACCCAACCGCAGCCTCTACCAACCAGTTGTGGCACGTTCATTTTGTTCCGTTCCTGGGTGTACAAGCCAAAGCTTGTGCGTATATACTTTCTCGCAAGGAAAGCTGGAGCATGCGGAGACAGCAAAAGCGACCATTGGATGCCAGAGGAGGTGTTGAAAATGTCACTGAAGGACTATTCGTGCTTCTCTTCATGGCTTGAGCATGCTTGCATGAATACAGTATCATGAGCACTTGAACTTGTCGCTTGATGTGTGTAACTGGAAATGTCCACGAGCGTGGCATGTGACCCAGAACCAACCTGTGATGCGTGAGAGATGGGGGAATATTGTGGAGGATGCCGCACAACTCGCGTGTTTCTGCCGCGCCGCCGCGGCGGAGCCAGGCTCCTGGGGCTCAGAGGCAACCACGGCGCTGTGCGCAGAGGCGCCCACGCAGTACCCACATGCACCCGTGAACGGTCGTGGAACATCGTAAAAGAGAAGGGGCAACACACACACACACACACACACATTATGAGACAGTGCACACGGTTTCAAAAATGCGAGGTACTTTTGTCCTTCGCCAAGGCTTTTGAGTCGGAGGCACGGTGGCATACGGTTGTCTGCTTTGCATGAAGCTCGAGATGCGGAGCGGTACCAAACGACATCGCATCTTGCCAGGTTTCCTCGCTGGCCGACATTTTAGTGCCGGTACACGCGAAGAATCACCGTGACGATGTCAAGGTGCAAAGGTTTAGCACGCATAAAGGTGAGGAAGACGGTGTGCTCACGCATGCTGCGCACGCTTGGGTGGTATTCTTGGAAAGCATGGAAAGCTTGCCTGGCCAAGCGGCAATTCTCCAGCAATGTCGACGTGCTGTCCTGGTGCTGCTGGCGGAAACGTGGGTCGAGAATTTCATCCGAGAGCCCCCACGCTGGCCCGCTGCAAGGATGTTATCTGTGCTGTGGGCAGATGAAGCTGCTGTGCGCATGGTGCAAGGCATAGAGACGCATACACTTCCAGAACTTGCGAGCTTCTTGGAAGTGCTGAGCGTCCTGCGCCATATACTACAAAGTGGAAGGCCAGTGGCAGAGTGGGACGATTTTGCACGTGCAGAGGCAACGCTTCAAAAGTTGCTTGGTGAGGATACTGGAAGGGCCTTGGTCCAGGCATTCTGGCAGGCACTGAGTCACTAAACAGCTGAGACTGGACAGATTATGATTTCTCCGGGAAGTCTGCCAAAGCACGAGCTTGTGGACAGCGCTTGCACGCCGAGCCTTGTACAGAAGTTCCACTTCAGCTCACTTCCCTCCTAAGGGCTTGGGATGCTGGGTTCCTGGATGCAGCCTGTACTGGCTGAGAGTGAGACTAGGTGTGCCCTGCTCTGGGAACAGGCAGCAAGCATACTTGTCGCCCGCCTCGCCCCTGTAAAGTCACTCATGGGCGTACCGGCGGTGGAAATAGGGATTTGCTCCAAAGGATCTTCGCTGTAAAGGCAGAAGACATTCTCTAGGATTGCATGACACTGAAAGTCTCTGTTGGAGGAGCACGTCCTCCTTCCTCACATTTCCTCACAAGGGCTAGGGAGTTAGAGGGTTCAGAAAATTCATTGCATGCCTCGCCTCAGCGATGCTGTGAATGATAATGTTTAAGATCGGATCACTTCCGTGGCGCATCGTGTCGCTTTGCTAGTCTTTGCTACCACGATAATCACACACAACAAGAGGTCAGTCGATAGGCCGAAATTGGACTGGGACCGGTTTCAAGCTGCGCAACGCTATGCAACGCTATGCAACGCTATGCAACGCTGTACAGCCTGCACATGGCAACACGTGCCGAGGGCAAGCAAGATGCTGCACGGAGACTCCATGAAGCCTAAGGCTTTTACTTAGTTTGGGCTGATTGTAAGTGCTTTGGCCTTAGATGGCGGATGACTCGGCTTATGGAACATGATGTTGGAGGTAGAGGGCAGCTTCCTTTAGTAGGTCTCGGACAGGATATTTCGGGCTTTGCTTGAAGCAGGGTTTCCAGGAATTGGAAGAAAGAAACATGAAAAGATCCGAAAGGACCCTATCTCGTGGCGACACCTGTGTTTTGATTAGGATTTTGTGGAGGTGTTTTTTAGACCCTCCGTGCCCCAGCCAGGGGCTGCAATGGTGTCCCAAAGCCGAAGTTGGCCATGCAGGGGCTTCATAACGGCCGCCAGCGAAAGCTAACCTCAGACATCAGATCAATGACTGCGAATTAAAATATTTTGCGAGTTGAGCGGGTACTCGGGTGGCAGATTGAGATCGGAAGGATTGAGTTTCCATATGTGTGGAATGGAGGCTTGCAATAATCGGGGTTCGCAAAACATTCTACGAAACCTTATGATCAGGCCAGTCAGTTTTGGCTCCCAGCAAAAGGTTGCGGAGCAATTCGTGCTGGCTCCAAGTGACGGTCAGTGACGGTCAACAAGAAGCAAACGTTCAAGACTAGGTCAAAAAGGCACGGGCTCGATCTTTTCGCACCTGTTGCAAAAGGCTGACCGCACTTCGTTTTGGCTGTGCTCTCCTGGGTCGTGGACTGATCGCGGCAATCCTTGGCTTCCAGGTACTGTATCATGTTATAGATGTGTCGTGGTCAAACATCGTTGGGAGCTAAACACTGAGATTCTTTCGTACGTCCTCAGAACAGGCGGAAAGTGCTCGGCTCAATCAAGCAAGCCGGACTTCAAGCAATACAAACAGTTCTCAAGCGTGCAGAAGGACCTGCTCTTAAATGAGCATTGCTCGGGCCAATGTACTACCCGGTCCTTCCTGGTGCCGTGGATGACACCGCCACGCCGGCGCAGAGTCCTAAGACGCTTGGCCTCGACGCAGGCAGCGCTCTTACCGCAGAAGACTTTGCTTTCGAGATCTTTCGAGCCTGCGTGTCTGGAGAACTGAGTTCTGCAGGTGACATTGAGGCACCCCGAGAGCATGCTCCGGTTCGAAATGTGGTGCTGACCATCGAACAGAAGGACTTGCAGCCAACTACTTCAGCTTGTTTTTTGGAGTTTTGCACTTAGAAATCTTCTCAGGAGAAATTGCAGCAGTGGCAGCGGATGGCTGAGCACGGCTTCCAGATTCATCGTCGAGCTGAGAGATATTATGTAGCTTGTCAGCTTGTCGGGTATTTTGTCACGTTGCTTGTGTGGCTTCAGTGCGCGACAAAGTGATTTCGAGCATCCGTGCTGTGAAATTAGACAATTGTTGGCAGCATTGGCAGCTTTTGTTGACACTGTCGTCATCGGCACTCCTTGGTTTGTGATCTTGTGGGCAACGATGGGCATTCTGAGGGAATGCTGTGGAGGGGGGGGAGGGGAGCGCCGCAGAATTTTGGGACCACAGATGCATTGGGGGTGATCCCTGCAGAAGCTATTAAACGACGGCACTCGAGGAGTCACCCGGCAGGGCAAGTGA